GCTATCGCCCCGACGAAATAATTTACGATGGAATGAGCGTCGACCGTCTCGCTCGAAACAACAGGTGGGAAAATTCCGTTGTTAGAATATTCATGCATGCATAAAAACCACACGGCCTGTCAAACCGAAGAGAACTTATTAAAACCTGGGTCCGAGCTGCGTCAGAAGACAAGCGGCGACTAGATCGCGCGCGGGAGCCTGCCATCCAGTCCCAGCGGTCGCAAGACCCAAAAACCATCGGCCTTCCTTGACCTCATGACGTCAGTCGCTTCATCATCTCAGAAGCGAGGAAGCCGACTCCATTGTCTGCATGATTCGGAACACCAATGCGGAAGTCGTCTCAACTGCGATGCTAGGGATGAAAGCCACGTGAGTGCGGGATCACGTGTAGCACATTTATTCCGCAACCGAAGGCAAAGTTGGCAAAACGCCAAGTTGGTCAAGAGCTCCTCTCGATCGGGGCTCACCGTCAGAACTCGACCTACGTAGCTCATGCTCCGAGGGAGGAGAGACGATCCGGAGTTCCAACTTTCGGATCCAAAGACCGATACGGAACGTCCTTCGGGACGTTCCGCACGAACAGTTCCAGCCGCACTGAAAAAGAACGAATTCTGCTCCCGTAGATATGATTCTCTGTGCTGGTCAGGATTGAGCGCCGCGAATCATTATCATCTGAATCGGCTGATTTGAAGGGCGAGAACCAATCTTCGATTGAAAGGAGAAAAACCCTTTTGTTATTCTCTTGCGGACAACTAGCTGCCTCGACCAGCCCGTCTTCGACGTTATTCGAGCACCTCTATGAATTGGGTAAATACTCGACGCGGAGCGGGCGCGAATGCAACTCATGCAGTCTCTGAGGCTTCGGATGAACAATACAGAGAGCTCGCCCGCCCAGCCTTAGCCACAAAACGACGGGCGAAGATCTAGATAACTTTCGGTCGACGACCGCGACCTGCTGGGACAGGGGCCGCGGTGGCGAGGAGAATCTTGAAATCCTTGACATATACGGAAGGGCGTTTGCACTTTGCTTGAAAATCGAGATTGATTCCCCTGCTGTGAAAGCAAGCGGAAACGTATACGGAGGAAAATAGCCATCTGTCAATGAGAATTCTCGGAAGCCCTCACAGAAAGCGGATCTGATCCAGGGAAGGAAACCTTCCTTCCCGAGTTTTCTCTACGAACACGCGTAGCCGTTCTCGCGGATATGGAAAACCGGCGCATCGCTCCGAAAACGAACGATCTAACCGAAAACGTAGAGCAAGCCATCTCCTCGCGAGATATTGAGCCGAAGCTGCACAGCTGCCCATAGTTCGAGGGTACTTTTTCGGAATGTTGAGTTTAGCTTTGATTGCCTCGTCCGCGAAAAGCAAACATCTCATAGCTGTTCCAAGACGGATCTTAAGTCTCGATCGCTGCCCGAGTCTATTCATTGAATGCATTCTGCTCGAAGGAAGCCGAGGAGAGTTGAATTCGAATGGAATTCTCTTCGGGGTCTCTCCGAACACTCCATCTCTCGAGTCATGTTTAGCGGTAGAGACGTTGTTCTACTCGGTGAGCTCCCAATCTCGGTCGGCAGCTCCGATTCTGACGAAATGATGGCTCAAAGGAGAGATATACCCGCGGGTGAGCTGACTCACGGGGCAATCCGGAGGTCTAGATCCCCAAGATCCAGGAGGCCCGAAAACGGCGCGGGAACGCCTCGTCTCCGCCGCAAAGTATTCATGAATTTCATTCCGTGTCATTTATCATAGTCAGAGAGACAACGTGCGTCATGAGGTCGAGCGAGAGGTTGACATGAAGAACTATTTTCTCCAAATTGACTCGTGCTACTAGCGACCCGCACAATGTCTAAGGTTGTGCGAGAAGCTCGAAGAAACGTGCGCCAGACTTACCGGAGAGGAGAGGACGAGGCGAAACGTAACTTTAGCGGAGAAAACATCGAAAAGACGGAGCGCCAGCGATGGATACCGCGGAAATCGATTGTTGGTCGATGCATGTAGACCTCGAACTCGAAACTCGAATTCGCGTCGAGGTTTTGAGTCTCGCCAGAGATGGAACGGTTGCTTTCGCCGGATACATCTCCTGCCATATGTAAGCTCTTCCGGGCTAGCGCGCACTTCGCTGAGACGAGCGGAATCTTCTCGCCTCCGAGCTAGAGAAAACTCGTACGTACAACGGAAGTCAGAAGCGAGCGTCATCGTAATCCACTTTGTCAAATCTAGGCCATCACGATAATAGGCTTACTTCTAGCAAGCAGAGATGTCAGAGGCGATGACCCGGCGGGTGACGGGACCGTGCGATGCAATCGAATGTCCTGAATTCTGACATGGGATTTCCTCCAATCGTCCCCTGTAAGGAAAATATCGAAATCTCCGTATTTTCCCGATCGGAGCTACCACGTTCTGAAATTTTATCGTTCCGAAGTTTCAGGAGAAATGTGACCGTCGGTCTTCGTACGCGACGTAAGTCCATCCGGGGAAGTGTTCAGCGAACATTCTGTCACTCTGGTGCAGGCATATCCTCTCGGTCACGGTGCACGTCGTGTTTGTTCCTTTCGGTAGAATCGTTTGGAACACCGGCCTTGCTCCTGGCGGATTTCCGGCCGGGTGTCCATGGAGAGGACTCTATTTTTTTGGTGTCCGCTTTTTTCATGCGCAAAGCCTCAGATTTACACTAGCGCCGACTCTTGATAAGAGGATAAGGCAAGGCAGCGCAGGAGCCTCGATATGATCGGGCGGGCTCACCTGTGAAGATCGATTGGACCAAATGACAGTCGACGTCAGATCCTCAACGAGGAGGTTGCATGAACATTCAGCAAGAGCCGAGAGCTGCCATACCCGCGACTACCACGCGGGATTCCACACAGGTACCCTCTTGCCTTGCTCATCTCTTTGGGAATCCTCGATATCCCGCTTGGTCAATATCAGAATGACACCGAAACTCGACATTGGTCACCGATATCAGGAATTCGGCGCCCTCCCCACGATCAGGGAACTTACTGAACGCAGTCGGATTCTGACGCTCATCGGGAGAGTCTGTAGCCAGATTCCTAAGGGAGCGCGGATCGAGGGTTCTCTTATGAATCGTACGTTTTTCAGGCAGTCATTTACACGGACGAGTGCCCGGAACGTTCCACTGGTTAATCGCTCGATCCGCATTTGGAATCGCATGCCCCTCTCGGGCGGGAGCGATGGGCAGAAGGAGTTGCGAAGAAGTTCCGTCATATCGACTCTTTTGGAAACTGATACGCCCATTGTCTACAAGAACAGGTTTTACGACTACCTTAAGACCGGAAGCGGAGTGAGACGGAGGGGAGAAATAGATGAGAAAACGTCCACCCGACGCGGAGGGAAAAACGAGCGTCGGTCAAGTGGTTGATGCGTGCCATTCCCAGCTCGGTGCCCTCCTCCCTTTTGGAGTTTCTCATGTTTTGCATTAGCAGGAGCAGCTAGGGTCTCCGGATGTCACCCTAGGCTCACACTGTGAGGCCGTCCAGACCTCAGCAAACTATCAGCTCATTATTTGTAGTAACACTCTGAAGGGATTGAACTATGAGTTTCTGGGAAGATCTGCCGGGGCTAGATATGGCAAGCATGAGGGACGAGCCTTCCTTTTGTGAAATCGGAGAGAACTGCTTTCGGATCGAATTCGCAAAGGCCAGAAGAAGCCGGACGTATGCTGCATCGAATCCTCTGGACGTGAGTGATCTTAGTCTTGGTCGGCCATTATAAAAAATTGTAATGATTAATTATTTCCATTTTTTTTTCTTACTCGTCCAAAAAAAAACTGGTAATATATCAATAATGATTAATTATTGTTGCTTGAAATTTGAGGATTGTCAGAATATCGGCAAAAGATGAAACTCCGAGAAGAGAATGGGTAACTTTGAAAATTTCGAGGGAAAGTTTCCCGAAGATGAGGCAATGGCCGGAGAAATTCTGCCGAGGCTCCAGGGCGACGAACTGGCATGATCTTCAGCCACGAGACCTCCGGAGAAGTTCTGGAAATTGTCATTCGGAACTTCCTGGGTCTCCGATCCCCGGAATCGTTTCGCGAGAACACTCGTCCCACGCTCCTGAGAAGGGTGAACAACCCTCCGGACCCTAGGGAAATCCTCGCGATGGAAAAGCCTCCGTGCACTCAGTCACTTCGCAACAAACTTCCAGTCTCGAACGTACTAGACGGATGTCTCCGTTGCGCACCAGGAGATTTCGCCCGAAAGAATCCAGCCAGGCTTCCGTCAAGAAGGCTCCTCTTTATTCCGGAGTTTTCTATTTCCATGCAGAGCCTTCAACAGATTTTCGAGCTTACGCTCGTCAATAGCATGAGGCGGAATGACGCGGAACCCTCGATGTCTCATCTGATGAGCCCAACACACCTTAGGAATTAGCTGATTTGGTCTTCTCGCCTGACGGCGTTCAACGTTTTAAAAATAGACGTTCTCTCACCCCCTGCGTGCTCAAGGAAAATTGACCGAGCTTGGACAACTAGTTCAAGCGAATGTCACTCGACGTTGAAGAAGGCCTTTTCGTCCATGACGTAGGGCCAACAAGATTCGAGAGCTGTATATTCAATACCCGATTCGCGGCGGGCCTCGCTCCAGGGGTGTCCGGCGTAAGCTCTATCACAAGCTGGGTTTCTCGCCAAGCAGATTTCATCAAATGAATAATTCATGAATATATGTCGCGAATGATACCGCAGACTAAGCTCCGTCCTTGCTCGAGTTCAATGTGATTCCTATTCACTTGGCAGCATATAGAGCCGCGCAACCGCTTTTCATCGAGAGCTCAGCCGCCCATCGCTTCGAGGAGTACGCACAGAACACTTCGGAGCTCGTCTCCATGGCGACGATCCGACTTGCCGAACGCCCAGCTGACTCACTTAGAGAGAGTCCGGTACTCTCGACTTCGAACACGGACGATTCTTCCAAGATACAATAATCCACGCAAAGATCGTCCCAGAAATTATCACTAGTGATAATCGACGTACAACATATCACAATGGCGACAGATGTTAATGTTCAGCGACGAATAACAAATGTTCAACTCGACGTTCATCCTGTGGAGCGTGCCTTAATAATCAGTTATGAACTCGACTGCGTCATCAGTGATCAGGATGATGTAGCCAGCGATACGGCATTCCTCCAACGGAAAGTGAGGATTAAAAATTTAGCCGCGGTAAGTGTTTATGCCCCCGTGACGGCTCGTTGATTGTCATGTGAATCGGGTACTTCTCTGTTGAAAGTCAGATGCTCCCATTATAGATTTTAATCTTATCATTGGGCGCATAAGAACTCATGTATCGCGGTACTCGCGCATTCCAGGACAGTGACATCGTAACGCTCGCGGAAGAAATATGCGAAAAAAATTCTCAACTCGTATCAAAAGCGCAAAACCTCCGAGAGGTCGAACAACTGCTGAATTACCTCCGCAAGCGACGGGAAAAGAGCGGCATCTCGAACCTCCGGGAAGAAGAAGTGCAGCGAATAAGCATGGTTCAACTCGACAAATATATTGAAGATCTTTACGAAGACGAGTCGAAGGTTCAAGCATCCTCAATGATATTGTTCCTGGCTCAAAACACAGAGAACCTTGAGGTTCTCACGAAGCACGAGGTGCTCCTAGGAGCCTTGACGAGAACACTCCGAGAGGAAGGCCATCGCAACTACTCCTTAGCGAGTAATATTCTGAATTTCTTCCAATGCCTTTCGAGATTCGTGACCTTTGCCGGTGTGATATCCGATCACAAGGTCGGATCTCTCACCATGGAGCTGCTCCAGGGTGAGATGCACAAAACTCAGCAAGTACTCGATGAGCTAGAAGAGTCACAGCTTAGTAACGACATCGAGGCTTTCGAAAACCTCACCAAAAGCTACACGGCCGTTCTGCGAAAACAGGATACGATGCTGACGGCCGCATTCAGTCTACTCCTGAACATGACGAGTGATCCGAAAAACGAGATGAGAATCGTGAATAAAGGAATTGTTCCCTTGCTAACTTCTTGCCTGGACCGAAAAAGCCGACCACTTCTTCTCGTTGTCCTGACGTTCCTGGTGAAGTTGAGTGCGTACAAGGAGAACATAGAGGATATCGCACAGACCGCCGCTCTGGACAAAATATGTCAGATCATTCCCTCGGAGGAAACGGAAATCGCGACCATGGTGAGTCTGGGCTGACTCATTTTCACGCCCAGGAATGTGGAACCGTCTTTGACAGGAAGCCTCACTTCCGATTTCGCATTGGAAGAGATGGAGTGCAATCATGTTTCATGAGTACAGCGTCATATGCCTAATTTACGCCCTTGCCCTTCAGACTCTAAAGCTCATCCATAACTTGAGCTTCAACGCTGACACCCGCTGTAGACTTGTGAGCTGCGGCGTTTTGCCGAAGCTTGTATCGCATCTCGCGGCGACTAATAGGCCCTCGATGAGGTCACAGGTCCTGAAAATTCTGATACTCATAGCAGAAGACAGTCGTTTCCTCTCGCACTTCGCATACACGGACGCCGCTCATGTGGTGAGTAAAGACTCCCTCTCCAAGAAACCTCTGAATGAATTATACCGTGATACGAAGATTTGAGTCTCCGTCTCTCTGTCCGACCTGAATGCCCAGTACAAATTTAGCTGATTCTCGGCGTTATGCCTTCCAGGTTTTAGGACTGATCCTGGAGACCGAGGGACCATGCTCATCGGAGTTGACCCTCATCGCCCAGTCGCTGGCTTCAAGTTTGTCCTGCGCACAAATAATATGCGAGAGAAACGGGCTGAAATTCCTCATCAAACGTGCCCTGAAATACAGCGATGTGGGATTGCTGCGAGGTGAGATGTCGTATCCTCCGATCGATAAGAGCATGGAGACATGATCGTTTGTTGAGTGAATTTGCCCCTGCCGGAAGCAGCTGATCGCCCATGAACCCAAACTGACGAGCAATCTCATTGCAGTTGTGCGAAATATTTCAATGCATGATGGACCTAGCAAACAGCTATTCTTGGAACACGTCGAGAAAATCGCCGATCGATTGGAGCAGCAAAACCGTCTGAGTACCCCTACGAACAATGAGGTTGCCACCGAGTGCATGAGAATTTTGGCGAATCTGGACCAAGTGGAATTCCTACAGGTGAGAAGACTCGCGAATAATTAAATTCGATTCAATAAAGCCGCTTGAATATAAAATACCCGATGCCATCCTTGTTTGTTGTCAAAGAATTCTCATGGACACCGACCGAGCTGTTCTCCTCGTCTACCGACAGGTACTGAACAACGTCACGAAAAGTGGAATCCTGATTTGGATGAATGATCAGCTACAGGCGGTTTCTTCTCAACTGGAGCGATGCACGACGGAAGAGGAGTTCGTTCTGGATCTCCTTCTCGTCTGCGCGACATTCGCGGAGAACGATCCTGAAATTGCACTCGACTTCATAGGCAAAGAATTACACGGACATTTGTTGAGTATCCTCAACGCATGCCAGGTGAGTCTGCTTCTTTCCGTCTCTTGGGCTCCTGGCCGCTTCGGATTCCTGATCATGGCTCCGCTTTATTGGCCTCCCTTGCCATTGAGCTTCTGTGGGCCATCGGCTGGCCTGGATAACGAAACGGCTGTTTTTCCGCAGGAGAACGATACCATGGTCGTTCATGTGCTATGGGTGTTCTACTGCATCCTTCGGCACAAAAGCTCGCGAGAAGCGGCTTTGGCGAAGACCCCTGTCGCCGGTTATTTCCTGGACCTTCTCAACGACGCCAATAAAGGAGTCCAGCTGATGTGTGACGCCGCGCTCGATCTCTTGGCGGAACACGGACAGGATTGGGCTTCGCAAGTACGATTGGCGAAGTTCGGTCACTTCAACGCCCAATGGATGGACATGGTCGAGCATGCGGAAGCCAGTTTCAAAGCGACCCGAGAAGCACCGGATACAACGAATCTTTACGAAGGGATGAATTTGACGCTCGACGAAAGCTAGTTGATGTTATATCAAGTTCGTCTAGAATAAATCCCGCTGGGCGGTGAATAACAGCCTGAGAGTTCAAGTCGGACCAAGATTCCTAGTCTTCAGTGTGCCTTCGGCGTCGGATCCCACAATCGCGTGAGGACAACGTTCAAAGCGCCGCGGAGCTCTATATTCGGGAACAGACCCCGCCTTCTGTGAGCTAGCCACGGAATGTCTTGGCCCTTCAGATGAGAGACTTTCTCCCTCCCAGGGTGACTCCTTCCAGTGCAACTCTTTCGGGATTCTGCCAGGCTTACGGCGCGGAGGGGCCCACAAGTTTTCCTGGAGAGGCATAGCTTTTTCTGTCCGGAGGAAGAAATTGGGTCAAGAACCCTCGGAAAAGCGCAATCCTTGGTGAGGGACGTGGAGCGACGACTCCTCTAAGCCGAGTCGCTCAGTTGTCGAATCAGGTTATTTTGCTGGCTAGACGGGAGCCCAATGGAGAAGAGTTTCCTTCAATTAGGCGTAATGAGCCCATCGGGCGTGCTCGACATTTCCCTTCCAGTGCGGGAAAGAATCGGAGCATCGCAATCTTTCTCGGAGGAGGCTCAAGCGCACGGTGCGGTCCCGCCGCAAAAAAGGCGATTGAACTCGCGAACGAATGTCTCGTTGCATTTATTCGAGTATGTCCGACTAGTGCTCCCACAAACCACACCCTCATCCTTCATTGATCCGGAGAGTTCCTCGCGCCGGATCATCGACGCGAAGTGCCGTGCGAATCCGGGGCAGGTGCGTGATCCATACCCATCGCCACTCTGGCTTCTTCCAACGTTTGTGCGGCTTGAACTCTGACGCGCTCGGCATTCCTCCTTAAGATCTGCCATAGCATTTGCTTGTCTCCGTTCAGCTCTTCGGTGCGTTCGCGGATCGGATTCAGGAACTCGACCACTGCTTCGGCGACAACCCCCTGGAAAACATCACCGGTGCTGAAACTTCTGGATGAGTTCCTCTCAATCGCGGTATCAAATATCCGAACGAATATGAAACCAGTCGAGTATCTTTGCGGACCTTGTACTTGCCGGTGTCCAACTCCTTGGCGTCTCGCACAATGTCGTCGATGCTCTGACCAGAACACAAGGAATGGAGAAGGACCAGATTCGAAACGCCGGGCCGCTGAGTGGGATTGAACGTCACCGCTGAGGTGCAATCTGTCATTGCCTGCAGGACATCCTCAAATATCATTGAATATCCGATGTAACCGCAACCAGGCCGGCGAATATCTCGCGCGTAAGTACCTTGCGAATTTTATTTCTGACAGTGTCTGGTGGATCGGTTATATCGATGCGACCGTGCGGCAGTGCGCTCTTCGACATTTTCTTCTCAGGATTCTTGAGATCACGTACTCGAGCGCTGTCCGTGTTCAAGAGGGGCTCACAGTAAGGGAAGACTGTCTTCCCGAATCGCTTATTGAAGGTTTCGGCTATGTCTTTTATCAGATGTATGTGGGGTAGCTGGTCCTCACCGACCGGAACGTGAGTGCCCTGCGGGGGGAGATGAAAAAAATCGGGAAATGCTCCTCAATGTCGAGTCGATTCTCGATCCAGTCGCGGCGCCGGCGTCAACGGTTTACAAACCTTGAACAGGAGGACATCTGCAGCTTGGAGCAGCGGGTAAAGATATAGACCCAGAGGCGTTTCTTTCATCCCCGTAGACTTTTCCTTGAATTGCGGGAAGTGATACATTCTGTTCATCGTCGAGATGCAATTGAACATCCACGCTAGCTGACCGTGCTCAGGGACCAGACTTTGGAGATAAATGCTGTCTGCGTTCACTCCACACGCCAGGAGGGATGCTGTCATCAGCTCGATATTCGATCGGAGCACGGGCGGATCGTAATGCGGGATCGTCACCGAGTGCAGATCCACCACACATATGAGACAGTCCGAGGATTTCTAGAAAGCGACCTCGGCATAAATCAGAACCTTACCACAAAATAGATGCAACACTTGCGAAAATTGGAGCAACGGGCTCGAGCTCGTCCATAAATCCAGACTGCTCTGAAAACACTAGGTTTTCCTCACCTGCAACTTTATCCATTGATTGATCGCGCCGAAATAGTTCCCCAAGTGAGGAACTCCGGTCGGCTGAATTCCAGAATAAACTCTGCGCGGAAACTTCGCCAAGGCGCTGGCGGCTTTCATCGTGTCGTTGCAGACTCCTCATCGGATCATGAGACGGTTCTTGGCATCTCGCGATTCGACGGTAGAGAGAATCCCGGTCTCAGGGGAATCGACATCGAGACATTCTATTCTATTTTATTTCGAACAGGAGGCCGGTTGTTGTAGAGCGCGTGTTATTGCTCTGAGGAGTTCCGACGTTTAGGGATCAGGTTGGCGGTGCGCCTAGTATCCTCCTTTGAGGGCAGAAGCTCTCAATTCAGCCGTAGTCCCTATGCCAGGATGAAAGTATTACGATGATGGAAACACGCCCTCACTCGGAGAAAGTCAGATACCGGTCGAGTGAGCTCCTTGTGATGTTCTACCTGCTTGACTTATCCCCGGACAGACCTGGTCATTCGGGGCCGGACAAGCACGGGAGCGTTGGATGAAATAGAAGCTTAACTATCCCCCTATAGAATAAAGCAGTAATGTCGGTCCGTCATTGTACCAAATATCGGGGTTATTTGTCTGTCAAAAGACTTCAAGTTACTTTGACTCGATGCCGAATCATTCCCGCTAGCGTAAGAAGTACTTTTCCACTCGATCAATCGCATCGTTCTCGAGTTATTCCGGAAAATTATCAAGTTTTTCTCCAGTGTTCGCTGGAAACGAAATCCTCTCCACCACTTCTCTCCACATGATGCCACGACCGTTCCGGCAAGGCGCGCGATTCGAGAGACGTCGCAGCAGCCTACTAATTTCAGCATGATCTAATTTGATAATGATAATTTCTCCCCCTATAGAATAAAGCAGTAATATCGGTCCGGCATTGAACCAAATATCGGGGTTCTCCACTCGATCATCAGAGGAGAATCGAGAGCTATGAGATCGAACGTAATGCTTTCCAAACTTTCTTCTATAATTCTTTAGCGTATCTGATGAGCGATGCCCATATATTTCACCTGTTTCATTACTGTGCAATCATTTCTCCTGCTCCATGGGAGCGATGGGAGAGTCCGACTCTGCATCCATATATCTTTTTGAACTCCAATCAGAATTTTCTGTCGTGAACATCTTCGACAAAAAGAACTTTGGGACTCACGCGCGGTTTGCCTACATTCTTCGAGAGATTCAGTGACAAGTACGAGAGACCTAAGCAGTGTTTTTTGTGATCTGTGGAGTTTCGTCACGAGGCTCAGAGGTCTCCTCATTGAATTCGCCATGCCCAAGATAAGTCGGAGGCGTTGCTTCAATTCGCCCGCGAATCGACCCGTGAATAGAGATTCCAAACTGTAAGCACAGTTGTGAATGCTCATGCGTCGTGCTATCATTCAGATATCAGATAGGCATACATCGGACAAAGGGAATCTCCATATCAGATATTCCTCAGAACAATAACTGCCGATTGCTCACGACAAATTCGTTCAGGCCTGCGAAAGCATCGCATCATTTTTCTCATGCTAATTCATGTGTTCATGCTCTTTGGTGTCGTACTCATTCATTGCGAATCGGTATCACGCTTTCCGTCGTAATCACTCGACAAACTCGCTCGGGCCTTGGATAGAATCGCATCCGGCGTGCGGGCAATTGAGCCGCGAGGGCGCGAAGCGCCCTCCCGGCTCGTCTTGAATAAGCAGATTCTTCCAAAATCCTTTGAAAGGTTACGTTACCTTCAGAGCAGGTCAGATGTAAGGGGTGAGGAAAACGATCGATAACTGAAGACGGGCGAGAACGGTCTAGACCGGACCGAAATTTCGTAAGAAATTCGCAGCTCATGGTCGATGTCGGACTCATCCTAACCGCGAGCCCTTTGACGGACGCATTCGTGGACGGTGCGCGAAAAAACTCGTTTTGTCACATTCAGGGCTTCAGATATAGTCTGTCGCAGAATAGATTCCTATACAGAATGATTCATTCATAAGAATGTCTGTCGCGAAGAACCTCGCCTCCCCGATACGCCTCCAAAATCGGTGTCAGAGAAATTCAGAGAACCGAGTTCTAAAAGACGGCCCCATATCTAATCCCGCGCCCGCTCATAGGTGTCCCGTTTTGAGCTGGGACTGGAGGCCGAACTCTCGGAGTCTAGTCGGGGGGTCGTGATTCATGACTCGATCCGACGATTGATGGGTTCTTTATTTGAGCGCGATACTGATGACCTGATGACGTATTCGAATAATGGGGAATCTTCCGGTATAGAAAATAGGTTCATTTTTATTTCGATCATCCCAAGTCATTCGTTGGTGGGTCTCTTGGCATCGCCGGGAGGCTTAATATCTCACAATATAGACGCCTTGCCCCCTCGTATGACTGTCTGTCCGTCTCTCCTCAATTTTTCTCTGGCTGGAAGTGCTTCTGGTCTTTCTTGTACAATGCTAGCATCGAATCGTAGATACTGTCTGGATTCGCGTGACGATCTATCCAAGACTGGGCAAAACCCTCCGGCGTGTTTGGGTAGGAGAGCAGTTCGACCTCGTTAGCTGGAACAGACGAATACGAAGCCATCAAGAGAAGGAAGGCGCGATGAGCATTTAACACTGATAGAGTTTGGACAAGCCGGGAGAGGAACCGATATTCTGCGAGCCATTCTCGAGTTCATTGGCTTTATCGATACATTCGGACATTAAACTCACAGGCAGCGTTCAAGCGGGTGTTCGATTGAACCAGGATCATTCGTGGTTTCTTCCGAGCGATCACGATATCTCTCCAGTTCGCAAATTGGGACTGGGCAGGGACTTCCGAGAGGCGAAGGTACATTTTTGACGCTTCCTTGATGTCAGCGAGTGATTTATAGACCTGCAGTTTGACCAGGAAATCTCGCATGGCTTGCTTGCCTTTCTTGTGTATCTCTTCCCTGGAATGTTTCGATAGTCATGTTTAGCGAAGCTTTCGAAACCTCAACTCTGAAGAGAATCGGAGACAAGCATGGTCGTCTCCATGAGGGCGCAACGAACCTTTTCAAGGTGACTCGCAAGTCGGGTTTTTTGTCCGTTTCACCAAGGCTCTCCTCGATCGTGACAAGTCCTGGAGCAGATTCCAAGAGGACTCGGAGGATGACGTAGCGAGCTTGGGAATGAGCTTGTCCCCACTTCTTCGCATCGGGATCGTAAGTCTCCAAGCTCCGGAGACCAGCTAATACCATCATCAGCCAATTCGCGTAAACGATGTCGTCTTGCTGTTGAGTTTCGACATGACCGAAAATTTCCAGGATGTGACGCTCAAGGGTGAGGTATATGCCGATGGCTTCGGCTCTGCACTCTTCGTAAGTGGAACTCATGTTTCCGAACTGTGAATCGTACGTTTGACCCGCAGTGTACCATGTCTCGACCTGGAATACATCAGCGGATTAGATGTATTCAACAAGCTAAAGAAATGACCCGCTCGGAAAATGGACAGTACACTCAGGAATCCCGCGTACCGGTTTGCCTGTCAGAGGATTCACGGTCGACACGTCGAAATTCGCGCCCTTGACAGGATCTTTCTCGAAGAGCTTGCCGGTTCCATGGCCGAGGAGCTCATGTAGTCCGACCTGTACTCCAAGAGCAGCATCTCGATATTTCTTCAGCAAGTCGGCGTCGGTCTTGGTGACGAAGTCGATCTCTGCAGCGGACATCCGAGCTTTCATCGAGTTTTCGAGGTGCACATTCTTGAATCCCTCATTCTGTCGAATTTCATTATCTGTGGGACATGAGACATGTCAGACAGAAGATCACTCATCGAAACTATAATGACTTATGAGGAGATTTTATCACCTGTTTATACACCCAACTCCATTTCATATAAGTGTATATGTATACATTGATTGTCCGTACAGATTTTAAAGTCAATCGTACAGATTCTAAAGTCGTACATATTGACGACATTCGGCTCAACTCACAATTCGGAATATTGATTCCAATCGGAACTCCGCTTGAAGCAAAGGATATAATGTCCAAAGCTGTGAAATCCGGCTTCAGATAGGAATCCTTCTCGAAAGGGCGAGGCCACGGCATCGACTCCTTGATGACAGCTTCTGCTTTTTCGACGAGAACGCCAAGTCTTTTGGAGCCTTCCCGATTCACAACAGCTACGAAGCCTTCGAACTCCGCACGAGCTCCAGCGGGATCACGATAGTTTTCGATGAAACCGATGTATCTGAAACTCGTGAAGTGGATTCAGCTGCGCTCGAACGAGAGAAATACGGCAGAATTGGCGGAAGTCGAATGATGTGACGATGGCGAAACGTGTACTCACGTCTCGACAGCCGGGCCCTTGTCCATCACCCACGAACGGGACCCATCCTTATGGGCCTGGATTGAGCCCGTTTCGAAGTATTTGACGTATTCCCTCAACATGTTCCGTTGGTTCTCGTTGGCGGCTTCCTTCGAGGCTGATTCCAAGCTCTCTATCACATCCCCTAAGAGCTGAAAAGCAGTACCGCCTAGTGAGGAACCTTCCCCGACCAAGTACGATGGGCCGCAGTCTATGGTCTAAGCTTCACTCACGCTCGAATAGTCGCCTCTCCTGACACGGAACTGAATACCATTCCGATCCTCATGGAGGCTCAGAAGTTTTTCCGCGGTTGTATCAGTTTCATTAGAGAGTTGACGTGAGGCAACTCTGATCTCGTAGGAGGTTTTTCCGTCAACGACCTCCTTGAAAGCTCGTTGATTGTACGCGTCGAGTCTCTTCCCGGTGAGAAACTCGGCGACGATCGCCGCATCTTTCTCGTTGCAGTTCGACGACCAGTATGAGTTTATGCCATGTGGAGGGAAGCCCCGAATGCGAACCGATTCCTTAAAATCGTACATCGGTTCCAGACAGTGTTCAGCCCAGAAATCTTGGTCTTCCGGGAATAAACTTCGCAGAACCGTCTGCATCTTGTTTATCGGCACGTCGGGCACAAACTTCGTGTCACCGAAGGCCCTAGAAGAGAGATCGAACGTCGAAAATCCTAGGCTTAAGACTGTAATCGTACAATCTGCACTTTCTGAATGAAGCTTCATTGTCCGGATGAATCAAGACTTACCGATAGTTGCCGCCTGCGGAGAAGAAAGCGCCACAGTAGACGAGGAACGCTTTTACGTCATCGTCCGTGAAGCTGAATTGTTCTTTGAGGTTCGTTGTCACGCCGTCTAGAGTTGGTTTCGACCGTAGAACTTTATCCAAGAATATGAAGATCAGGGGCGCTTCCGGGGAGGTTTGGTGGAACACGATGAGTTGTCCATACCAACTGGCTCTGGAAATCTTTGTGTCGGCATCCGCTCAATTCATAACCGTCGGAGCTATGCACCCCGCGGCTGGAGCGATTGAGAGGTTTTCATCACGATCCGGACCGATAACAAGCCACTTCAATTTCATGGAAGCGGTATGGTGGACAACATCGACATTCGACCAACCTCGACATGAAATGAGCATAGCGCTTTTCTTGCGGCTTGAGACCCTTGAAAGCCTCTTCACAGCTGAGTTTCCCGAAGGGAGTGTCCTTCGGGTAGAATTGATTGGGTAGAGCCATTGGAGGAGCTGGAAAGTTCGGAAATTCCGTAAATTCAGGACGAGACTCGGCTCCTATCGAGAGACAGCATTACTCAAGCCTTCTTGTGCATCTAGGCGGTGCTTGGCAAGAAGCGGAGCTGTCTCTCTGTAAGTCAGATCCGAAGCAGACTACCGCCGAGACCCGGATAGGTTAGGTGTTGTATAGAAGAAGGGGAGTGCTACACGGAGGCTGCGGACTCCAGCCCGGAGTGTGACAACTGAGTGAGACCACTGAGAGCTTGCGTATTGACGAAAATGATGCGAGCGAGAGATCCATCTGTGGATCTCTTCGTTGAAGATCCCTCAGCCCGGGATGGAAACATGTCGAATCCTTAAGGGGAGAAATGTGAGGATACGAAATGAGAGAAATAGCTCTAACAGGGAATCGGCTTGTCTTCGCATCTGGAGGCTTCATGGGCCCTGAAGCATTCGTTTGCGATGATTCAACATCTCAGTCTAATAAGTTAACATTCGCTTCCTTCAACCCGGCTTCACGAAGGTGAGTTTGTTTGTCGGGAGTCCCAGGTCTAACAAAGAAAAATGTGGAGTAACAGCGTCAGTCAGCTGGAGGTGTGCGAATAATCGAAGCTCTCCCTTGCCATAGGGTCGTCATCGGAGGACGGGAATTTTCCGACCTTTTCGTATTCTATCCGATTCCAAAAATTTCCGACCTACGATGACCAATCTATATGAAATCAGAAATACGAGGTATTCGCAGACCACAAGCTGAATCGAGCTGATACTCCACAATTTCCTCAGTTAGGCCTAGGACTCTCGCAAAGAATACTCATTTTATTATAGTTAAGCTGGATTGAAGAACGCGAATGTTCACATGCAGGAGATGAATGACTATTGTACTCGAAGATTCCAACATGCCGCCACAAGTTGGGACTCCGAACATTCGACTTGATTCCGGCGAATTGGGCACCGCGACTGCCAGCCGCTCTGATTTGCATCATTCGGAACGCACGAGAAATATCTATCGGACGATCATATTATTGACCCCTCGACAAGGAACCAACCACACCGAACCCGTTTTGCGTGCATCAGATCCTCTGACGACCCTCCAAGACTTACCGATACCATTCCGAGAGATCCAGGCAGCCACGAAAATTGCTACACCGACACTCAAGGCAGGCAGCCACCAACGAACATTGCTCATCTAGAGGAGAGGCTGTCTTTATGAATGTTCAAGCCAACCGGGAATCGGGGTTATAGAAAGAGGAGCAATCTTCGCCGTCAACACAGACCAGGGCATGGAGAACTCAAGGGAGCTAAGACGGACAGAGCACTCATTCCGAACATGAATCTGACCTGAAATCACCATTGTCACAAGGAATGACATCAATAGCACAACTCTCATCATTTCCCCGCGAGGCAGATCAACTCAAGCAGTCGACGGTCGATTCCCAGTTCCGCAGCGGAGCCGAGCTTGCCCCTGGGGTGGAAGGTGATATTTTGACCATCTGACCAGATGACATGGCCCGATTAAAAACGCGGCCGGCTCCCATCTTTCCCGCTGTCGGCCAGCAAAAACCCTCCCTCTTCTTCTGTGTACGAAACTCGCAGCGGGAGATGCTTGGGCAAAAACAAGACGACACTGACGTGCCACCCGAGGAAATCCATCTTGGACCAGGGGGTCGTGACTGGTAGGGAGACTTTGCGCTGTGATCGAAGAGGGGAAGACCGGCGCCTCCCCAACTCCGCAGTCGGTGCCAGCCTCCAGAACCTTAGCCAATAGCCAAGTCTCACTGATCCCCTCTACCGGAAAGCCGCAAGGCGGCGTCGTCGGGGCGCGCTCACGCTGATTGTTTTCTACTTCTAATCTGAGGGTCCGAACAACCTGGACCAGCACCGATTCCCCTGCCAGTGTAAGCCGAACTTTTTCTCTCGCGGAACCCCTCGGGGTGCGCTAGGGATCTCCGGAGCCCCAGGGCACCGTTTTTTGAGCCATAATGCAATGCATGCTCTTTTGACACCGCAGAACCATCGATTCCCACCGGAAAGGGTACGGAGGATGCCTTTATATACGAGAATGAACTTGAGCTCGGGAGAAATTAGGAATTTTCGGATTTACGGAACCTAGCTTGACGAACACCCCTACAGGCTTGCTGGTCTCACACATTCTGCGAGGCGAATTTGGCCTTCAGAAGGATCATTCCTTTCTTCTTGAGTACTCCGAGTCGCTCTGTACTTCAGGCTGTCAGGTCAATAGGACGAGCGAGCTTGCAACGTGGCACGTGCGGATAGTCCCCAGAACAGCGGAATGCCTATATCAGTGCCTCGATCGTGCAGAAGAGAAAACCCGCTATCGTCGGTGTCTTCGACACCGCTCAACGGTACCCATGAAACAACTTACAGCTTCAGAAATTGCGAATTGAGCTCGAACTTCAAGGACGGAATCTGACAAAAGAATCCACCGGCGACGCCTCCACAGAAATCGTGAGGATCGTCACAACAGTCGTCAGCCAGCGGAATGGTAGCGCCGCGCTCAGTTCAAATTGTGGCGCGAAGCTCCCTCCGAAAGTTTTCCTCTGGAATGTGCCCGACTGAATCTCACTCCGCTACTCTGGTCTCTGGTGGCACTGGATCCCAGAATCTCGCCGCTTTTAGTTCAGAAGGCATGCGGAGCTCAAACTGAGGTCTCGATAGCCTGAGGATGTCACCTACCCTTCGACTCCGTGTGACTCTTCGAATCGTTCAACTGAAAAATGGTATGATTCCAGTCAGTCTTCACCGTCGAGCAGAAGCCGAATGAGCACCGATTATCACCGGAACGATCACTCTACGTACGCGTTCGCGTCCCTCTTCAGGTTGCGCAGCCGAGACGTAGCAACAAAATCTCGTCGGTCCCAAAGCCGGGTAATATCACGGAGTTCTGATCGGTACTGCATTCCTAGTCGATAGAATCGCCAATTCTAGCGGGGACGGTGCGAGATGCTTGCTCCCATGCTCGTTTAGACAGGGAAACTTCACGGGCGTTCGCACCGAAGAACCGATGAAAAACTTCCTGACCTTTTCGTTCAAACTTCAGGCCAAAGTCTCCTCCCAAGACCAGTCGGGTTCGTCCGACGTGTCGCACAAAGCCGCAAAGTCTCAACTCCTTCCTCGTGATGAAACGGATCATTGAGCTCATGAACATCGTTCTACGGCAGAGTAGTGATCTCGCCGAGGAAAACTTATGATGCGCAAGGAGAACTATCATCCACAAAGAAATAGATCTCCAAATGGCTACCACTGATAAAAAATCATAAATCCTCATTATAATCATGTCTCATGTGCGCTCGAGACCGGTCAGCATCTAATGTATTGTCTGGCTCCTCCTCATTCACTCAGTGATTGTTGACACTGTCGACAACGACGACAATTTGTGTTTGTTCCGATACGATGCTTGTGTCTTGTGATTTCCATCACGGCAAGCGGCGAAGCGGCTTCAGAAACTCTTGAAATTCTCCTCAGAGCGTCGGTAGTCGACGTAGCGTCAGGATAGCTCGCTCGGGTTGAGCATCTAATCCCGCATTCGCCGAAATAACCCACCCGCGGGGATCTACCTCGCCTCTCGCGCTACCTTCCAGTTCATTCATTTTCATTCCATTCCTCCTTTTATTTCCAAAAGGTTTTTTACATCCTCATTTGAAAATCTACGGATACGCCAGGCGTAGGAGTTGCTGACTATAGCGGTACGGGCAGTCTCGGGCGGCTTCGCCGAGAGGCCGGTTCTACGGCTGCGAGAGAGAGAGTATCACAGAGCTTGTGTTGTGCTAGGAGTCTGAGGGCTAAGGCCTTATCTGCCCGGACGAGAAGCTCTGGGAGTGGGGTGAGATCGAGCTCCAACTTGGGAATGTTGCACCGGCGGGCTAGGCGGCGGAAAAAGAAGATTGTATGCGCTTTAGTAAAGATAAATCTCGCTCACAAATTGGGGACCAGACAGTTGAACAATACAAGAGTCGAGGAATGACCAAACTGCGGATGATCAACAATAAAAAAGCGCAAAATGAGGTTTGTGACTCGACTAGCGGCGCGAGCAACGTTGACTACATGAGATCGGAACTTAAGGTCCGAGTCGAAGGTGACGCCCAAATCCCGGAATGAGGAAACAACGGGGATGGGATGGCCGTCGGCAAAGTACTGGATGCTACATGGCACCGTCATCGCGACGGCGCATTTCGGTATCGATAGCTTAATCTTGCTCAACTTGGCCCATTCACATATCTTGAAGATCGTGTTCTGAAGGTCAGCACAGTCAGGTGGGATCGGTGATACGGCAAAAAAAAATCAAAAAATTTCGTCTGCGTAGATGCGATATTGAATTCGGTCGTGTCTCAGTAGATGTTTGAGATCGTCACAGTAGATCGTGAACAACAGGGGTCCGAGTCGGGAACCTTGTGGGACGCCAGTCGGCGCGGGGGCCGTCTCAGACATGGTAGAACCAACTTTGACGCGGAAGTGACGATCGGTGAGGTATGCACGGCACAAGGAGACGATACGCTCCCCGAAGCCGAGATCAGACATTTTCGACAGGAGAATCGCGTGATCACAGATGTCAAAAGCGGAGGAGAAGTCGAAGTACACACAGTGGACGGGAGCTCCTTGATTTTTTGACGTGAAACGTCTTTAAAAAGGTTGGCCTAGTATTTCACCAAAAGTGTGACGAAACTTGTCCATTTTCTACGCCCTGCAGCTCCGTGCCTTCTACACCGATCGACACCCGGTTGGTGTCTTTAGATAGCAAATTTACGGCACATCAGTTTTATATACTTCCTATGGAATTCCCACACGCACAGATCAACTCCTGAAGGCAAGAATGACACCCTATGCGCCCTATTAGCCCGTGATCATGGCTGCTCCTGGGAGAGGGCGATTTCGAATTTCCAGAGCGCGCGTAACGGCCCAATGGCTAGCACCTCTTTCAAAACTCAGAAGAAGATATTTTACACTCAGATGGAGATATTTTCCGTTCAGAAGAAGATATTTTCCGTTCAGAAGAAGATATTTTCCCAACATCGGTGAAGAGTTCGACTTCACCAGTGATAATGAGACCGAAAAGTACGAGCTGAGTTCAAAAGGATAATGACGATGCTCGAGTCTTACGAATGGCCATCCCGACATCCCGACGACGTTTCACGTCCTCTACACGGTAGTGGCTCTGCTGCTACCTCTGAATTTTTTGCAACGGCCCAGTAGTGTGATACTTCGATAAGTTGGGTCTCGGTACTCCGGCCTTCAAAAAACCCATGTTGGTGAGGGTCGTTCTGGCCTGTGGTTGCGAGGAAATTAGCTAGGCAGATAGTTACAACGCGCTCCATGCTGAGGCATGGGATGGAGGCTTGGGCAATGGGGCGGTAATTTTTGGGATCACATTCGGGACCTTTTTTGTGCACGGGAGTGACGATCGATAGCCGGAAAAAAATCAGGAACCTGGCCGTCTTCGAAATAACGAGTGCAAAGCGAGTGGGGCTCGCAAACGTGGTGAGCAAGACGTCTGAATACCGAGGGCGGTATGCCGTCAGGAGTGAGACTATGCTTATTCTTGAGCTTTTTAAGCTTCTTTACCACGCCCTCAGGGGGGAAAATCACATCATTCACAGAAACGTCGCTGCGAAGGGAGGATCTCGCGTGCGGAACAGGGGGCGCAGAGGGGTCGGGATTCGGGATTGAAAACAGTTGCGAAGTGCGCTAGGAGCTCATTCGCCTTATTCGTTTCTTCGGTCAGGGTTCTGTCACCGACGACTACTGGGGCAACACCAGTTTGCGCGGAGAGGCGGCTGCGGGCATAGGCGAAGAAAAATTTCCGGATTAGCGGTGCCGATAGTTTTCTCGAGGAGCTTTCGCTGCCGCAGAGTCGCCCGGGCAAGGGATCTGGCAAGCGCCTGATGACCCTCAGAAGGCGGCTTTTCGGATCGGAGCTTGCAGGTGGCCCGACCGATGAATCTGTCCATCGGCGATGGGGAAGCGGCTGCATGAGGCGTGAATACGCACAGTAGATGTGAGAGATATTCACGGAAGTGTTCATACATTTCGTCAGTTGAGTGACAACAAGCGGAAAACTAGCGCCAGTGTACAATTGACAGGTTAGCGGCAACGGAATCAAAGTCCGTCCGACGGAAGTTGATGACGGGGACGTCAGGTTCTGACGGGGACCGTAGCCTAGATTATAGTATGACGTCAAGACGAATCGCGAGATCATCGCTCACCACGGGGGAGGGTTGAACCTCGACCAGGTCAATCAGATGAGGGCATTTGGTGAGCACGAGGTCTAGTATGTTTCCACTGCGGGGCCGCGTGGCGACCTCTACGAGCTGCTCGAAAGCAAAAGATAGACAAAACGTCAGAAAAATGTGCTCCTTGCTGGCTGGCAATCCAACGAGTTTAGTGGTTGACCATTGGATGTCGGGTTGGCTGAAGTCGCCGAAGAGAATAATGGGCGCAGGTGTGTCGCTCAGAGAAGACAGAGTACCACACATTCGGGACATGCGTTCGGAGAGTTGATCCGCGCTTCCAGTCGCGGAGAAGTACGCAGTGATTATTCGGCAGTGATCGGGTTAATCGAGTAGTATGTCCACAGCGATGACTGGGTAATGGAGCAAGTACGGGATGAAAGTACGGTTTGACAAGGAGGCAAGCACCGCCTACATGTGCGTTCCGGTCTTCGATGAAAATCTCGAAGCGTCCGTTACCGGATAGTTCACTATCACTCAGAGCCTCGGAGCGCAGTCTCGAGTACCGTCCGGCGAATCTTCTATCTATGCTTTCGCCTAGTCCCATCGATTCCTGTTGCCATCCCGCTACCTGCTGATTCTCAAAAAAACTAATGCATAGAGCGTCTAAGACGCGTATGTACTGCGGCCGTTGAATTCTGGGTAGTATTCCGTCGAGTGGTGCACGAACCTCCGCGGAGAAATGAGGCGACTTCGGACGGGAACCGTCTCTGTCTCTATGCCCGTCTGAGCCGTGAGGTATTTTGGCTTTTCGTCTTTCCTCGCTTGCCAACGTCGTAATCATTCGTAAATCTTTGTGTGATGAGAATGAGGAGCCGGCCATTCTTGTCGGACATTCATTCCGCTCCTGATTGCTTCTCGCTCTATTGTGTCTCCCGAGAGTGCAGCCATCGACAGGTACCGAGAGAAGATACAAATATCTCCCTCGAACGAGTGAAAGAACAGCCCGCAGTCATTGGGAACTATTCCATGTTGAGTGTCAGTGATCCTCGGGGAGCGTGGGAGAGGCTCAGTGAGCGAGAAAACACTTGCAACACCAAAATACCGCTTTTGCCCAAGAGCTGGAACGGTGAATCCACAATCCTGAGGAGGGCTCGGGTCGAGTGGGTGAAGCACGGATTCTCCAGGCTCCACCAGGTAGCAGAGTGGTCTGTCTCGAGTATCCTCGTGGGCTGGGCCCAGTGCGAAGCTGCGACGAGCAGCAGAGATGGATCGGGAAGATCTGCTTCTCGACTGCGAGAACATTTGAAAGTGCGCGCCGAATGGAATACGTATGAGAGAGGCTGTAGTTGAGAGACCGCGCACCGTGCGGACCCGGTCCGCTGGTACATCGGACCTCAGCAAGAACACTATGGCTAGGGATTGAGGAGAGCGAGCCGGCGGGGTCATGAGCGTCCGGTGGCGACGGTATGCGGTCGGCAAAATCACCTCGAACCAGAGGAGAAGCGAGCTGGGATGACTGGATTGCGGCGGAGCTCAATATGGGTACTGATGGATGGCTGGTGATATCGAGTTACCGCATACACTCGTCGAGAGTTCTAAAAAGAGAGCGGGTGACCCCAATTTCCGATTTTAGTGACGAGAAGAGGATATGGAATGACTGATAAGAATCGGCAGAAATTTCAACACGCAAGCCCACATCTTCGCGAAGTGCAATAACACCATAGATATTTTGGTGGTGTGTGTGATTCGTTGAGGAGACGCGTATCATCGTAATCAGCAGTAATGATTCGGTTCTGAGCGCTTGCCAGTACATCTAAGTAGTCGAAGATCAGAAAAAGATCGTCAAGCGAAAGATCACACTGGTGATATTCATTCACTTAGACTCGTGACGCAATTTCAGATTTGAGGAGAAGAAGGGAATGAAAGGAGGGAAGGAGGACGGCAGTCTCCGGTGAGACACCCAGCGCATCCAGAGGGTAGACGACCGTGGAAATTCAAAGACGTTCTACCTCAAAAGACGACTCGTTCTCTCTTCCTCTTATCATACCCATTCACACGGAATTTATTGTTCTCAGCTCTTGTGTCGTCCCTTTTTGTACAAGTTCGGCGGATAGTTTTTCCCGCCGAGTGTTTCCTCTGCGCCGACCGATCTTCCAATCGGCAGCACGTGCTGCGCGAGCAGCATTCGAACGGAGATATATTAACAAATCATGCTCTGTTCGCTGATTCAACTCGGTCGTTCTTCGGAGGTTTGTATCTGATAATTTGTCATCATTCCTGCTCTTTTCTCGAATCCATTCGAGAACTTTCCGTTCCTCGGAACGTACAGTCTGACAACCTTGCGTTGTTTCTGCGTGTTCGCTGCCGGTCTAGCATCCTGCACCTCCTCAATGGGCCCGTCGTCCATCCTTGATTCTGGCTTGATGTTGATGAAGCTCGACGGCATTATTTCGGCATCGATCTCCGAGGCTGCGACCACGTTCTTTCCTTTTTTGCGTCGCTGACTGATTTGCTTACGGAAATCTTTCGCCGTCGATCGCTCCTGCGAGGCTACCCTGTGCGGCTCGTGCGCGTCGCCGGCGTCGTTGACCGGATTTTTCCTCGATTCCTTGGGTCTCGTATGAGGCACCTGGACGTACCGCTGGGAATGCGTCACCGCGGAATCTGGGAACGTCGTACCGAAACTCGACTTCGCCGTAGGTCTCACTGTGGTTACTGGGGCCGTTGTCTGTACTTTCGTGAATTCGATCTGGTTAGGCGCCAGTATGTTCACTCGGTGTGGCACTGGAACTTCGGTGAAGAATGGTTTCTCCGTGGGCCGTTCCATCCTGAAAAGAAAGTCGTTTAAGGGCTCCCGTGATCGGAACGGATGGAATACGGTCAGGCGAAGCTTAGGGGATCGTTTGGTACATGCTCGAATACTTCGCTCGTGACACCATCAAGTCGACTTCCAGCGGGTTCAGAACAGAACATCTGAACAACTCGATGCCGAGTCTTTGATTGTGATACCCTCGGAAGCTGACTCAGATGGTCCCAGTTAAGTAGCGCGATCTAGCGAGGGACCTCGACCTCCGAGAGCTCCATGGCGCTTGCGGTGTACCTTCCTCTGGATCTCCTCGGACCTCCTTTATCATGAGGAGCTATCGATGTATCCGAATCGCTCCCTATACTTGCCCCTCAGAGTCACAGGCAGGAGACATGGGTTCTCTGAAGGATTGTGGATTTCTGCTTGCTGGTTCCGTTTCTCCGCGATATTCGATCAGCGGAAAATTGACTCCCCCATCTTCGAAACCGACCCATAAATTCCGTGGAAGAGTTCGATTGTCCAATGTATGCCGTCGGTATTCAACACCTTCACGAGAAAATTGTGGAATTTTTTTTCTCTGCTTCACCCTCAAGTCCTGATCATTCGATCAATCCGAGACATGACAAGCAGTGCTACCAGCCATGGCCTTGGGGCCACCCTAAAAGCCTGATCCATCTCGCGGATCTTTGGAAGCCGTGACTCCATAAGTGGAATTAAGAATTTCCAAAGGATGGGGAAGTCGATGACTCAATGATTGGACGGAGACGTCTTGCCTTCCAGCATGGGAAGTTCAGGTGGCTAGAAGCTCCTCAGAGAGACAGGTTAGGCTCTCGGAACTCCGCCACGAACTCGTCCATGGTTGGGTATGGAAGACTGTATATATATTCCAGGAAATCCCCTCTCAATCGGAATGTCGAGGGAAGGAGATCGTGTACAGCGGCGCGAAGCTCTTTTGATGCAAACCAGATATGCTCACAGACACCCTCTGACAGGCGACAAGGTCAGATGGATCAGAAAGCGCATACCCTCCTAATGCATATAGTATATAGAGCAATAATCCGCTTTCCAAGGATAAGCCTCGAGGTCAAGCGGTGAGCCATAAAGAGCGGGCCGGTGGCATATTCTGCTCCCGTGTTTGTCTCTTAATGATTGAGCTTTCTCAATGATGCTGACACACAGCAGGTCCCAAACTTAGTTTTAATATTATAGCATTCTTGACGGGCACCTGTCTTTGATGTAGTTCACGTTGACTGAAGTCTTCTGAGGCAAGTCGTTCTTGGCACAACGATGGCTGTACGGCCCGATGCAAGCCGCGTAGCTCAACGCGTGCGGAAGGTAAGACTGCTCAACCGACCCGGTGAACAAATGAGCCCAAGGTCCCACAGCAAACACCGGAACATCTTCAGCGCTGTGGACTCCGGTGGTCAAGTTGACCATCGACGGGTAGAGATTTCTGTTCATTTTACGCGCGGGAGCGCTCCCACCGGGACCCGAGGCATAGCTGAGTATATTGTGTCCATTTTTCTCCGTTTTCCCTGCGGTTATTAGAAAGATTTAGAATATTACAGGAGGAATATTGACGAGCGAATCAGACGGGCCGCTCGGATCGCGCTGAGATGCATATTTGCATGCCGGAATGCGACAAGATAATTTCCCCCCTCCCAGAGCGGTTTCAAAGTCTCCCGTAATTCGACGGTGAATTTCCGTGATCCCAGTTCCCACCTAGAACGTTTTTCCCTCGCGCAGCGTATCCGTTCACAGTGAATGGATGCGAATGGTCCGCGGTAACGAGGAACAACGTATTTTTCGGGGACAGGAGTTTCGTTGAAATGCGCACGGCTTTATCCAATTGATAAACTTCTTCAAGAGCGTGCGCGGCCAAATTATCGTGATGCGCTTGATCGATGTTCCCCGCTTCGATGAACAACACGAAACCTGCGAGAGTACAAGATCAAATTCAGATCATGTTCGAGATGAATACATCTGGAATCCATGGTGCGCGATATTTACCACGGGGCGCTTTTGAAAGAGCTTTGATTGCCGCCAGAGTCATTTCCGCCAACGACGGCTCTTCGCTCGAAAGGGAGTCGTTGCTGCCGTAGAGATTGTCGAGAGCGAACGAGAGTCTCTGAGGGGCGAAGAGACCCAGAAGGAAGTCAGCAGAGTATCGGGGATCCTCTAACTGTTCCAGATGGTCTCTAGTCCACACGAAAGCCGCCCGAGTGTCCTCTTCCGTGTGCCTTTGTAGGTACTCTTCGATCAAATTCCGGCCATCTTTCCTGGTTGGATCGGAGAAAAACATGAAGGCTCATAAAAGTGAATGCGTCGGCGACAATGAAGATAGCTTGATTCAATGATGGTATCTAGCCTTTACATATATGCTGCTATGTTCACGAACCGGTTCCCGCGCGCATTTATCGGCAATCCGTCACCTTCGATCATTCGTTGTTCTTTGGGTCTGGTCTTCTCGGGCAAAAACTCAGACAATCCACCGCCAAAAATCACTTTCAGACGTGAACCCGTATCACCATGAATCAACTGCTCTGCGATGTCCTTAGCATGACAACCGTTAGGGACAGAAGAAGTATAAGTCCGATCCGCGGAATGCGCATAAGTAGCTGCGGCCGAGGCCCCTGTCACGCTGTCCGTGGTGACCAGACCTGCAAAACGGATGATTTACATACGAGTCTTAGTACCTTGACAATCGACCCCAACACGGACGGTGCCCACGAGCCCCGCGAATTCCTCGGTCCCCTTGAGGGGGATCATCATAAATCATGGGCGAATCGAGACAAAGTATGGGTGGAAGAAAGATCACGCTCAGGAATTCGAGACAGACCTGTCCATTTGCCGTGGGCTTGAGCCCAAGCCAGGAGACTCTCCACTTGATTCTCCCGCCGGGAGGCTGCGGCACAATCTCCTCTCTTGACTTTAGCGGTCACCCCCAATACGCCGTTGTTCGTTTTCACGCCACACAGGTAGGCGGTTCCGGTGGCCGCTGAGTCCGGCGTTTGTTTATCGACGGAGTATGTCTGAAATGGAGCGTAGGCTTCGAAGCTTACTCATCGAAACCGGAGTAGTCAATCTGTTCAAAAAGTTTTCTTCCCAAGAAAATCCGCTCCCGAAAAGCGGCTCAACCTTTCACCGCCACGTTCGTCGACAGTGGCATCAGCACGATGGCGGGCCAAACGGATGTGACAGGGAGCCCATCGGAAACTCTCGAGCTATGATCATCTCAGTGAACTTTGACCTCACGCACCAGCTGAGAGGCGCGCAGTTAAGACATCACTTAATAGCGAAGAAAAACTGAACCATTTTTGTTACGGCCGTGCCTCGTCACTCCACTGTAATGTTACTTTCTATCTCACTCAGTCGGTCGAGACAAACAGGCGGACGACCCGAAAAGGCCACGGAAAGCCTTCTGAAACGGTTTTGTCTGATTCTCCGTATCCAGCAGGGAATTTCGTCACTGATTGTGGTGGGCACAGGTTTACACCGAGGCGGAAATCCAAAAAGATGGCCTTGTGTTCGTCGCATAGTCGCAAAATTACATCCGTAACCGCGAAAAGAGAGCGAAAGTAGTTCCCCGTTGTCAGCACCGCATCCATCCCACAAGGGACCGCAGGACCGCTGTTCCCTACACCCATTTCTCAGGAATGTGTTGGCAATGAACTCATTTGGAAAATGAGCGTCGATAGAAATGATGAAAGATTTTTCGATAAGTTACAATTGTCTCCCGGAGCGCAATTCCATCACGGACCAGAGCTCTTCGAACGGCATGTCCGCATAGGCGACAGCACTGACCCTTCCGGGGAGATTTCGCGCCGTTCCGATTCCCTCCTGTGGATTGTGGCCTAACCTTTGATAACGCGGTGAATGGAAACTTCTCGAAGTCGAGCACAGCCTCTTCTCCGCTGGCCCCCCGACGCTGTCCCTTGTATATCCGCCCAGCCGTTACGGTGGAAACTCCCATTCCATCTCCCAAAAAGAAAACGATATTGTTCGCGACTCCCGAATTCGTGATTTGAGCAAGCTTGTCATTGAGGGTTTTCGTCGCATCTTCCAACCAGAAGAGCTCTTCATCTGAAAATATTAAGCAACGTCAGTCATCTGTTTTTTCTTTCGGTTCGTGCAGTGTCTGGGGAGCAATTCACGGGGTCATGTCTTTCTGAGTCATTGGAGCCAGACATATCGCCCGTATGTGTTTTTCAACCAATCAAGGCCCGATTTCGAAAATCTCCTTCTCAGGACGGATATGAAGCATCTGATTTGATTAGGCTGTCGTTATGGAGAAGAGCACCCGCAGGACCCTCGGTGTAAATCAAGAGTTTACATAAGCATGCGGGGAAGCGACAGAAGGTCGTTTCTCCCACGCTGGTTTTCCGTACGTCTAGAACGGAGACGACAGAAGACAAGCTCACAACGACCCTAACGTGAATTTCTCGGCGAAGAGCAGATAATCCTAGCTTTTGTTTGTTCACTACAAACGCAATACGATAAGAGCACTTGATCTTCATAATGCTTCGCTCACTGAGACAAGGCTCAGCTATGACGTAACCAGAGAATGCGAGCCATTTGTATGAAATTCATTCATCGAGCGACGAAAGCCTCTTCGGTCAACTGCAGACATCGGGGGCTCAAACGAGCACACGACTTTTGCGCGTGTGTCATTTGATGGCTCGCACAATGGTGCTGACCATTCCAAGGCGACGTGGTGCGGGCGCTCATCGAGGCGGAGGTCTGGATTCCCCTCTCACCTCTTCCGTTTAGTGTGAAGGTTTTCAAGCGGGATTCGGGCTGATCCGAGCTCTCTGATTGAAAAGTTCAACTGCGATCTTAATCTTCCTTTCGCTTAATCGCGACACACATACACATACACCGGTCGCTTCGGTGACTCCGACTTCTTCAAACATATCACTGACGTCTTAGTAGTAAAGATCGGAGCCTAGAGAGGGTCTTTCGGGGAAAAACGCTACCGGGAAGAGGCTTACCTTCTTCGATCCTGTAATTCGGAAAAACTTTCTCCTCGGGAAGCGATTGCTGAGCTGCCGCCAGCATCACCAGATAACCGGTGACAACCAGGAAAGATCCGCGCATTTTCTCATTTAACGTCTGGTCACCTGGAATACAAAGTTTGCACGGTTATTTCCTACTCACGACGTAGTTCAACCAGGTGATCCTCGAGAGGCTCTAGGAAACGATCTGAATCAGAAACTCTTGGTGGCCTCATTGTTTCCCCATGATTTCATCAGCTAATGTGTACCGTTTAGATTCCCTGCTGGACATTGTTTCTCCATGCGGAGAATTTCATCATTTCTCAACTTTTTTTGAGAAAACAATCCCTAATTAAACTCATCATCCGAATCGCCTCGTTGATGGCACTCAGTCGCAAACAGCAAGCCCTACATTTTTACATTCAGATGGGGATCTCGTTAGGGAAGTGATCCGAATGTGACCGAAGCTCATCCGAAGAACTCGTTCTGCTCAAATTTTTTTTCGGTGACGGCAGCTTTCTCCTGGGAAATTGTCTCTCTGAACGGAAAGGTAACGTTCAATCGAGAAGTCGATTGACATTCTGCTTGAGGAGACTATTCGAAGCTGATCGAACGACTCATCCAGGGAGCTTAATTTGCTTGAAGCTATCCTAATCGACAGAAACTTTTTCATGGGATTTTCTCTTTCTCTCGTCACAGTTTCACAGAGGGGGTAAATATATATTCCTATAGTTAAGTCCCACAGGTGGGATCACTTTAGTCGGGATGGTCCTGTGAATTCTCAACGCTTGTTTCAAGTTCCCAGTGAGTTTTTAGCGGATATTTAGCGAATGCCAGTGATTTGACGAGACAAGTGCCGACGCGACGGAGCCTGTTCCCGAATTCTGTCTCCAGAAAAATAATTTCCTACCTAACACGAAGGAAAAATACTCCGTATGGACCGCTTTCGTTCGACGTGACGAGTATAACTGTCAGACGTGCTCAGTCCGTGGATCGAAAAAGAATTCTCCTTCCCCGACCGCAGAACGCCAATTTGTAGTGCAATTGCCTCCCATTCTGAGAACGGAAAACTAATGGCGGAAGAGAATACGACGAGTTCGTTGTCGATACAGTACAGTTCCGTCGCCCGGCCAAAAATCTACGAAGCCACGAAGTGTACCAGAACAAATTCCTGGACTCTGCCCAGAGGCGCGGTCGCGCTTTTCAGGGTCGTTTCGGGCACTCACTCAAGCATTGAATACCTTTTCAAGTGAATTTTCCGGCCAATCCGATTCCGACGGTCCGTTATTTCAGGTCTTCGTCAGACCCGATCTTATTAAAAGTCGCTCCATTCACGGACCATGCGGTCTCTCGCACGGATTTCTGATTCACGGAGCTTTCCACATCTTTCGTGATCGGATTAGACTCCAGATAATCACCGTTGGGCTGGGCATGCGAAATGGTTTCCGCCGATATCTGTGCAGATGAGAGGAGTGTGACGGGAAAACTTCGTCATCGACGTAGCGCCGGGTACAGAAACGTGCTGGATTGATTAGATTTTCACGAGCCCCATTGGGAGTTCAAGCGCTTTTCACTCCCGAGAATGAAGCCGAACCGTCCTTCAATTTTCCGGGATCGAGGCGAGACCGACCCTGATCCGCTCGGAGCAGGCACTCGATGTGGAGACTCTGATCCATCCAATCAATAGATCCATCGAACACTGGAGACTCCGGGCTTCAGCGGAACATTGTGTCACCAGCCGAGGTCAGTCGAGCGGGTGCGGTTCGTGACTTGGAACAAGTGGAACAGTGAGGTCTGTTTTTTTCTCCACGAGGGAAACGGAGAAGAGACTCCTCTTGAAACAAACGAACGGTCGAGGAGGACAATGACTGTCCCAACTGAATAGAGGCTTTCTTCCCCATTACTCCATAGCAATAGAACCGCACACGGCCAAGATCATATTGATTCGTGGGCTGGATCAGAATAATCATGTCAGGTTGATCACGAGCGAGTCCGGTCGTGCGAAATTCAAACAGCGACTCCGATGCGATTCCTCGCGGTATTTGTTTTCGTTGATGTGACTCGGTTCGAGAATCAAATCAGCTCGCCGAATCAAATGCTCACATTTCGTTTTGAAAGACGAAAAAATACTCGACGTGGAGTCACTATTTTGACCGTTTTCGCCACAATTCACTTGGACGAGCGAAAAGAAGCATTTTTTCGATGCGCACCTAAGGCGATACAATGACATTCGGAGGTACGACGGGCATATTTGGCCGGGGACGTGAGCGTCAAAAACGCGATCCTGTGACCGTGGGTTCGATAACGACAAGCGAAGAACTTACGTGCGATCTCCAGAGAGCCAGACGATTTTTTGAAGAGGGTTATGAGCGCAACTACGTTTCGCTCCAAGGTATTTTCAACACATCGGAATCGAACATTGTCGTTCTCCACCAATTCAATCCGCTTCGATTTTTTCCCCTCGAGGTCCCAGTCGCCTGTCGGTCATGGGTCATGGGGCTACTCCTATGGTCTGCACTATCTCCTGGCCACGTGATTCCATTTTTCGAATCGCCGTCCTATTATTCCGGTGTTCTCATTACCGAAGTATACATCGGACATACTCATGAGGAGTGGAGTCAGCTTTTCTTGCTCCACTAGGCCCTCATTGTCGCTCCTTGCGTCACAGCCTCGCCCGCTTGAGCGATCAGCGGTCTTCCCGAAAGAGTGTCGCGACCGTTAATGGTGTGCAGAGTATTCGAAGCTGATAGGTCGGACCTTTTTCGCCAAGATTCTCCAGCTGAGCAATAACATAGAGCTGAGAGTCCGATCAATGTGAAGAGATTCGAATCCGCGGGAATTCCCGGCGATAGTGCTTTTCATATGGGGGGAAACTGAGCCATCCGAACACGAAATAGTGGAATAATCGCCTCACTCGTAGAAATGAAAAAAACTTCAGTGACACTCCCCGACCGGTAGGGCTTGATTGAAATCCGTTGGGGGCGGCGGAGACGGCTGCAGAGACCGACGCGAGAACACTCAACCCTTGGAGATGCTGATATGCGATGAACTGCGGGAAAACTCACCAGACTCTTGTGGAAGTTTAGAGACTTCAGCGTAATCCGGGGGCTCACGGCACGGTCACATACACAACGGTTGGCTCCACTAGCAATGAAGTGTGCGCGATCAGTTTCTAACTCTCTTCTTCCAGCGACTCAACGGTATCCAGAGAAGAGAGAGGGAAGTCTTACAGAAGAGCCCCAGCAGTCAAGGGAACGCTGAGAAGAAGACAATCGCCTTGTCTCCGTCACGGATATCGCAGTCGGGGCTCCGCTCGCCCCTCGTGTTCCTGAGCGGCCCAACATCATTCCAGTGCACAGGGCCAAGAATGAGCTCTATCTGGAAATCATCTTCTGTACGGCTGTTATGGTCATGCTCGGTATCTCATCGGGGAGCTGAGAACGGGGGGCAGAAGGAAGGACGTATGATTCATGGAGCACGATGGGGATCCACCGAATAGCGGTCACTCCAGGTTTTTCCATGGCTTAGCGCTCTCGCCAAAGACGAGTCTGAGTCAGACAAGCAATCCTCCGGGACAGCTTGCGTCTTTCCAGAGGCTCTTAGTTTCTCCTTTAGGCGTTTAATCGAAAGCTTCAACTTCCGAGCTCTTCCTCGCGCGTTTCTTGAAAATATCATACGAAGCCCCACGACACCGCCGCCGTGCAAATTACGTCGCGAACATGCACCCGGGAAGACTTTAATTATTTCTCCAACAGGGTGCGACTTTCCTGCGGAAACTTCTCGGACACGCAATGCCGAAATTCCTCAGCGTCGATTTCCCATCGGATTTTCACGCGAGGCGGTCCCGAGATAAAGGATTCGTTGGATCACCGATTATCAGTCGAACAAAGGCAAGCCTGTGTCCGAGGAGAAGTCCAGAGTCCCACGACCCGAAACGCAGAGGGGAAAGCATTGTCACACGCCTCATGAATGGAAGTGGAAATCTCGGTAAACTGATAAATCCCTTCTTCACCAGGAACGGAAGTGTCATGCAGCGCGACATGGCCACCGATGCTGCGGAACCGAACTCGATAGGGAAACACCGCTCCTTGAGCAGAAAATTCCATAGAGCACTTCAGCTCCGTGAAATCGATCCGACTTGGAGCAACGGCGGCGCAGAAGATATTGTCGAAGAAAGCTCCAGAAGAAGAGAACTACTTCAGAGGGGACTCGCGTTTTTTTCACGGATGACGCTCGCGGAGTTGGGCAGACGCGTCGATTGCTCACAGAGGAGGGACTTGATGTTTGTCACGCGCTTGGACTTGGTCCCAGTGTTTTCGACTTGACCGCATCGTGAGGCGTTCCGTGCGAAATTGGCCCCGGGGCATGCTCAGTCAACCTGCTCCAAGGACGGAAACATCTTCCGATGCGATAGCGCCACCTCAGTGGCATAGTCTCAAGTCCGGAGGACGAGGGGTACGACAATTATTACTATTATTAATATCATTAATATGCGGACTCTAATTCACAAGTACGAGCGACTCAGAATGGTCCAGCTTGCTGGAGTGTCACTCTTCATCCGGGAAAGTCATCAGGCCTTTCTCGCATGCCCGTCATCCCGCCCAGGAGAGTGACCTGTGACAGGCTCGATTTCGCGTCGGATCAGCAGATCTGAAGCGGGAGGATCAGCTGATATTTCACACGGTGTTCCCGGAAATCTCAAGTTGAAGAGGACCCACTTGGAGAATGGAGCTTGAAATGGCCAGCGCTTTCGGATTTCCCGTAGTTGAGGTGATTTCCTGTTCTTTCAAATCAATCGAGGGTGTCTTCTTGATTCTGTCTCGGTTTCAGTATGCTTTTGAGCTTGCGGTCGATGGTCCAGCTTCTTCTCTTGGGAGGGGGGGTAGCGAGTCAGATTTTTTGGGTACCGGGAGCCGAAAATGATGACGCGCCCTCTCGAGGTGTATGCTATAGTATTGGGCAGAAGATTCGTGGAGGGGGGGCATGGCTTCTTGCCCACACCTTGGATCCGCCACTGGATGGCGAGATCCCGAGTCCCGCTCGAGCGGAGCTCACGCGTATGCACCCCGGAGCTGGGAGACGTGCGGCGCAACACGGCAATTGCTGTGTCTTTCTCGCATAAGAGGCGCTGAGTCTTTGGGCCACCTCACACGTGAAAACTGAAATCCAGGTATTTTACACGTCCACCGGACTTGACTCTTCATGCTGGGCCATCAAGCGGACGGGCGGGTTTTCGGTCGTTCTGGAACAATGCTCGGAACTGTTCATGGCTGAGTGAATCCTGTAAGAATGACAGTGTTTGCTGTCTGCGTATAGTCTCATACGCGCCAATTCGACAAAACTGAAGTGAGATTTCGCGCAAGGCGGGAGTCCTTCAGGGTCGCTGTCGGTGATCGACTGCCCGACTTTGTTAGTCTGGGTGCCTCCTCGGTACGACCGATTGCGAGCGAGCCAGCCGCGGAATGAACAACAACAGCGCTCAGGCAGTTCAGACATCCGCCCCGCATTGTACAATCTTTTTACGGGACCATTCTGATTTGCATGCTTTACGCAATAGTAATTCTAGTGAGAGGCCGATCGCTCAAGTTAGCAGCAGTATTCGCCTAGTGCTCCCGCCGCGAATCACTTACTTTGCATGCATGCGCCGGGAGCATCGAACAATAGGCGGTCAATCGGTGCGCTCAAGCGAAGTCCTGGTCGAATCAACTACGCGGACGAATTCGGTAACAGGTGGTAAGACGTTTCGAGGGATCGCCCATCTTCTGAGCCCGGGGCGTGTATACCGAGCAGCGAGTCTACCAGCTCCAATCGCTGTAATCGATGCCGTGGAAGATTCTGCCTGTGGGGGTAGAAGGAGAAGTTCCGCAGAGAACGGAAAATAACGTCGTCCGAGAGGTTCCGAGAGCGCCAGATAACTACCGGGTATCGGGAATACCTGCTTCCGAGTATAGGGTATCTGCGAATGTTTACTTCTGGGCAAATGTTACTTCCGGGAAATTTTCGGATCGCGCTCTTCCCCGGAGCTTAAGACGATTGGCGTCATGGGATCCGATTTGGCGGGTGGAGCTTGGCGATTTCGACGACTTCGTCAATTATTGTTCTCCATGAAAGACTCGGGAACCACTCTCTCGCTCTCTCTGTTGCCGTGCTCCTTCTCGACTGCGAACTGTTGACCTTCCGTCCGAGGTGATGGGGAGGCGATCGTTATATAAAACGCGATTTCCTTGGAGGAAATGGCGTCACAGAATGATTCGGAAAATCTCCTCAACCACGAATGTACAGCTAGACTGCTTAGCATGTCGTCGCGGCGGTGTCCGTCGTGATCGCTCTGTCGCCTCCATAGCCTTCATTGTCGCGGCTTTGATCTAGACCGTTTTTCTTGAGCGTCGACCGGAATTCTACAAATGAATGAAATGCGAAGTGTCTGCGAAAGATGCTTTAATGATTTCGCGAAACTTCTACACTACAAGCCGCAAGAGACTGTCTGCCCCACGACAATGAACAACAATAAAGTGACGGGAATCAAAGTCTAGAAAAGGCAGGAAATTGTTCAAGTTCTGAGTGACCTTGCACTTGAGTGCACAATGCGACTGAGAAAATGAAGTCACCGCGACCGAAAAAAAACCGCTAGCGTCGCGCTAGGAAAATATACCCACGTCGCAATGGCAACTAGAACGAACAGATGACAAGTGCACGATCTTCACACTATACACCAGAGACCGAATTTCGAAAGAGTCCGTCACGAACGAACGCGAGCTGTGGCCCGTTCCCCCGTCCCCCTCCCTCCGCTTTCAAGGACAGGGGAACAGGATGCATCAACTGGGAATTCCTATCAAAGAATTCTCAAAAGACAATCATGGACGAGCACTACCTCAGCTCGTGCTCGATTTGGGGCATCATCGGCTTCGTTGGAATCCGCTGAAAAAGAACGGAAATTATCGAGAATCTCTGTCCTCGAATCAGGCATGTGATTCTTTTCGATTGAGATGGTTTGATGTCTCCATCGCATGACACCGTGAGAAAATGCAGGCGATCACCATCGGAATGAGATGTCTATTATCGGTTCTTCAATCAGTCGTTCAAATAATTGCTTTCGAAATGAGAATACACATATGAAGAGGACGCACGTCATCGTTACATAGCAGCATTTAGGGTCACGAATCCAGAATATAGGATCGTTTAATTTCTTGGCTTCATAGCACGACCACACGGCTTAGCGGTTGCGCGGTTCTGGTCGTCGCGGTTCAGGTATTACTGGTTCTTCTGGGCTTTGCCTTAGCGTCGTCATCATTGGACAGGGAAACAAAAACGGAACGTTTCGTCCGCCCGTGGACGGACATGACAGCGGCAATTTTCGGCCTTTCAATGTCAAAATGCGTTTTTGCTCTTCCTCTGAGTGAGAGAATATCGATACTGTCGGCGCGGGTGGTTTCCCTCTTTGCCTTCACACGACCGGAGCGAAAAGGATCCGCCCGCCCCCGCATGTCTCTCAGGCTGTGGTTACAGTCCTTGCATGCCAGAGGAATCTTCGGAAGGATCTTCGTGTCACGGTGCACTTGTCGCTTGCCCATCATGAGCTCACTGCTCAGATCAGATAATCTTTGTTTCGGATTCGACGTCACAAAGCTCCATCAGTCGACTGCGGCGGTGCGTACTGTGCGTCGTCCCTCAGGGTACACAATAACGGTACGACCATCACTTTCTGTTGCAAGGTTGCGTCCGTCGCCTGGAAACAAACGTCTTCTGTCGGGTGTGGTTCCACCACCGCACGTTCTATCGGCTCTCCGTCAGATTGATTTATCGGAAATATCTGTGGACTTCTTCCTGCCAAACGCCCTGAGTTCTACCTCGTTCACCGACCTTAGAGCTTTCGGTGTGGCAAGAGAACGGATGCTGCCTGAATATGACGAGTGAGCAGACGCCCATGGCGGTTTCGAGCAGCTTTTCTCGGTAAGCCGTTCAGGATCGAAGGTTTCGTCTTCGTGGAAATGTCACCGATCCCAACAATCGGACCCGTCTATTGTACGCGAGGTTATTAGCGACATGTACATCGATATGCCCGCCGTGTTGCATGTGAATATGTCTTCATCGGTCCGAGCTTGGATGGAGGAGCCGATGTGGACGGGAATGGACTTCTCCGAATTTCATCCAATTGTCAAGCTCATGGAAAATGGAATGAGCCCCTATTGCGCCCGGAACATTTTCGATTCTTGACCAAAGGATTCGGGAGCCGCGGACTCACTCAGATGGTCGATTCTCATAGCGTTGCGAAATTCCTTATGTGAACATGCATGCTCCCGTCTGACGGACGGGTCAGAATCACTCCTAATGATCCAATGGAATAGGAAAGGACAAAACTTTGAACGATCTATTTACTCGATCTCGTTAGAATAGAATCATTGAGGTAAGCGTGAAATTGATTGTGTATCACTATCACGACGGATATCAAATATCGGCATTTCACATCTGATCTATCGCATCACGAGAAGGGGAGAGAAAATTATTCTGATTTGAAGAATTCTCGGTGAATTTTTCAGAAAGCTGCGGCCGTCCTATGAGCCCCGCTGATTGACGAGCGGGGAAATATCAGAGAACATATGACTTGCGAAATAAGATAAATATTTATTCCATCCCTAGGGAATCGGTCATATACACATGATAATCTTGATAAGACTCGCCGAATGCTATATATCTCTTTGTATCTTCCCGAGCGATCCATCAGTCCTTTTGTTCGTCCATTCACACTCTATACTCTATAATACAACGATAATTTCGTCTTAATTTTGATGACTTCAACATTTCCGCCGTCGGCAAGATTCAGGCGCGAATTGCCTTGTGTTTTAACCCCGCTCTCGACACGGTCAGGAGTGGAACGATAAGAAGAGTATGCTGTGAAACCGGGTATGGTCCCGTGTTTAAAGCTTCGAGGTGGTTGTTGTTGTTGTTCACAATCCTGCTTCTTTTCGAGCTCACTCTTTCATTCGAATAGGTATTCACTCAGAACTTCCTTATTAAGTACCCGAGAGTCCACCGAGGATAAGTCTCATACCACGTTTTCAAGCACAATAAACAATCTGATAGACATTCATGTATAGCAGGCACCTCAGGGCGACTAGGGAGCAGCCGGTGTCTGCAGGAATAAGTATTTTATCAGGAAAATCGAGTTGCCGCCCAAGAAAATGCCCAAAACCAAGAAGAAGGCCGCCATCATTCCAGCCAGGTTGGCGTGCTTGTCGGCAACCCGGTAGGTGGACTGCATCATCGCGAGCGACGACAAGTGTCCGTGCGTCAGTCCGAAGAGAACCATACCGCCGATGTAGACATAATCAGAGAAGAGCGTTCCGGTGATACGCTTGTCGGGGCTGAAGTTGCACATCATGAAGAACGGTATGAAAAGGAGTCGAATGAGCACCCAGAAGAACGTTTGTCCTGGCGCACTCGGGAACTTGATGTAGGCTGGGAGCATGTTCCCGATCATGGCGAACAGATTGAAGAATAGGAAACAGAAGAGCTTTACGTAGTACGTGCTGCTCACTGGGAAATTCTCATCGACAGCGACGATCTCCGACGTTATCCCGGGGAAGCATGCCAGGGTCGCGAAGAAACAGAGGAAGACGTTCAAACAATTGAACCAACATTCTTTGAACACCGCAATCAGACTCGGTTTCCTCCCCGCATTGTCGGCGATCTGCCTGTTTCTTTTTTGGTGGTAACGGAAGATCTTCAGCAGAGGAAGCGCGAAGTACGTATCCAAACACAACAGAAGTATGAATAAGGCTGAAATGAAATAGTAGATCGCTGCCGTCTTCGGACTCGGGGCCGCGTAGGTCGTCAGTATGCTCACGGATGAAATCAAAGTGCCACTGACGTTCGTCCCGAGAACGATCGCCCCTGTGTACTTTCCGGGCAGATTGGCCGCGAGACCGAAAATGCTGTTCTGATAAATCCCTCCAGCGGCGCCCAACAAGACAACGATGCTCATGATGCCGAAGAAGAAAATGATCGGCCAGCCGGACGTGTCGAGCATGACCATGATCGAGGTCAGGATGAACAGAACGTTCTCAAATATTAGAGAACCAGCGATCCTCGGTCCGAGACTGTCCGCGCCGAACTGAACGAACAAGTTTATGAAGTTGAAGATAAGGTTCGGCAGTTGGTTGGCTAATATAATATAGCCCATGAAACCGGCATTGTAGGTTTTGAGATGTGAAAAGTCCGTCGACGTCGTATCCGGGATCAAACTAGTGTTCAGTTTCACTTCGGTGAAAAATTCCTTGGCCGTGATGAACATGTTCCACGGCATGAGCGTTCCGACTCCATGCAGCATCAGGATCAGGAAGAGGAAATTGCATCGATCAGAGGGCGTGTTTTTTTCTTCGTCCATCTTGGAACTATGAACCAAATCTGAATTCGAGTGACGAGATTCCCAACCGGGGCCAAGGGTGACTGGTGCTGTCTTCGAGTCTCCCAGTAGACTTTCAGACTCTGGTCTGTGGTACGAGACCGAGGTGTCCGTGTTCAGCGTCATTGCAGAGGCTCTGCTGGCAGAGAATGATGAACCTGAGAACGGAAAACATTCAGCTGAGAAAAGCTTGAGCCTCGGGTGATTTAGGGGAACTTCGATAGTGGACCTTCATTGTCGTCACGTATCCCATGCAGCTTTGAAAATGGCTCCGCAGCTGCCCAAGACATCGCAGTCGCCGCTTGGAGTCATCCACCGCTCTCTTGATCCCCCCGATTCGCCTCTCATGTGAGGACCGATACGCGATGAACTAAGCTCGTAAGCTTTGAATCCCCGGGAAGTTCCGGAGCAGACAGCGGAGATCATGACGAGGACCGAGAATATGAACGCTGCATTGCTCAAAGTTATTATTCTTCATCATCAAGATGTCTCGATGAATAACGCAGAATAAAATGATGAAACTGCCGTCCAGAGAGAGCCCGAGCGAGCTCAAGCAACATTACGTGGTCGATCCGGAGTTATTCGTCAAGTCGAGTCATTCGTCTTGAATGCCTTCGACTCGCCTCCCGGAACAGCTGAACACAGATTCCCCGAGCAAGGCGAATTTTCACGACGACGGTTCGAGACAAGTCTTGCGCCCAGCTCGGAGCTCTCCTCGAACAGCTGGACTTTACACGGTTGGAGCGGTAACGCTCCCTCGAGGCGTCGGCGACGTGAACCGTAAAATATGTGAGATGACTCAGTAGCCGGGATGATCCATGTCGCGTGAGCTTTGAGCTCGTTGCGAGCGGCATCGATTTTTCTTTGGGGACCTCTCAAGTCTCGTCGGAGTTGGAGAGATGTAAATCAGGCCCATCCATTGGTCATTGTTCGAGAGGACTCCATTCCGACATGTCGAGCAAGAGAAAGAATTTCGCTAACCACTCCACTACGGTCCGAATCTCAACGTCGACAGCGCGCCTAAGGTCTTATCTAACTCGTATCCTCCCATCATTCAGGGTCCCACGGTAGCCAACGGGACTACTGTGCGAGCGGTCGTTCGAAAACGTTTCAAAATTCTGATCGATTTTCGGAGGTTTGATCTCGGAGCTCACGCCGAGGCGACCTGCCCATCTCGATCGAAAGGAGGAAGAAATCACGATGACGGCGTCGTGAGTCGGTCAAATTTTGTTAAGTCTACCTTCGAGCTCGCCCAGATCGGCGTGCTCAGGAGAAGCGGAAAATCTCACCCCATCTTGAGAACGTTGAAGGGTTATCCTGAACTTTCGCTAACTCGGATGGTTGTGAAACTTTTCACCGCTTCTGCTAACGACTCTTAGGCCGCATCGAGCTTTTGTTAAGATGACCAGCTCGAGTTTTGACAGAACACCCTCACAGCGCCGCCGTGCTCTCCCAACGATATCGGGCCCGTGACGGGATTTAGGCGTCGCGGAGATAAGCTGCCCAGGGAAACAAACGCGACGCGGTATAAATCAATTGACTATCAGTCGGCTGGCGCGTAAAATGAGAAGTGTAATCAGAAGACGATCCTCTTTCCATGCGCCGATTGAACTCTCCGCAGGTGAATTATCAGTTTGCGGAATTCGGAACATGGGATACCGCAGAGTATCGGTAGAGATAAGACGCTGTTCTCGCAAAAGATTGATACACTCGAGTGATTGTGCCCAAAGCTCCGCTAGGCTGACGTCAAGGATCATTGAGGCTTCTCCATGGGGTCATCGCCTAGAATCGATGCTGGATCCCTATCGACTCGATAGCGCGAAGATATTCAGCCTCTCGTACGAAATATGTATGTATGCGCATTGTTCCTTACGACACGAAAATCTCAGTGGCTAGCTATCAAGGATTCGGACGAACGAGATCGATTCTGTTTTGAGAGATTTATTTCGGGACTGGCGCCGAGAGATTGCAACCTTTCGAGTCGTCTTGATCGAAGAGAATATCGAGTTTCAAAGATAGAGCTTGAATTAAATGAACCATTTTCAGATCGCATCAGGGTAGTCCACGCATCGAGCTATGGTGACGTGAGGATCGGCGCTAGGGCGAGCGCTATCGACAGGATGGACAATCCAGTTTCGAGTTACGTATATCCACAGGATAAACTCGATCGTATCGAACTGAGCTGCGCCTGAGCCACTCGGGAAGGTCATTCGAGGCTTTCGACGGGGAGAGATTGCGGTGAACCGAGCGTTTCTTGAGCCCATCGCCAGTGACGTCAAGAGTTTTTCGGGACAGATTCTGGAAACCCAAATTGCCTAGTGTATCGGTAGGTGTGAAGGTCGAATTTCGAGAGAGACTCAACCCTCTAGGGCTCGGAGGAAATTCTTTCTCCACGAACTGTCTATCCTGTTCGCGAATTTGCGAAACATTCCCGCGGATGAATGTCCCCCGATGAGCGGAGGTTCGGAGAGGCATGGATGGGTCGCCGCAAGCGGGAACCACGAAATCGAAGTCGTCAATCTCTCTCGCTACGCCGTGGTACTCGAAAGAAGATCGGAGAGGAATCCCATAATTGCTCTCACGGAGGAAAGTAAGAAGTCTGATTAGACGGCGTGGTGGATTCTATTCTCCGAGAAAGGCGTTCCACGAAGCCGACGTTGTGAGTCACTTTTCAAAAGTGACCATGCCGCTGTTCTCGGTGCCACCCGTCTCGATGGCGTCAATGAAAGCGAACAGCTCAGGGTAACTCCCACGGAAAACGGGACCTTCTCCTCATCGTGATGCCCAACGCTATATCGGGTGAAGTGATATAAAAAGTCGTGGATAGCAGCTGATTCTGATGAAGAGCCCAGTGAGTCAATGCAAGTTTCGGCACAAATTCAAGACCCGTAACGGCAGTCTGTTCCACTCAGGGCCTCCAAGCGGATCTCAATTGGTGCTCTTGGGGGGAGTACGGGGATCAGATTTCGTAAACACGTGTCCGTTGTGATCAACACGTCGTATATCTACAAGCTTATGTCCAACAGTCATCATGTAGCAACACGGATACCGTCCAGCCCCGATCGCGAGATCGAGCGTCAAAATTTGACGGAATCTCGCAGGAGGGAAAAGTCGCGAAATGACGAACGAACCGAGCTCGTGTCTGGTTTCCATCCTCAGAGTCGTAACTCGGAGCGCTCGCGTTGCGCACGGCGATCTCTCACAGCGATCTCTCACGTGGCTGACGACGAGTCCCAGAGCCACATCTGACAATTCTGACTATGAGACGATCAGACAATATCCTGCAGTCTGCAGACACCCATACGATACCACGCTTTTCGAATTATTGAATTCAGCGTTTTCGTTGCAGCGGATGATCGCCTCGAAGATGATCGAACTTACCGATAGGAGATATTCCGGCGGGTGGATCCGGAGAAGCTCAACAGAGAGCCGAAGTCGCTTGGTGATCAGGAACCTGTTCCCAAGCGCTTGAGGCCTCGGTGCTCCGACGTATTCTCCACTCCGGGACGTATCTGGCGACCTATCGGATATGCCTCCGTGCCACAGAACTGACGTCGACTCGCAGCCCGCGTTCCCTCCTTTCACTACACTCTCGAAAGAATCGGGGAGCAGCGGCGCCGCTGAGGACACTTCAAGACGTTCCGTTTCGAGCGCCTGTCTGGTCAACCCTCGCTGCCTACTTGCTTGACTATTCGTCCGCCAAGCTGCCGCCGCCTGCCTCGTCGCCGTGCCTGCTTGTTCCTTAGTGCCGCCCTGTCGCCATCCTCAGCCGCAGCGGTGGCATCGGCAGCAGCCCCGTGAGCGAGCAACGAACAGCCGAGCGAATGAACCAAGCGGCAACCAACAAGTCGCAGCAGCACCACAGCCGCCTACTGATGTCAGAGCAGCCGCCGCACGGAGCGACCACGAATCAAGCGGAAAAGCGGTCTGCCGTGCTCCGAGCAGAAGGAGTTCTAAAATAAAGAGACGACGAAAACATCAACAACACAAGAGCGTGCGAGACGGCGCCGACGACGACGACGACAAAAATGGCAGCGGCGACCGGAGCTCGCTTGCGGGAGGTCGGCTGACCGCGCTATTCTCCGGAGAACGCGTGACAACAAGAGCGCGCGCTCCGAACCGAAAACTATGAACCCTGGCTTCCGTCATTCCCACGCTCCGTCGGCAGAGTCCGAACGGATGAAGATGAGCGTTTCGATTCGATGCGAATTCCAGAACTCACCAAGAAACTCGCGCGGCTGAATCCCTATCGAGGGAAAGACCTCGATGCCCGCGTGCCACACTTGTTGTGTCGCGCTGCGCAGTCGGCGGAGAGAACATTCGCAAGATGGCGACGTCCTATGTTGTTCGAATTCGCCCCGGAGAGGATGTAGACGACTTCGAGACGACCTCCGACAGTCCGGGAATTTCTCTCCGGAAATCGAGTTGCTGGGACTCTCGACGGCTCATAGAGGTCGAAGTGCCGGAATGAGATGATCACTGACGTCGAGACATTGTCGAACTAGTGTCTGGTGATGAGACGCAAGCGCGCTGTTGTTCTAACGCTGGTGACGTTCGTATTATGGAAACTCGCCGTCTATTTCTCAGCCCATTTTCCTTGCCGCAAAGCTGCTCTGTCAGATCTCTGTGCAGAATGGAGCGATGGAGACGAAGTGGAAGGCGATTGGTGCTTCAATTTATGTAACGCGGTGAAAAGGTGTGTTCTCTTCGCAGGATCCTACGGCGAGCGATCGTCTTGGTTTGTTCTTGCTGAGAGTATCTCCAGCATAGATGTGATCTCCGATTCATCCGCGCTGGCTCTCTTCTGGTGATACCCTAATTAGTTCCTGCTTGTTCCAGCTGCCATGGGGTTCCACATTTCGGCAAAGAGTTGGTGGTCGGCATATCGGGACCTTTCGGCGAGGCTGTCGCGAAGGGTCGGCACGCCGACTACCGAGACTCTGTGGACTCCGAACTGCGACTGGATCCGACGAATCCGACAAAAGACTTCCAGAAACGAATGGCTCTCAGGCTTTCCGACTTCCAGAAAACGAATCAGTTCAACCTATTGATCACGGACGGGTGATTTCTCTTAGCTGACCGGCTCATTGTTCAATTCAGACAATGTCGACATCAGCGAGATTTTCCCGACGTTCTGAACTTCCTGCTTAATTAATTTACGTCCCGTCTTTCGCAGCCTCGAACCCGACACTTCTTCCAACTCGCAGAGGCTTCACTTCCTGCAAATGATGAATCAGAGGGAATTTGTCTGGTCTTTTTTATACAGCCAGAGCGGGGACGCCTCCCCGTTCCCTTTGCTTCGGGGCACATGTGGACATGTCTACATTGTCGAAAAGTCTCAGCGGGAGCTTAACTTTGTCAATGAACTCCCAATTCGAGAGAAGCTGAAAGCTTTGGTTAAGGTCGCAGATCTGATCGTTGTGAGTCTCCTGGTCGGTCTGCGGATTCCCGGAAAGATAATTTCAATATCCTCGTCTCAAGTCCCGAGTTATCGGTCCCAACCTGCGCGTTCATCGTTGAGTAGTTGAATACGCTTCTTGCTTCTTCCAGATGCTCGATGAGATGAATGTGGAAGTTTGCGATTTCAAATGGGAACACTTCGGATTGTTCTATAAGGAAAATTCCAATCCAAGCGAGTCCAATGAGGACTTCGTGGTCAAACTCCTCGACCTTGACGCTGTCTTCAGTAGACATTCATTAGGAGTCACCATGGGAAACTATCATTGTACTACCGACGAAGACTGTGATTTTTTCGATTGCAAAGGTCGCTGTATAAAGGTTAGACCCTTCCCATTTCTTCAGACTCGAAGCTTTTCGACGGCTCGGGACTCAATCATTCTCTTCTTCTCAGGGAGACGGTCTCCGCAAATCGACCTGCGTTCCATCTACAGTTGACTCGAACATCAAGCGCTTCCTGAAAATGGTATCCCCCTCCTTCTTCCCACCACGGAGAAGCTTGTTCTGGAATGTCGACGATCCGGATATGCTGAACTATATCCACCAATGCTCGAGTTCGGAGTGCGAGCCGAGGCAGCTCCGTCACTTATTGCAAACGACGATCGGAAAACTTGACCCGAGTTGACCTGAACTCGCTCTAGGAGCGGCTCATCCTTGTATATAACGTGTTGATCTGAGATTTTGTCTATTTGTACGGGTACGTGGATTCCGTGAGTGCATCTTCGGTACTGGACTTTTTGCATATCTATAACAGAAATCAAAGTGAATTGAATGGGAGCGGACAGAGAAGTCCCGCCGAGTGCCAGTGGCATCTTCGCCTCGCAGAATCCGAATAAACGTTTTTTGCTGATCCTGTTCTTCGTACAAGTCCTCGGTCTTCCAAGGAGATCCGGTACGTAGATAAGCTAAGGACGACGAAGATTTGACGGTGGTTTCAGAGCTGGTGTGGCTCTTTATTTCTTCATTTCCTGCCACATGCTATCCACCAAGGGGGGGTTGTTGATAATGTTCAGCGCCGTCAGTGCCATCGCTTTTGAGGCCCTGATCGTCGGAGGCTGTGCTGATTCACATCCAGACGCGACCGTGAATTCCTATGTCGAGACAAATAAGCGTGAGAAGACTTCCTCAACGTTCCATCGATATTTCAAACCTGTGTATACGAACCCGAGAATGGTTAGGACCCTCGGAGTCGATGTGGAAACCGGGCTGTATCGTGGGTAATTCCCAGGATACTGAGCCGATATCGGAAGAGGCTTCGAAGCGCGTTCCACGTCCGGTGATGTCAACGAATTCAGTCCCTGAGCGGAATATTTCCAGAAAATGAAAAACCTACTCGTGAACACCTCGAACTAACCTGCGGTAGTCGAGGATGGCCTGATAAATTTGAATCGATCGGCGGCGAACCTCACCCATGTCTTCGGCGTATCGTTGATAGAGTCCGGCCAGAACCCCGTTTGACTTGAGGGGCAACAGCGATGGCGAGGGCTTCAAGATCTTCAACACTGTATTGCTCGAGATCGCGGCCGCTCTAGCGCAGTTTTCTGCCTGGGAGAAGCGGACTTCGAATTATCTTCTCTGCCCAGCTCTTGCCTCTCTAAGGTCCAGGATGTGTGGCACATCGAATCGAACCTTTTCTGTGATGGTTTTCAGATGTGGCAGAGTCGGGGCCCGAACGATCACTTCGATCGAGGCGAACTCGGGGATCACATTCGCAGATGTTCCGCCATGGGGAATTATCGCATGAATCTGCGGCGGATAAGCTTTCGATTTCGATCGATCAGCGTAACATACCACTCATGCTATCAGACGATTCTACTTACTCTACATGTGGGATGCATCTGTTGCCTGAGCATCGAAAGAGCCTGGTAAGTTGCAACGACAGCATCCAGAGCATTGTGGCCTTCCCATGGCGCCCCGGCCGCGTGCGCGGGCTTCCCAGTAAACTCGGCCAGGAAGCCAATCTTCCCGATCAAACTTGCTCTGAGCTCTACAGAAGAAAAGTCCAAGTCGAGGCGGGATCAAACCTTCTATGACTCCACTCGACCCGATGCCCATCGTCGAGGATGATTGATGGAACTCGTCAGACCAATAGATAACTTTTACGAAAAAAAATTTACCGTCCGATGAGGAGTGAGGATGAACTTGCATGACGAGGTCCAGACCTTTGAAAGCACCCTTCTCTATCATGAGGACTTTGTAGCTTCCTTTCTCTTCGGCGGGACATCCCAGCACCGTGATCTGTCCCACGGAAGGAGCGGCAGAATATTCACTATCATTCATCATGACCACAATCAAGCATTTTCTCAAACCGACCCGGGCAACTCACCTTCCCTGGTTTCGGATTATTTTCCAGGTATTCCTTTATGACCAAAGCGGCTCCGATCCCGGCCTCCGCGATCAGATTGTGACCGCATGCATGACCAACGTCAGGGAGGGCATCGTATTCACAAACGATGCAGATCCTAGGTCCACCTGATGAGGTCGAGATCGATCAGGCTCGGATTGGCGCTCTCGAGGGTCGCCAGAATGAGAACTCCGCTGGTCGCCGGAAAGACGTTCGAACCACTGACCTGTCGTAGACTCGTGATCGGCTCTGAATGCTGTCGGGAAACCCAGGTACTGCCGCGTGACATCAAACCCCGCTCCCTCCAGTATCGCTGACAGCAGATCATGCGCTCGGTATTCTTCACCCGATAACTCGGGATGGGACCACAGAAAACTCGAAACACTTTGTAATCTATCCTTCAGTAATTCGTATCGATCATGAACGAAACTCTCGAAGCTTTCAGACATCACCAATCCAAGGGCGAGGAGTTCCAAATCAAAGTAGGTCGAGCCGGGCTTCCAGGACGGAACTGTGCTCCATGGCTGGTAGTTGAGGGTGCTCAAGTGGTGGAAAGGACCCGTTTGCATCGGGATCGCTGATTCAAGACGCTACCTGAAGCTGGACCGAGGGTTATCGCCTGAGAGGGCAAGTCAGGCTTTGAATTCTTCGTGGCTCGATCATTGGTGGTAGGTTCAACAGCTCCCCGTCGACCGTGGCCGCAGAAAACGTTCCACCGCAATTTTTATGACTGGCGAATCCTCTCTATCGAAAGGATCCTTGGACTATCGAAGCAACGATCCAGGGCGAGCACTTGCTGATACGGGAGCGACGTGGAAGAGAGAGTCTCACATAGTCATTATTTCATAATTTTAATTGAAAAGGTTTCATGTTGAGCGTCGCCAATCTGGAGAGATGTACCCCCTTCCGAAGCCCAGCACACAGGCGAACAAGAAAATTCTTTTGGAATAATAATATCAATAGACCTCGAACTCGATGAATTAGGTTTTATTGACAATCCCCTGATGTCAGATTAGCGAATTTATATAAATGATGCTATGATCGCGCAGTCCGAAGCGCAGAATGTAACGTGATTCTTATCGTATTGTATATACAAGTTGACTATTTTACAGAACTAGATGTCGAGTTTTGTAGCCGTCGGTGAGCCGCTATGCAACGAAACGGCCCGAACAACAAATTATGTAAAGGATAAACAGAAAGCATTCCTCGGGCGGGATTAGAGGCTTGTCGTGGGCTATTCGGGTGATATATAAAATGTGTAAATATTCTTTAATCTTGTGTCAGAGGCGCCTCAACGTTGCTTTGATTAAGAATATGCCTCGGAACCACCGCGCCAAGAAACTCCAGCATCAAGAACTCCTAGAAACGTAATATCCGCTGAGGTCTCACAAGAACGATCTGGACCTTGAGCGACAGGCAATACATCCCCAATAGGAGAAGCTATTTGAACTAGATCCTGAATAGATATTGAGAAGCGTCCATCCTCGCGGGGGATCCTCAACGAGGATATTCCGCACTTGAGGCGTTCCTTGGGCTTCGAATCCCACGGTGAAAAATCCAAGCTCAACAGTATCGGATTCTGAGACGCGTCAGAGCGGTCTTCGAGCACAAGTCTCGACAATGACGTCGGGATCCTGCACAGATTGGGCCGCTTCGAGACTGAGTTGGAACGACAGCAAAATTCCAGGTCTTGGGCAGATGTCAGAGGGTCCGTCCGGAAGGGACAGTCTGATTGGCGCCGCATCTTTACCAGCGGTGGCCAAGTGGGGGTGCATGGACCCCCGGGGGTCCACAGCAAAATTTCCAGGGCTCCACAGCAAAGTTTCCGGGGCTCAACAGTAAAATTTCCGGGGGTCCACGGCGAGATTCCGGAAGAGACGCGATCAGAGTGAGCCTTTACGATGGGAAGAAGGGTTGTTTGTCAAGCAATCGGTCAGTGACTCCACCAAGCACGTTCCGAAGCGAGATCTCGAAAGCACAGCATGTTTATACACACGGAGTCTCAAACGCCGATAAGGCCCGGCTGCTGATCGTACTCGTATCCCTACAGTTCGCGAATCCATTGAATTTCTGCGCTTCAGGAGGAGCTTGGGAAATAGGGGGTCCACCAGCTTCTACGAAGGCGGTTTGGGGGTCCACCTGCTTTCCCGAGTTGGTCACCGCTGATCTATACTATCACCATCCATCATTGGAGCTAGGCATCGAGTGGCGAGAACCATCGAGCTTACTAGACATGAGGCAGCGCCAATCGTTTGAGTCTGTCGAAGACAGGATTCGAATCGGCCCGGGATCCTTAGATTCGGGGCCGCGTCGATGAGTCGCTCCGGCCTGTTAACAAACATCGAGCAGAGAGAAAATCTCTCCCGCTCGGAAGAAATGAGTTTCCTGAGTATTCTGATCCCACGAAAAACGGCGGCAACGAACTGACCGCGCGATGACATCAGTATCTTCGAGACCACCATGGGGGAGTCGGCTTTCCTTCAGAGAAGCCGAGGGGTAAAAGGTGTGCCACGAGTTCTCGGAGTGAAGAAGGCTCAGTATCATGAATGCGGTTGAGACCTCCGACGTTCCTGGGCATGACTCAGGACCGCTTGAGCTATCTATTACGGATTAATGTAGATGAAACCACGTAAGGCACGCTCTATGTGCGACGCGATCGGATATTTCTCTCGAGCGATTCCGTCAAAACGCAGAACTAGCATCCACGACCAGATAAATACATGTCCATGTCGACGACGTCATGTAGCGCAGTGGTTCCCAAACTTTTCCTTACAACTTTTCCCCGTGGGTTCCGTAGGGGTTCCGCAAGTAGAATTTGGGGTTCCGCGCAATCCGCCACGGAACCCCGTTTGGGAACCTCTGATGTAGCGGACGAGCAGAGACGAATACTGACGACGCGCTAGGTTTGAAAACCATCAAAAATATTGCGATAGACTCCAACACTTCCCGGTATTTGTTGCTCCACTAGGACCGGGTTTCTGAAATTCGTCAGCCGGACCGACTCGCGTGACTCGGAAAAAAATGGAAGGCATTGATTGGCGAGATGCGGCTGTCTCAGAGATGTCGAGCGAACTAGAAATGGACTCACTATCGACTTGTACTTCCGCGAGCCTGGGCGATGCGGATCCACGAGACTCAAGCCCTTCGTCGAGCACCTCTCTGATCCACATCGAGACTTGGATTGGATCGAGACTGTTCTCCACCGCTGACCCGATTCCAGTCATCTGCAAAGTCCAGCCGAACATCTCGACGGATGAAGATAGTCACACCATGGTGACAGTGCGATTATTTCTCTTCTTGCTTGAACTGGAGTTGATCTGAGTCTAACAATTCCAGTTGGCCCACACTTGTCTCACTCTCGAACATCGACGCCGAAAGATTCGGAACTGAGTAATTGCTTTCGTCGATGTTCCCATTAGCTACGGGAGTCGCACTCGGTCCAGTCATCTGCACCTCATTCATGTTGAGATTGTTTAAGTTTATGTCATTGTTGTTGAAATTCTGTAAAGGAAAAAAATCGCAATTAGCCACGCCACCCAGCTCCGAATCCTCAACAGCGACAATGCACGTTCGTGATTCGAGACATTTGACATTCCGGGTACTCACCGACGGAAGCCCGAGATCGAGTATCGAGTCGAGCCTCTCCGCGGTTTCGTTCACGGCGGCGAGCTCTTGGGGGTTTGCAGGACCTGGTCCCGCATCGGGTAGTATATGACTGATTTCGTTGCCGTTGCCGTAGGCGTTCATTATGGGTTGGGGCGAGTTCATCCACTGCGGAGAGCGAGCCGGGCTGCCGTCGCTCCGAGGAGATCGATTTCCGTGACGGATTTCGTGTTGCTCATAGCGCGGCACCGGGATAATCATGGGAACATGATCCTGGGATTGCATGAGCTCGATCTGCATTTGCAGATTAGGTGGTGGGAAACGTTTTCGTTTGGCGCCTTCAGTCCCCGATTCGCTGACGCTCATCAAAAACAAGTCGCGTCCGTCGCCATGCTCGTTCACTGCAACGTCGCAAGCGCAGAGTTTGAGTTACACCTGCGTGCAGGATTCCCCCTCTTCCGACTCCATTTTGGTGGGATTTTGGTGGAATCGTCGGGGGGGGGGGAGGGGTTGAAAATGAGCTGACTGAAAAATTGAGGGGGTTCTCGTGTCTTACCTCGGGATCTCCTCAAATGGACCTCGATTTTGATGCAGGTTTGCAGATTGTTGCCCGCAGTGAAATGTTTCCTGCAATCCGGACTGCGGAAACAGACCGCGACCTGCTTGTGGACGGTCAAATTGTCGGCCTTCTCCTCCCAGATGAGCCTGCCAGCCTCGTCCTTCTCGTAGAAAAAGACTTCAATGTCATCTGGGGAAAAATGAATCTCGGGTCAGTTCGCACGTCCATGACCACAGAAGCGATGATCCGGGAAATTTTGTCGTCAGAGAGAAGATTAGTCAAACGTCATGTTCAGCGATGCTTGCGCAGCCTGAATCTCGTTTCCGTACAATCTTTCATCACGGAAATGGAATCTCACTGAACTTGGAGTTTCTTTGCAGGTCTTCTTACCTTTGCTGACTTTATCACACAACACGATCATCTCTAATCCTCCTGCCATGGGCGCGACCGGATGACTGAGTTTCGTTATATGCAGATCACTCATGGCTTTCCGATCATAGATCACATCGGAAACGACAGGATCCAGGGGCCGGTCGAATTTGTCCGATCCAGGGATGCTCTCAATGAACACTTGGAAGCACAACCTCACCGCGTTGAGGTCGATGTCCGTGAGTTTGCCCATATGATCGTAGCGCGCTGGAATGATGAAAATTGTGAAAAGGAATTTCCGGGAGCGATTCCCTTCTGTTCCGTTCGATACACAGCATCAGCTAGATCACTCACTGTTGAACGGATCGATCTTCAGAGATTTGCGCTGCTCGAGGCTTTCTTTGACTTCAGTCTTCTTCACACACTGAATGCCCAGAGTAGAGAATTGAGCAGTCATGTTCGATCGCTCGTATTTGTTGCGATAAACCCCCTTTCTGCAGTCCTCTTTGGATACGATGTTGTGCGGATGAGGATGATACGGATGATCCTTCGTTACACAGGATACCGCGACGACGAATTTCCCGACGTAGTTCTCCACCTGATATTCCATTTAAATGAACCAAAAATGTTCCTTCTGACGAGCGTATTGTGCCCGGACAGGATCTGGGCGTCAATGATGAACGCTTCAGGATCGTACTCACTCGAATCGTCGGGTAGGTCTTGTTCTCCGCCGTCGAACCCAGACCGGTCAGGGCACCTGGATATCTTCCTTCGCATTTGTAACGAAACCTCAGAGCTCTGCTTTGCGGTTGAACGAGTATGGTCACGTAAGGTTGAGGCTGCGCTTGCGTCTGCTGCGTCAGCTTGAAGCCATCCATGATGTGAGCTGAGGGCTTCAATTGGGCCGTGATCACTTCGTCTGGAAAGTCACAGATCGACCACAATGAGGATACGCAGCGATGCTAGACCCAGATCAACGGCAGGACTCCCAATCACGGTAGCATTTCATTTAGCATGGAGAAAATGCATCGAGCAGCAATTGCCTCCTCGGACCTCGAGCTGGATCTCACTCAGAGAGCAGAAAGTACAACGACGCACTAGGACGCGAAACGAAAGACTTGAATTCAAGATGGAGTCAGTCGGCCACAACAAGAACAAGAAAACGAATACGATTACATGCGCGCGCTGGAAGTTCCATTGGAAACCGGTGACGTCAACACGGTTTGGGTGCGTCGTCACTGGTAACGGAGTTCGAACCTCGGACCCCGAGCTCAGACACAGACGAAAACCCCGGCGGGGCATCACATTGAGAGGAGGACTCTCAAGATTCGGAGGGTTTCGTCTAAACGCACTCATGCTCCGCAACCATCTTGATTGGAGAATCCCACTCCGGTTAGCCCAATATAAGTCGGATACCGGAAATCCTCGGTCGGGGTCCATGCTCGCGGCTCAAGATCCGAACACTTCGCGGGGTTACGCGCGACTGATGAACTCTCAGCCGCAGGACTTCTTAAGCTGACTTCGTGCTCAAAGAAGGAACGAATCCCCGTAGGCATCACAGGAGGAACATGAGCGCGGGCAGAAACCAGCTCGGCGAAAAGGAGGTTTCTGTGAGTGAGATGATGCCGTTTACGAACCGTTTCACTCGTAGGGAGGTAGTGCCAGGGGTTGTTTCTGTGTACAAACACTCGCACTTCTAAGCCAATCAACTGAGACAGGGGTTCTGATTGTTCTCCGACGACTGAACTGGAGAAGTGATATCGAAAGCTGTGATTGTGGATTGAAGTCCACTTGGGCCAGCCCCTCCGGAAAAACTTGAGAGAGGAGGAAGATACGTCACGAGAAGGCAGCCGATAAACGCATAGTATTGATTTGAGGCCCATATACTAGGTGTTCCACGGTACATCGATCTCTCTCCCCGATGATGTAGAGATGGAGATCTTCAATCGAGTTGGCAGATCATCCGAGCCTCAACAATGACTCAAGTCCGACTAGAAGAACTAATCAAATGCTAAGGAAGCGAGGGCAAGAGAGCCGTCTCACCAAAACGAAACCAACGCCCAAAAAAAAATGACCCGTCAACTATCCAGAGTCCCATCGAAGAACATGCAATCCAATTCGAGAGCGCGTCGTCGCTCATCTCTAGAAGCCGGGCCTTACCCAAATCGTCCAGAAGTCCCACTTCTTGACACTCGTCAGGAGAACCTCTGTTTTCCATTTGCGAGAGCTGCTTGCGAATTAATAAGATAAAGTGTTGGTTAAAAGGAGCGAAGATTGATCTGGGGCGTTCTGGTCCCAGACGCACGGGCGGAGGGCACTGTTCCTGCTTCCCTAACGGGGCCAGGCATATCGAGGCATGAGTCCGTCTCGTTACATTTGATGCGCGTCGGAGCCTCACTCGACCGATTTCCTCTTCTCGCCTTGCCTACGAATCGATCCTGAGCGAATCGCGACTATACGAGTCCTCCGCAGGCTTTCGCACACTGGGCAACCGAAACTGTCAAGTTCGTATCGAGTCGAACGAAGTTGTGCACATTTTCAGCGATCGAAAGCAACCTGGGCGAAGCTTGCGAAAAAAGCAGCTCGGCGCCGCGACTCATCCGAATAGGCAGGGGAGGGTGAAACGATATGACGTCATCTCATGGCATTCCATTGGAAGACTGGCTTCAGACACCGAAAGGACATAGGAGGTCGTTTCAACCGCCCAAGTCCCTCAACGAGGCCTTCGAACAGACGAGAGCACGAGTCTTCGGATAGTTCGCGCGTTCAATACAGACCTCAATCTTCCCGCGCGGTCGGGAATTCCCACAAGTCGCCGCTGAATGCCGCCGTGAAGGCACAACTTTAGGGCGAGATCACTCCGACTCAATCGTTTCCGAATCCTCCGACGATCCTCGTTTGGATGTGGAGTGATGTTTCCTGGATATCTCAAATCTCGTTTCGGGGGTCTCTGTGTACAAACAAGCGCACGTGGCCTGACATTCCGTGCGGGAAAATCCGCGAGCTGACCCAGGGGCGCGAGGGTGTGCTGCAATGCTGACTCAGACGTCGACTGATGGCCTTTCACTCAGATCGGTCCGAAAATAGCTCGCAGCGGCAGACTTGGATTTTTCACGCTCATAGCGCTTCATTTGGATTTGAGACCTGAGAGTCGTCGACTCTGGAGACATTGTCGCTCCCGAGAACGTCCGGCAGCCAAACCTACAATCCTAGGCTCCGATCCTGCGCCGATAAGCACATGAACAAAGGTACTCAAGCTGGTAGGCAGAGTCGTGCTCCAATCATCTTCCGAAATTATTGTACGTCTTATGTCCCTCATGGCGGTGCATACATTCATCGAAACTTCATGGTGATCGCACCAAAAGACCAGAAATAAGTCTCCTGGCCGTCCTGGAGTTCCAAGTCGGAGACGCCGCGCTCGAGGGCAGATTTTCCGTCGCAGATTCGATTCCTCATCCACTGGGGGATTCGAGTTTCGAGCCCGGCGCCGCGAACAGAATTGGCGATCAGGATGAACCCCGAAGCCTGATCGCCAGATACTTCGCGAACCATGTGATAGACCAGAGTACCCAGTGGGGAAACCCCACATCCCGTTAGCGGCGAAAAGCGAGCTGTAACAGCTGACAGCGAAGTTGCCGCTCAAGGAAGCGAGTGTCATGCCGTCTCCGTGTCAGGAGTGGATATTCAAGAAGGAATTCAACTCACGTCAGAGGAGATCTGTCCAAGGCGTTCGCAGAACTCCGAAAAATATCGCAGGGATCACAGACTGCGACCAACGTGTTTTTGGTCACGAGCACTTCTACAGTCCGACAGTGTCGACAACAGGTTTCGATTGTGGTACGTCGGACACAGTTTCAACTTTGTCGTCCTCGAAGTACGTGGACGACGTAGATGTCTGCGTAAAGAGTTTTCTAGAGTCGGTGGTGGTGGTGGCAGCAGCCCACAGTACCGACTACTTGCAGCAGCAGCAGCGGCAGCAGGAGCATAACAACAAGGGCAGCCGCAGCAGCGCTTCTCAGAAAACAGACGAACGAACGTCGGTCTGTCCGTCAGCCGTCCTCTTCGTGTTTACCCTTCCTTCCCTCTGTGGCTCTCTCCCCTGGACGTCTGCGCGCGAGGGCTCCAGACCGCTCAGCGACCCAATGGCGCTCCAAGTTGAAGTTGGAGCCGGCAGTTCGGCATTGGAAGGTGCGACACTGATCCCTACGACCTTGCCCACTCGAAATTTTGCGGAAGGAGCTTGGGACGCGTTCCCCACCAAATAACGTCGAATCCGGGGTAGCTGAGCGAATTCCACCACCCCGATAATAATTATTCGTATCCATGCGGAAATCCCAGCGATGAAGTTAACTTACTTCGATAGCGCCCCACTATGTGAGGGTGGACTGGCGGAAGCATTTCGATCGGTTGCTGGAACGGACACTACGGCAGCAATGCAGTCACTACCGGATGATGCAGCCCCTCGAGAACAGGCAGGAATTCCTGATGTCAGAAGCGCGCAGAGTTCTTTCCCCCTTCGAATCTCGATCGTCAGAGGACTTCCTCCTCGAACATCAGCGGAGAAACTAATGAGGCGGTTCCGACTTTGACAGCAGTTTTGTTCGAGTCGAATTCCTTTCTGTTGGTAGGCAGTGTGTTGTCCCTCGATAATTCCGGTTAGGATCAACAGTTATCGGCGTGAACCGCTTCGAGAGTAAACGGCAAGACGCGCCGATAGCGAGGGTTTAACTCTCTCGAAATTCCATCACCGCCGGTGAGCATGACCGTCTCGGCCCGCCGACAGAAAGGAGAAAGTCGGGAAAAACCACATTCGCCCGCCAAATTTGAAAACGCGCCGCGGACCCGCAAATGACCGCTTCTTCGAAACACAAAGATCCGTCGCTCTGTCCGTCCGCTGCTCCGATCGTCTGACGTCGACGTCACGTCGTCGCTTCCACCACCGAGTCGCCGCCGTCGCATGACGTATGCATCCCGCTCACACCCTTGGTCCAGCGCGCACACACACACGCACGAACGCTTACAGACATCCACCAGAACAGCAACGACGAAGGCGTCGCGCGGTGTCGGGCAACCCTTTTCTCTACAACCGGTTGACGCCGTTGTAGTGAAAGATCCGAAGCCGAGTGCTAATAAGCGAAGCGTCACTGACGCAGAGTCGAGTGTCATCTCCGTCGTCTGCACCGAAGATGACGACATGCTTCGCAAGAGATTTGGAACATGCGAATGACGTTTTTCCGGACCAATTCCTTGAGGGAAATGTACACTCAACTGCTGCCATGAGTCGACTTCACGTATGGCAGCCATTGCATACATTTCACGTTCGACTGACTCGAAGTATGGAAGTCAAGGAAAAATGTTGAAGACGGTAGAATGGTAGAAACTCCGTCTATACATAGGAGAAAATTCCCCGTTGGAGAAGCTTCCCCTCGAACCGGGACCCGATCCGGTAATTCCCTGAATGAATCGACGAGAGAGTGAATGAATGACGAGACGAACGAACGAACCCGTGAATGAACGAATGAATGGAGAATCCTCCTCCATCGACTACCGACGGCGTCGCCACTGTCTGCTGACTACGATAGTGTTGGCTCTGCACAAGATGTTGAGTCAGAGATCCGAAATATCTGTAGTCTTGCGGTGACTCATCCGAGCGGTTGCCGTGTTTCTTGATAAGGCTCAAACCTTCCAGAAATAGAGATTTTCTCCCATCAAGATTGCCCGCGCCGAGTTTCCGCTGTTCCTGTACTACACTTGTTACTTAAAAGTCACGCTTTCATATCCTTCGCTCCGGGAACCGATTCCGAGCGAGAGTTCAGCGCCTTCGCCGTCAACGGTCAACTTGAGGGAGAACGAAGGACACCCCGCGCGGGAAATCCCTCAATTTTCCTAGAGGAAACGCCGGAAAATCCTCAGTTCTTCAGCGCCGACTCCGGTCCACCGGACACATTACCGTTCCACAGTGGAGCGGCACAGGATTTCCGTCGTCTGTTCCGGCTGTCTTACTTACTCTGTGCATTTGAGGTATGTACAGGGAAATTTGATGATCGACTTCGATGAGCATCGCTTCTCGGAAACACAACATCGTACTCGAACCGAGACCCTGACTGAGTGATTCAGAGTCGAGAGCCTCGCACCAAATGCCGAATGAGGCCTGTTTGACTTTCAGGAGTCCGTAACCGGGCGCCAGTCAGTCTAGCGCCTCACGGTGCTGGTGGTCACGATAGGTAACGACTCGGACTCTCTCATTCTCATGGGCACGGATACGACCCAGCCCCGACCCAAATCAGACGGAGGTCGATGTCTCTCCGCAGAAATTCCTTATCAGCGGTCTTTCGGTCGAATCGCTGGAAGACAGGCCAGAAGTCCCCCTCGATGAAGGTCCTCGTGCGCGGGACAGGAATGCCCCAATATTAATCGAAGATCGAAAGAAAATCCGGAAGAGAGTGAGCATGATCCGTATTTTCCTGCTGATAGGGTAAGAGTCGTGAGTCTTGAATGAACACGGTAGCCGACGAATGGAGAGCGGTGGACGGCGCGGTGTAATTCCCTCCCCGCTGCCGCAACCGCCGGCTCCGAATGTGTAATTCCCGACTCTTCGTTCTGACGTCGTGACTCCTTATCTTGGAGCCTGTGGACGAAGCGGGGCGCCAGCCCTTGACGTGCGCGCCTATCAAGCTCCCGGCTCTATGGTGTTCCTTCGGACAACGCTTCGGAAACTTCGACTACAAGGATAGCTCCTGGGACTTCCTTCGACCGATTTCACCTCGCGGATTTTCGGAGAATCTACGAATGCCAATAACTGGATCCGCATCATCGACTCTGAACCCCTGGTCCACCAGATTCTCAAGTTCTCAAGCCCATCTCCGGAGTCCGCGGCGCGACTTGTGCCCCAGTTCGCCTCTCTCGGGGTCGAGTTCGAATTCGGTCGGAAGACCGGCGGGATAGAAACTTTGCGGCTCGAGCCTGAATTCGGACCGATGAATTCGATGGACGGAGCTGAGCGAGTCCACCAAGCCACCAATTACGAGTCCGAGAGAGCCGAAGATCCTTTTTCGACCCCTCTGGCTCGTCCCGACTATATCAGGTTGACAAGTCAAAGCAATACTCACTCGTCGATCCGCACCTTCATAAATTGACTGCTGTCCTCCCGAAGAATTGCTGGATCCGCTGCTGGACTTTGGAAATTCGTTTCATCGAAAAGAACAACCGACGAATGTCGCGAGAAGGGGTGGACGTGGCCCCAAGGCATCGTGATGCCTCTCGAAGACTCCGTGAGACCCGATCCGTCGGATCAGTGAGATCGGGTGTCCCGATCCGTGATCCGTCACCTCTCATCCGCCCGGAATCCAGAAATGAACCTGCGATTGGACTAACAAGTCGAGGGGCTTGATCGAAACACTAACCGAGGCATGCTGAAAGCGCCTCTCGGGGCCGCTGAAGCACGCCGAGCTGAACTGAGGTGGAAATCACCAAGGAGGAGAAAACGTCGAGCCAGCCGTCGGGAGTACGACGCAGTCGGAGACTCATGAGCATTTCAATGAGTCGAGGAGCTCTTCGCCGTCTGGAAGACCGGGAGCACGTCAATCGGCGGTTCGATGGGTTCCGACCGTAACTCGAGGTTCGACGGACAGATAGAGTTGCGATATGAGATTTTTCTTCATTTTCTTTCCTGAAAAAAGACAATGTCCGCGCGGAAATCGGGACGGAGAGCCGACATCAAAAGCGGACACTCTATTCCATGTAAATCGCCCTTTCCATGGGATTGATTCGACTCTCAAATCTTGTTTCCTAATAAGCAATAATCGACAGAACTTCGTTGCCCTAACGGTCGTTCAGAGACAAATTGCTGAGAAGAAAATTTCCGACTCAGCCCCCGGCGCCTCTAACTCACGCTTGTGCAGCCGAGACCTCGGTGCCCTCGGCGAAAAAATAGCGCAGGAATTCGATTTTTGCATCGAAAATAGCAGTATTTCCTCGAAAATTCCGGGAAGCGGACATTTCCGAGAAAACCCCCAAAAAGCGGTCAAAGCAGACAAAAAAGGACGTGTCCTCTCATATCGCAACTCTACGGACAGAATATCCGCGCCTTCGCCTCATAATCACGAACGAAAGTTCGGGAACATTCCTAGTAAGCAGAATCAACCGCGAGCCCCCCGGAAGCCCGAATGCCAGCTCCAATATTCCCGACCCCCAATGACCGAATCGCATATGCTCGAATCCCGAATTACCGACTCCATGCCTGAGTTTCCCATATCATCTCATCGATGACCTACACCAAAAGTCACGGTTCCTTGATGTCCGGAACTCGGTCCAATCCATGTATCCATATTTTGATACACGTGGCGCTTCTATTCATATGTTGAAAGAAGGGACGCGTATTACGTACAAACATCGCTCAAGTTTTTATTCTCCTTCAAAACGATGATTTTTATTTACATTAGACTTAAGTGAGCAATTCCGGTAATTTTTCTCTCTTCCCGTAGTATCACTGGTAGAAGAAAATAGCATCTCCTCACCGACTCCAAACCCTTCAAACACTTCACTTCGACAATATTGAAAACGAGACACTAGCAGCAGGAACGCTTGTGATTCTTTGGAGTCGATAGTTATAGACGAAATATCGTTTCTGATGATAAAATACTGAAGCAACATTGCCGCATTAGTTCTTCCCTGCTGGTGCTCTTCGAGGCGCTTGACCTACGTGATCCACAGAAAATTAATAAGTCCGTCTCTGCTAGGTTCCATTTAAAGTTCCGGTCAGGTATGCGCATCTTATGTACAAACATATGCTCAGAGTAACAACGACCAGCATCCGTCGATCGCAGCGAATGTTGCTACGAGCTCACATTGCTCCATGAATTCAATATCCCGCAATGTCATGAAGACTCAGCGAATGAGCAGAGCGATATCGTCGAGCCTTAACGGGAAGAAAAGCTACGGAGCAAGATGCCAAAATGTCATTCTGGTACCAGCGGTATAAATGCGAGCTTTTCGCGATTCTCTTGATGTTCGGCTCGATTAGGCCCGAGTTCTCCCTCGGAAATCACTGAAGAATCGAAGCTGATTGTTCATGAGTCTATTATTTTGTGTCAGCGAGATGGCTCGCCGGTGATCCCTCTTAAGAAAAGGCTAGTCGGCATCCTCCGACCGGCAGCAGGTCACCTCTCGAAGCCACATCAATTGCAAAAGATATACTTCATTCATTATTTACAATACAAACACTTAAAAATTATGAGCGGCCGTAGAGTTTTCCCTCGACGTCTGACGCAGGAGTTCATTATTGGGACTTCATAAACCAAAAAATCGAGGACCGAGGTTCGCGCTTTCGACATCCGAGAGCATGTCTGATACAGCTGCCGTCCGGCGCTCCGGATCGAGTACAGAAAATTTTGCGGAACGTAGCCGAGACTTCTCGATAGTCTCGAGCAATTCCCGATGAAAACCTCATCGCGAACCAGGTATACGCTCCTACTCGGGCAGGCTGACGCTGTCGGTTTCAAATTTGCAGAGTTTCGCCGCGAAACGACCTCGATCCAGAGACAGCTCATCTTCTCTATTCAGAACAGCAGTCTTTTCGCCGCTCCTTGTGAAATTAAATGTCGCCATGACTCTCGCCCTTAAATAAGACATGGCTATTGATCCGTGTAACACAAGGCCCTCGGCAGAGCTCATTGAATGCCTCTATCGGAGTTCCGAGCATAAAGCCCTCTGTTTAAGTTTCCTCGAGATTGGACCCCGCGTCGAGAATCATCAATGCCCGTGTAGTGGATGAAAAAGTGCCGTCTCTCCCATCATTATCATCGCTCTGCGCTTCGCGAAGAAGATATGTAACAAAAAATAAGTTATGTACAAAAGTGCGTTGCCGAGACCGTCATGAAAAAGTCGTCGTCCTAGCTCGATCTCGATCGATCAATCAATGAATCGACGAAAACTAGTTGTTTGAGAGAGGATCGACCGCTCACAGCCGTCATCACAATTCTCTTGTATGAGATTAACTCGAGAGACGAGAATACTCATTCCAATTACGAGTGAGATGTTTCTCAGAGTTTTTCATGGACTCGAACGATGATCTCACCTCGACTGTCTCCCGTTCTCCTCGTGATACCCAAAATAGTCATCGAGAAGGCTTTCGAGGAGCTTCTCAGTTCACGAGCCGTCACCCGGAGCAGTTTGTCGCTCTTGTCAAAATCGTACACGCTCGGGGAATCTCCCTTGGGCTATGAAATCAAGACAAATCCGAGAGATATCGCTAGACTGACCGTTCGAACCGCGCTCTTCCTCAATAGCTTATCGTGAATTTCTCGAGAGCTTCCCAGAGCGCTAGCCGAAGGAAGCCATGCCGGAGTTTTCCGTGTTCAATTGCTGCTCGTCGGATGCTCGGTCATGGGGATAAATTTCCAAAAATAATCTTGGGGGATATGAGTCATTAGACGCGTCCTATCGAATTCCAATAAGTAGTAGTTGTCGTGCAAGTCATGTGGCGAAGAGTTACACCTTTTTGATACTCATGAAATCTCCTGAAATCCCTGCTCACGATTTCCGTCAAATATACCTTCATTTTCCCTCTTCCTCCCGTTTCGAGTCTCGTCTGGCAGCTTTTTTGCAAGAGCCCGGAATCCTATGCTTTTGAATGAAGTGATCAGCAACGCACCCATGGGACCATCTAAGTCGTGATCGAGATTGCCACAGAAGAAGCTTGGGCTGACTGATGATTTTGATCACCATGAAGCTCCGTTGAGGACGCTTCATGATTTCCTCTACGTTGATGATGGATTCTCACAATGAATCAATGGCAAGCGCACGCTTTTCAGACGGTGCGGTTCGCTTCATTGTCAGTCGGCTCATATGATAGTCTCGCATAACGCTAGAGGTCCTCTGCGCATCTCCACATGTCTGCCGTCGACCAACATAAATAACACACGCACTCGTTCCGTTGGCGCGGCAATCAATAAAATATTAGCGCTCTTCTCACTCATTTGCGGCGCCCGCATCACGGACGCGGGTCTGCGGCTCACTTGCTCGCGTCTCTCATCCATATGAAAATTTTCTGACGGAACAAAGTTACGCCTTGACATCATTGGACGAATCGGACTGACTGGAACGATCGTTCCCTATTTGAGAAATACTTTTCTTGATTCGAAGGGCAGTCAAACGCGCCGTCGGGTTCTCGTACCAGCACTCCAACATGATTTTGCTTAATGCCGAGAGTTCCTGTGAACCAGAGCCAAGGAAAGATTAGGAAAGTCCTTTCCCCGCTGTAGGAAATGAAGCGAGAAGTGAACAATGAGTTTTCGGGAACATCAGTTCATTCCATACCTGACAGGCATTCCAAGTGGGCGGAATAGGAGGTCTTAGCTTGTCGTCACACACGACTTTCTTCATCTCTTCTATTGTGGGGTCTGGAGCGACCACGTCGAAGAACGGTAGTTGGTATTCTTCTGCGACGATTGTACACCGTCTACAGAGCTCCCAGAACACCAAGCCGAGAGCGTAGATGTCGGCGCTCTTGAACGAATCGAAGTGATGCATCGCAATCGTGTCGTTCAGGATCTCCGGGGAAAGATATCTGAAAAAAAGAACGGGAATTCTCCATAACTTTCCTGTTCGATTAGGCTTCGGATGCTTGATGTTCGAAGAGGGATAAAAGGCGCGCCTACCTTCTTGTTCCAACTCTGCTGTTCGGGGGATATCGATCGACCTCGTCGTCGAGTCGTATCTGACCGCCAAACCAAGATCGGCGACTGCACATGAAAGATCACTTTTGACGAGAATATTTCTCGATTTTATATCTCGGTGAGCGATGGCAGGCTTGCCCTGAGTGCCGATAATCTCTATATGAAGGTGAGCCAATCCATTGGCGATGGACAATGCCATTTTGTTCAGTGTGTACGGATCGATGGCCTGAAACATCAGTGGCTTCCCATGAGCGACTCTCAACGGCAAGGCCAGCCGCAGCCGTCTAGACCGGTCTACGGCTCTCCGTCTGACCGCTTAATCGAATGCGAGGAAACCGCAGAGTACCGAAACTGAATATCGTGGACTCACGTGCTCCATCAGGTAATCGAAGAGTGATCCGTGCTCGTGGTAGTCGGTCACGAGCCACAGCTGGGTCCAAGTTCCATTGTCTTTGTTGTCGGCAGCGATGAAGCCGAGTATATTGTCATGACGCAACATCACCGTCTGGTAGATTTCAACTTCACGGAACCAGGAGCGCTCGTCCCGGGTCGAGAAAATCTTCACCGCGACGTGCTCACCTCTCCACCGTCCTCGCCAAACTTCGCCGAATCTTCCCTTGCCTATACAAAACCAGACGGAGTGAGTTCTGAGCGATTGATTTGAAACCGATTCCCGGGACAGAAAATTTCGAGAAGAGCTTCCACACTCACCGATAGTTTCTAGGAGAGTAATCTGTCGCGCTATCGATCTCTGAACTAGCAGCGGAAGACCCGAACCGGAACCCGAGGTTGTCATGTCCATGAAGTCTCGGATATTCCCCGGTGGCAGGATCATCGGTTCGCTTTCGCCTCCTTCGCCAGAGTCCATCATTCGACGTTGTTTCCGACGCTTCGCGAAGTACAGCGACAGCCCGATCAGGATCATAGCGGCCAGGGTCAGAGGAACGAGAATCGCCATAATCCAGACGGCTTGTCCCGGAACGAAGGGTGAAGCGGCACCATCTTCATTGCAGAAATCGATATTAGGCTCTGTTTTCGGGTTTCAGAACTCTTCCTAGACGTGCCTGGAGGAAAGAACTCCCTCCAAACACATCAAGAGTTTCCGAATCCTACTGACGGTATATAACATGATTTCAACATTGTATATGAACAGATAGGGGTTTGATAATCCAGAAGCGATGACCGACTGACGAGACAAAAACTGTTCCAAGACGTACGTCCTGTCAGAGGAAGGACACGAAGGAGCACTTTGGGGTCACCACATGGCCTCTCGGACCTGTAGACGTCACTCAACACGAAGCATCCTGTACTCGGAGGACTTGTCGATCAAAATCTCGCCCGGAGGTCTGATTTTGACGGGAATGCGGGGGAGCGTTGGACAATCATTCCAGAGCGGTCGGATGCCGGTGCACAGCGGAGACGAGCATGCAATCTGATTTCGGGCTCATGGGAAGGCATGCATAGTTGGGGTCGTATCAAGGGACGATTCTATTCATGCAGGTTTCACGCAATGATAGAAACTTTCACAATTGGAACATCTAGAGGAGGTCTGGCTCACGGAATTCTTGGGTAGAGTTCGAAAACTGATTTTGCTCATGATTCACTCTCAGGGTTTTTCTGCCGGAGGTTCCAGAACGGTAGGATGAGCAACCGAAGACTTTGAAAGTTGTTTCCGAAGCGCTAATGGTTCACTATGACTTCAAGGCTTCGGGTCGCTTGGGGTCCGGACGAGCACGACAGACATCGGATTCTACTTCTACACACGAAGGTGTGAACAGGTGTCGCCGATGGAGGGAACGAATTTTCTCCACTGCAATTTCTACCTGGCGGCGCGATTGGCGAGAAGTCTCGGGGTAGGTTTTTGTTGCAGAAATCTTCCGAATCACAACACCAGGTGGCCTCTTCCACGATGCCACGACGGTAACCTCGGATGTCATACTCAGTGTCCGGATGGGTTCGGTTACACTGTACTGCGAATCCTTCATGAGGGAACATTCTCTTTGCGTCAAGGCATCTACGAACGATTCAAGAAAATTCTCAATCAAACGCATCACTCGAGGCGCGTCTCCTCACCTCGTCCTCCACCACGTCGGAAAAAAACGTCCCGGCATACCAACCACGTGAATGAAAGAAATACCGTGCAAGCTTGTCACGGCTCGAAACGTGACACAAAGATAGCTGAAACCTGCCATGAAGCGGTTCAGCGACATTCCCCGAATGCAGCTAGAATTCACGAATTCGAAGATGAAAGATGCAGGATTCCACCATCATGGAGAAATATCTAACGGATATCCGGCAAATGATCCAGCAGCGTTAGCAGCTCGCAGAATCAAAGATTTATCGTCCCGGATCGTTAGGAGAAGAACAGGGTAAGAACGCGCGTCATGCGGAATCGGCGCGAGATCGATCGTCACGATGCGAAGATACAGAATGCAGAGAACCGCTGAAATCCCAGATCGTGAGCAGCGCAAGCCAAAACCACTCCAATCGTTTAGTATCAAGCCCAGGAATCCTTGTTGAGCTCCGTCGGTGGGATTCGGGCTCCCGGCTCCCTTACGGACGACAGCCTTGTCCTGCCCCAGATAGGGGAGTCCGTCAGTCGGTATAGCGTCCTGGGTGCAATCGGGCTCCAAGATCCCGAATCACGTACCACTAGCGATGGGAGACAGGGCAGGTCTCACGTCCCGGTTGCAGAAATCTTTATCGGAGCAACAATACTGGCTAACCTTCCCGTTCGGCGCGGTAGTCAGGCATACCAGAGGTTTTGGTTGCGGCTGCAGCTCTTTGGTCGACAGGCAGCTGAACGGAAATGTTGGGCGATGAGTATGACTATTGAGTCGTGTATTCGTTTGAGATTTGTACGTTTTCGGGGTGGGTAGGTACCTAATGAAAGTCTCATTATCGATATCGAAGGAGCGGTGTCGATCTCCTTTTTCTCGATTCGTAAAAAGGTTCCACGGCGAAGGCCAACACAGATCGTCTGCGGTTCGCGCCGACGCTCTAAAAACGGCAGCGATTGCCAACCAGACATGTCTGGCGGAATGGTACTCATGTTCTAGCAGTGTTCATGGGGCAAGTCGGTCACTGAGCTGAAGATGGGTGAGAACATTCTGGCAACGAAAATACGGGACCGATATCACGAGCGCGCTGAGCTCTGCCACCCAAAGCAAAAATATCAGACGCCAGATTGGTTCATCTTGGATAAGGCATATCATTTGCGGCTATTCAAGAGTTTCTTGATCGAGGGAAAACGTTTCCCGGCGAGGGAAATCTCCCTCTGCGTGATGAGCTCCGTCTCGTCCGCCGCCGCAGCAGCAGCAGGTGCCTTTCATCCTTGCTCCCTCACGTAGTTCTTCCTGAATTTGTGCGCGCGAGTTTGATTCGCTAAAAAAAGGCGTTATTCCAGATGTCGAGGCTAACTAAAACTCCATCTAGATTCTCCACGCATCCATACCGATAAAAATATTCCAGTTGGCCATTTTCCTTCCGCTCCGATCCAGCGAAACAAACTCCATCTGTTTCGCAAACCTGTTCCGATCCGCAGTTGTTGCAATAGCAACGCCGTTCTGAAATGAAGAGCGCGTTATGATTGGCTCATTTGCACTTGAGACCGGTCACGATTCCGAGACTGGTAGAACTATAAACGTGCGTTCCCGACGGCAAACTCAGCTGAGGGGCGGAAGCGTGCTGTCCACTGAGAGCTATTTAGAGAGCTCAACGCTCATTTCGAACGCTCCGCGGCCGAAATATACAAAGCTCGCGTGACTCGGACTCGGACTCGGGCATCGGAATCGCGTATCTAGGGATGGTGATGATAACAATGATTTCCTTCGTCTTAGACCTGTCTGGCAAGATACCTTCGTCGCCAGGAGAGTCAAGAAAATCGTTTTGCCTAGCTTACAGCGACCATTGGAGCTTGAGCCAAAAGAATCGAACTCATGATCCGTGGCTCTCTCTGGATGCTTCAGATGCCGAGTCGGTGATCAGTGAAGTCCAAGACTAGATGGATCCTAACAGAGAGCGGAACTTGCAATCGAGACTGTGGCGAAGCGGAAGTTTCGGATCATGATTCGTTGAATCGTGAAGCAAAATACTGATTCCATTACTGAGCGCGGAAGCCGCTATTCGGGCATGCGTGCGGTGAGCGACATGTGAAATCTTCTGCGCCTTAATTTCACAAAACAACGCCTTTTGAATAATTCGGGGAATGTCCATCCCGACGGCAATGCGATCGGCTAGTATTGTTTCCAGGAACAGAGCGAGCAGCTCTCGACCGTGGCTGTCCCTGTACACGAACGATATGAATTGTTCCTTCAGCGTCGTGTTCAGAGACCGCTCAGTCTCCATCCTGATCGCGCGACGGGATCGGTCAATCAGAATGTACTTAATGAGGAATACTCTTAGGCACAGAATCAAGTGAGGTCACCACATAGCAACTCAAGTCATTCGAGAGAGTTCCGCGGTGAGAATTTCGGTAATGACGCCTGAAGGAACCAGTCGACGTTTCATGGATCATTTCAGTCCCGCAAACTGAGGGCGCATATAGAAGTCTACGACACAACAACGCGGAAGCGCTAAAAAAATCGGAGAAACTCGCTCCGAGTCCGGGACAGGATCGATATCCTTGGAAAAAAGACGCGGATTCCGCACAGATATCGCATGTAGTCAAGTCTCGGGGAGGAGACGGGAGGAGTCTCCGTAATCCTGAAGGCGATTTGTTCCTGGAACATGATTCGAGCTGTCCCAGAGCTCTCGATGAGTATCGATTCGTATCACATGCGGAGCATGAGAGCTCGAGCTCTGGTGGAAGGATTAGAGTCACCGGATTGATGCCGATAGGGGAAAACCCACCGAACCGGAAAAGCTCAGTCAACTCCCATTTGCGCGGTGCGATTTCGAACAGAGAGTTCGCGGCTGTTCTCGAAGAAGAGGAAAGAGTCGCTGCCGAGCACACGATTCCCTTGAGTTGGTCTGGATCAGACGGAATGGAAATATGTAGGAATTCATCGGTGCTCAAGTTTTTCCATTCCCCTCTCAACGTCACGCTTGCGAGTCGAGGAACCGATCAACGAGGATGGGCGGTGGAGCGTTTTGAGCCTCGACAATCTCTAGCGAATTCGAAAGCACTTACTTCCTTCGATCGTCTGATTTCTGCTCTCTTCAGTTTTGACTTCGAGACGGGGCGTAGTCGAGTCTGAGGATTCTGCGCTGATCCTGACGCTCTGATTCGAGTCGTCCTGGCTCACATCTCTCACTAGACTCTCGGGCTCAAACGGAAGTAGAAGTCCATCCTCGTCTGTGTCGAAAGCAGTTTGGATGCTCTCAATGATGGACCAATCATTCGGTAGATAGTCACCCGAGGATCCTTCGAGCTCGATCGTTCCATCGAGATCTTCTTTCGACACGAGCTCATTCAGCTGAACATCGAACTCGGATGAAGTCAGGCCGAACTTCCTTCGCACGATATCCCTCAGTTCCTCATTCGCGACTCGGAGAGCCTCTTCCGCTTTCACATTATCCCCCGCGTCAGAAGCCGTCAACAAGTGGTTCACATTCCTCCGAAACATGGAGGAAGCAATCAGCGCGACGGTGTTGAAACGCGCTGAGAGCCGGCTGTCAACACAACGGTATGCGGCCGTCAAAGGTGGCGATCGAGACACAGTCACGGAACTACTGAAACACTCCCCCGTTTGCTACTCTTCCAGCACCAATTAAATAGAAAAACAGTGGTACCGACAGAGTAGAGTTTGGGAGAGGAGGGTAGAACCAGTCGGGATGTCACTTGTCAACTCAGACAAACGACGGCATGACAAGCTGCGTCGATTTGAGGAGGCTGCAAATTGTCTGGGAACGGATGATTGCTCTCCTCCGCTCTTGCGGTTTTTGGACCACACCGAGGATCGCCACAACAAAATTCACAACATTTTGGTCGGAAAACGTCGCGGTAAGGAGAAATTGTCGCGGGACTTCACGCCTATACCGCGTCTACTTTGGAAACCGCAGTCTCCGAAGGAAGGATGCAACTTGAACATTTCCGCTTCCGCTCGGTGAGAAAAGGATACAGATCGCGGCGAGTGCTACCGCACCGATTGAGCATCAGGGCAGCGTGACGACAGGATAAGGCTGACACGATGCTGCTCTCTCGAAACTGGCAATAGAAATTAGTTTGAGGCCTTCCCTGTTACAACAGCCGACCACCGTGTCAAGGAAGGAGCCAGGTAGCCAGCGAGCTGCTGGCAAAGCAGTCAGTCTGTCCGTCAATCTGATAAGCGGCGCGGACGATGATCATCATGTCGCATTTACAGATTGCACTTAATTACCTCTGAAAACGATGCCGATCGCTCAGAGCCACCACTGGAATCGATGTCATACGAGTGATGCTCGACTAAGGGTCTCTGACGGGCGGTAACTCCTAGAAGCGATAGCCCCGCAGCCGCTCGCAGGCTCGGCTCGTCGCCAGATCCAAATCTAAAGGAGACTGCAGCCGAGCTCGTACGCCGCTAGCCTTGCTCGAGGAGCCTCGGAGGAGCCCAGGCTTGAAATTTGACATCGCGTTCGCGCGAGATTCCCCACAAGTCGAGAAACTATGATTTGTCCCAGATACTCACGACTCATTTTGGCAGATGGGGGTTCCTTAAGCATAAGCACTGCGTTAGGAGATGGGTCCTACGTGAAGGTATAACAGGATCCCTAATCGCGGCATTCGCTGTACGGGAGCATCCCAAGAGGCAGAGCGCTGGCCCGAATGTACTTTTCGAGTCCAATCAACTGATAAACGTACAAACAGACCACCACCACCACACTCGTAGCAGCAGCAGATACTTGTTGTTATTTTTTCGCATCAGCAACAAGGATGATCTTGACTGCCTGCTTGGCCTAACGAGCGAGCGGATGGTGGAGGCTTATGGCGCCAAAATTTGAATCTTGGCCGACTCGTTCCCGCTCCGAGAACGTCGAGACGCCAGTTCCACGAGACGAAGCGAAAGTCACGCAGTCATCACGAACGCTCCACAGAGACAAGAAATTAGAGGAGCAGAGTCGCGTACTCAAATAGGTACTTGCCTATTTTTTCTTTACACCCTGTCATTCCTGTGGTCGTGCATGCTTCTCGAATTTCTCGAAAGGGAAACTGAAGTAGACCTCCGAGCGTCGATTTTCTCCGTGGCATAGATCCTCGAAGGGAGACGTGGGCACGGCGCTGTGGGTGGCTAATTCGAGTGGCGTCAGTGATGCAGCATTGGCGTTCAAGGGACCACGAAACCACGAGGAACATCTTCACGACTAATGAGTCTAGACACCATATCAGCTTCAGCCCGACGCCCAGCCTACGACGGTGAATAAATGAGATCGGAGAATCCACTAGGCGAGGAAAAGGAAAGAGCTCGGTTTTTCGCTCATGTCGAGAGCGTCTAGGTAGGTCACCGTATCTCCTGGGCCTGAGCCTACTGAGTGGGATCAAGCTGCCGCTGGCGATCGAGCAGCCTCCGGAAGACGAGAACGATGTCGCGCTGGAGTCTGAAGGCTAAGGAGCACGATACAGCTGCACCGATGGAAATACCGACTGCCCCGCCATTGGTTGAGAGCGAGCCTCAGGCCTCTGGGCCGTTTTTCTCGGGTATACCCCCACCTTCATGACGGCGAGCTCCGGGATTTGAGAACAAGCAGTTTCATAGATCCAAAGAAGTTCGTTCACATCAGAGCTGGGAAAACCCTGAGATGCAGTTGCCGCATCTGAGAGAGAAACACCGGGAGTTGTTGGAAATTGTTGTTGGCGAGATCTCCGGGGCGTTGCTCGAAGCTCCGGTAGCAGATGCTCACGGAACTGCGGCTTACGCTGCCCTGGTTTCAGCGCAGCGGTAGGCCGACGGAGTGGGCAAAGCAGTCCGCTCGCTCGAGTGGGAGCTCTGCGCTGGGGCTCTGGTGTGACTACTCGAGCGAGTTTGGCAGTGTCTTTGTCGTAATGCTGGACGAAGATACGCACAAAGACGTAGCAGGCCAAAAAGAAGAGAATTCGCCCTTAGAGAGTGTGCATCTGAGAAGTCTGGAGCTTTTGAGCTTCGGAATTCGTATACGAGTTGTGATCTCAGTTTTGTGCTCGGAACTTGATACTCTCTTCAAGAACAGAAGTGAATGAAAGACTGAGAATCGAGGTGCAATACGTGTATGCGGTCAAATGCCATAAGTTCTTGGGAAGAAGCTGAGGATGAAGTGAACATGCTCCTATTCCAAGGTCCATCTCTCGGAACATCCGTGCTTGCTCTCCTCGAACTTATCTCCATTCTCATCCGGTGTTCCGAAATTCAAGAACAGGTGGCGTCAGCAAAGCGATTGCGATACCTCGAGGCAAAACCGGCCTGGTTTCACTCGCAAGAATCTGAATCTGGTTTCGCGAGTACGACTCCAGTCGTATGCTCGTGTAGGACTCTCTCTTTTGAAATGAACTAGAATTCCTGAACGGACGTTTCAGATTTATTCTCTTCGCACGAGCGAAGACCGACCTTCACATCGGCAGGTGGATCGCCCCGGATGAGTTTTTCCCGAAGTTGTAGGCTGTTATGAACGCTGAAGTTAGGACACCTCTATCAGATTCTCTATCATTCAAACGTCGGGGAACCAGAATGTCTGTTTTGGAAATCGGATAATTATACGTTACCCCCTGTGTTACAGCCCCAGAACCCGATCGATCTACGAGTAATTTCCCAGCGTTTCATCTCAGGATAGATGTGTGCCTGGAGTATGCTACTCTCGTCGCTCAACACCAAGAAATTGATCGGAGCTGCGTGTTTTGTGTCTCAAAATGGACTCACAGCTTACATAGGGAGCGCTTGGCGCGAACTTGTAGGTTGAGGAAGCGTTGTTGTATACCTAAACTTATTCCAAGTGCATTACTTTCGTTTGAGCTCCCTCACGGCAAAAGCGGATATCGGGGATGACGACTCGGAGAAAGAGGGCCGCACAAGTTTCCTGGCGGAGGTGAGAGAGAAGCGCTAGTCGGTTTACATTTCTAATTGTTCGAAGCCAGCGCTGGAGCCACTTATCATCGGCCACGACTATAGATCGGATGAAGACGAAGCTCAAGCGAAAAAAGATCCTCGCTCAAGGAGATCTTTGTTGTGATGAGTCGCTTCTTCGGGAAGATACGGTCTCTGTGATTGATGGGGACGATTCTAGGAGTTCAGAAGAGCGCCTCATTAATATCTGACTTGAGCTAGACGTCTGTCCCGGATAGAAGGAATCCTCGTTGCCTGCCAGGAGACCGAGAAGAAGGTCGGTGCTCTGAGGGGGATTGATATCTGATTCCTTCTTGTATACGGGAGTAACCGAGATCCACTGGGAGCGAGGCCCTCCCCGGGGTCTACCGCCAGCAGATACGAAGTCCTGTAGAGATATGATCTTGCTCTTGCCTCTCCGGGAACGTGAGTACGGAGGGGACAGACCATGAGCTTGAATGCGGACGTTTCGGGGGGTCCCAGTCTTGGGCAGCGCGATTCCACAGTAGGAAGCAGAAGTCACTCTGATAGCTGACACGTTCAGCCAGCCCGGATTCCATTGAAGTTCCGAGAATCTTCGTGGCGTGCTTCATAGCCCGCTCCGCTTCGGAGTAGAAATGAATGTCAAACTAACAGGGAAGTTGTTTGTTATTGATCATGCCGAAGATAAAGTTTCCGGGGATTAGAGGGCTCATCTCGCGGGGAAACTTCTCGTACCATAGCGAGAGATATCCACCCAAAACATCGAGCAAGTTCTGAGTTGAGCGGCCTCTCCCCGTGGAATCGGTCAATCTGGAATCGCAGTTAAAAGGATCGTCACGGTTGGAAATTCCAAGTGCTCTGAAGACGATCGGTTAGAATATCCGAAGGGGGAAATTCAGGCTCCCCCGTATCTTCTATTCTCATGCCTCGACCCCTGGATCGCACCTGCATGCGGTCGACGCATCTGAGTCAGTATCACGCGCGTGCAGCCGGATTAGGTGCTCGACAATGGCAATGAGTCGCTTGACGGTCATTTGCGAAGCTATCCCTTCTCCTCGGTCCCTTGCCGCAGCAGCGCCCTCTCTCCTTCTCTTGCCACAGGGAGACTCGTGGCTTCTGACAGAATGGCGTCCATTTGGAGCGACAAAACACTGCTTTGGAAATTGCACATACTTTCCACGAAATTCGCTCAAGTTTCCGGAGTAGCAACGGCCGGAAGTCTCGACTGATTGTGCTGTGGGATAACGGATACCGCGACGGGAGTTGACATCGCGACTGGGAGTCCCCATCGAGTGAGTGACGTTTCCAACTACGCAGACTGGTCATGCAAACTTTAGGAATTATTTGCTGGAGAATTCCGGAATAGTCCGACAGGGAGTAGCGGGGGTAAGACGAGATTCTGGGGAAACCCTCTGTGGTCGTCGGATTCTTCGCGAATTCCGGCGACATGAAGGGAATCGGCCGAGAGCTGATGGTCATTCGAGTCTTTCTACCTTCTTGAACTGCTTGGAATCAACTTTCACTCAGATGGCTCGGGAGGTATTCATGTTCCGAGACTTGTACATATCCGAGGAGTCGGGAGACGCTTCCCGATCGACATTCATCTGCTATCACATCGAAGGTGCCAGAGAGGGCTCATTGCTTGAGTCGAATCAGCTGAATTCTGAGGATGTCGAAAGGATGCAGAATTCCACAGGAGCGGCATCGCTCGGCATTGGATATTTTCCCGTTCATCGGAGCGTCGCATCCGAGAGAACTACGACAACTCCGAATGGCGCTCAGAGTTGCCGCTCGAGAATCGCAAGCGCTTGCAGTCCGTGAGCTGAACCGCCGTCTCCTATGTGAGTGTGCCAGCGCGTAGTCGGCCTTGAGTAGAGGAGTTCCGACAATATGCGGCCAGGCTATCCTGTCGTCCGTAGGTTGTAGGTGCTCCGTCGACCGACTGAGGCAGAATCCACGATGGACTGCCATGAACATTAAGAGCGGAGGGAGCTCGCAGATTTCGAAACAACGGCTCGCTTCGCGCAGAGTCACTAGGGTTTCTCGGAGCTTTCGAAAAACCAGAGATTCACTTAAAAATGAGCCCTCGACGGGTTGAGCGCTAGAAACCTCTCAGGTGCTCCCAATCTCAGAGATCGAGTCCCAATAACTGCGTCGTCAGCCAGCAGCGGTCGATTTCTGTCTCCAACTTGCCTGCCGTAGGTTCTGACATGATCGAATGAAGACGACTCGAGTGACAAATTGTCGAATCAGCTTGAAACGAAAGCTGCCATGTAAGGCTGGAGCCAGCTTCATCCCTCGTCGCCTCCTGTCGGACGAGCGGCCAGTCGCTCGACCGGCGCTAGTCGGCAGGTACAGTTAAACAAGCCGAAAGCAGGTCGGTCATGGAGAAAACGACGTCCACAAACCGCCCACGCGCTTTTGTCTTCGGCAATACATACCTAAGTTGTGAGACAATGAAGGAAAGATGCGGAAATAGATTTTTCTGCTCCAACCTCTCTGTTCCACGAACGGGTTTTGAAATTATTCATGTAACGGGCCGGGCACCGATCCCACGATTAGGGTGACCGAAATACTAAAACCACAATGTTCACTGGGACGTTCAGCCGCTGTGGCTTCATGCCCCGGTCGAGTCGACCAGCCTCTCCGTCCGTCGAGGTGACTCTCTGATCGAATCTTTATTCATCCATCTACGAATATCGAGTGAATCACAAGGGGATAATCGATCGCGAAGAGAAAATTTCGAGCTAGTGTAACAATGTACTCCGGACGCGAACGACAATCCTGACAAAATTTCCCAGAGAATTTCTGCGCCTGCGGCCGCTATTCCATGTCCACTCGGTCTGGAACGATTTTCCTTCGCGTGAAGAAGAAACACAGTCTCCGGAGCTCGAATCCCGGCCGGTTCACGGTACATGACCGTTTTTGCGGAATCCATCTGACTTCATGAACGGACAGATAGATTGATGGACGAACGGCTGAATCGGCGATCAGTTGAACCTGACCCGTTACAGCAGAACGCTCGCTCGCTTGCTACCTGCCTGGGGAGCCATATACGAAGCACAAAGGAAACGAGGCCTTGTCAGTAGGCGAAGCATCACAACAGGCGTCAGCCTGTTCGTTTGCGGTGGATGCCGTCGCGGACTGAACGCAATCTGGGTATTGCTATCAGCGGAGGTAACAACAGCCTGTCGGGCGTGATGATGATGATGAGTTCCTCTGATGCGTTTATGGAAAATGCTCCAGTCACGTTGACGTGAGCTGCCCGCCTCCCGTCCAGCACAGAATCCCTGTATCGAGGCTTTCACTTTCGGAAGCTCGCTCGCGGGCTGGCCGGCTGGCTGGCTGGCCGGCCGGCCGACTCGTCGATTCACGGATTGCAATCTTGATTCGCTGATCAAAATCCAATCTGATGTCTCAATTCTCAATCCCCGGAATAAGGAGATTCTACTCTCAGAATTCGGAATAATCTCCGAGAATGGTAGAAATCTTCGTCTAATTAAACGACCAATCACAATCACTGCAGCCGATTCTGAAATTATTTTTCGGGAATTTTGGCATTTCCCTGAATTTTTTGGCAGACTTTCCATCGAGACCACCCTAGCGATTGAGTGACGGTATTGGAAGCCCCTGTCGCTGGAGTACCAAGCCAGTATAACATCCATGCGATCATGTATATTCCGCCCCTTGTGGGTGGCATTCACTCGCAGACAATAATTCTGCAATTATTCTAATTGACGAGTTGAATTATTCTGACTTGAGCGGGGAGTGCGCTCCGGGAGCACCCGACTGAGATCGGAAGAATGACTTGACAGGAAATATTCACTGGAAGATTCTTTCGAGCGCCATCGATCTTCTTCGGAATCTTCTGGTATTCGACTCGTTTTGATATTTCATAGGACAAGATATTCTCGAGAGGCATGGCTCGTTTCGAAGAAGATGCGTCGCATTAAACAGTATCCCGCGGAATTCACTTCTGACCTCGCTACTGAAAAGGTCCGGCGGACGCCGAAGATCCTTTCCGCCGGAGCAGGCTCGGAGAGCATTCCGTGGGAGATAGGGTGACGTAATCGTCCAAGGTTAGAGCGAATACCGAGCGAGTACTTCCCTTCTCAAAAATCACGGCATCGCTCGTCATTTCCAGTTCGAGTGGCGTTTCATTAACATCGATTGATGAGCGTGCCGCGGACGTGGGTACAGATTGATTTATGCACGTGGATTACTAGCCCCAAAAGTCCAAAAGCGATCCGAGTGCCGACCGACGCGCTTTGTATCGTGCACGCGTAAAACTTGGACGCTCGGATGGACGAGGAAAGTCAGTCGTAATTTTGAGAATCGCCTGGCGACGCTATTGGACGATGGCAATTTCACGCCACCGCGGAATAATTCGCTATTCATCCAACGAGACAGAGATTAAATCAATTCGTAACGGATCGGAACGAAATCCGCTCGTTGTGCGAGGACCCATGGGCTGGAAACGAGCTGATCGCTCGAACATGTGTTTAATGAATAGCACCTCTTATGAGTGTACGCGGAATCCGCCGCACGCGTTCAACAAGTCGCATCAGTCATTCGCGTCCGCCTGTGCTTCATGATTTTGGCAGCGATCGAGCATCGAGAGTTGAAGTTTTGCCCGACTCGCGCTTCGAACCAGCGAAGATCGATGGTTCTCCATTGATTGCAGCTTTCACCGCCACCTACAATGCATACGATTCCGTACAAAGTTTTTCTTCTTCTTCTTTTTTTTCTTCGAGACCAGCCGTTTCCCTCGTACAGATGAACAAGCTCCTCCAGCCGGTCTGGGAAAAAGGAACGTCAAAAAGTTCGCCTGAGACAAACTTTCAGAAATAATTGCGTGGCTCTATCCCGCCGCACAATGAAGTCGCTGGTCGTCGGCCCGGCCGGCCGGGCGACCTGGTCCCCGGCTAATGGTATATCCCACAAATCTCAAAAGCGTTCTAATGCGGCTAAGGCGACGACGGCGGCGGCGGCGACCGACCAGCCAACCAACCAGAAGCCACACCTAGCATTTACGTCAGTTTTGAACTTGGGAGTGTGTCTCTCTTTACTGACGCCATTGACGCTCATTGTGTTTCGATGATGCCGTGAGTCAGACATCGCGATCTCAAACCATTCGTCGAGGAGATGGACAATGTAAATAATAACAGTCGCTTCCCTCCCCCATTGTGGTCGAGGGTTGTTCTGAGAATCAATTAATCCAATCGTCGTAGATAAATATCACGTTCACACCTTCGGCTGGTAGATCGAGACCTTTGAACGTCGCGACGGCATTGAGAGCTCGGAGCAGCTCCATACCGCCCAGCATTTGAGCACCAGGCTAATTGAGGGCTATCGATGCGGTATGCATCGACGCGCAGTCCGAGAGATCATATTTGGGGAGCATGGCTTAATTCTCGCTCCTCCAGCACTAAACGGCGCGAGGCGGGAAATGAAGTCCCCATTTGCGGCGAAATCTCGCCAATTCCCGAACGTCGCGAAACTAGGTACGTATGCACAAGTCTCTGATGCACGTCAGCACACTTATGCATTGCTTCCAGCCTTGCGATACGACGATGAAGATGACATCGGATGCCATGCCAGAATCAGCTTCTCAGTGACAATGATAATTACTGACCTTTATCGAACATCATTGAGACATCCGATAAATCCGATTAGTCGAGAACAATGTTCTTTAAACGGCCTTGTTGTGGCATTAACCGCAGCTGTTCTCGCCAAGAATGTCATCCGATGCGCTGTCGGCGCCGGCGTTTCTGCTTGTTTTGGGCATAATCCAATGCTATAATCAATCTGCGTTGTGTACCTACTCGCGTCGATCGGCTATCCGAGCTGTTGACATGTTGCGTACGAACGCGCTCCGGTGAGCTCTGCCAGTCTCTGGTCAGGTGACCGCTATCCAAAACTTCCCTCTACAGGTGCTCGATAATGATCGTCCACCGATTCTATGAAGACGCGGCTCGAGTGCAACAAGATATTTAGGAGGATCAGCTGATGCGATGTCGGATGTTCGGTGAGAGAGGCATCTCGGTATGCTATGCGAGGCCCGCATGGAATTCCTCGAGTTATGGATTTGCGACCGGTGTCGACGTATGAGTCGACCTCTAATTTCCTGCGAGAAGCTGGGCAGGCAGGAGATCTCAAGAACGCGATTGCTGTTTTCGAGCAGACTGCGAATGAATTCCATCCGTGCAATCAATCTGAACAGCCTAGACTCCGGGGAGCCGGAATTTTTTTTCCGACAAAAAGCTTTCGAATCATTTCTCAGAGCTCTTTGTTGCCCCAGCGCAGCCTTGCTCGCTGATATTGAAATGAGCAGCTGAACGTCGATGACTTATGACCGTTTGAGCGACTGGGACCAAATTCGATTTGACTTCCCGGACTTACTGAATGTATTATGTATTCCATGTATTCGCTCGGACCGAACAGACAATAGCGGAGGTTTTCTCGCGAAAATCCGGATTTTCTTCGGGAGAGAAACAGCGACAGAAAATGCTCACACTGCTGCCTGGAGCAGCCGTAGCATACTAATCGTCGAGAATACCGCACCAGCCTCGCTTCTGAACACCTGTCTCTGGAAGGCTGTATGTTGCTGTTGGAATTTCGCTCCCACCAATCAAATATGTTTTCCACATTCCACTAGATTCTATCGAGCCAATATCTCATTTTTCGTGCAAGGAGCGCGAGGTGTACATCCTCCAGCGAGGATGGTCATCGGACTCGCTCGAATTTGCAGTAGAGAGGTTCCACCATCCGGAGGAGGCCCATGAACTGCCCGCGTCTCGGTGGATACTGGAAAGAGAACGACATGCAAGCTCACAGTGCAGGGTCGAACATCGTCACAATAGGCAACCATGATACAGCGAGGCGAGTGCAAGGCCTCGATGAATTTAACCATCTCACCTTCGGTGTCCGAGGTGTCTTCACCACTCTGTAGCTCCATAGAAGTTTTGCGAGGGCGATCTTGATCTCCATCTGAGCGAATCTTATTCCTACACAATTCCTGGGACCAGCACCGAATGGTTGCCAAGCCAACATGTCTATGTGCGCTCTATTCTCAGGCAGGAATCTGAAGTCAAGGTGATTCATATCTCTGTAGAGTCCGAATCGAGAAGTCCATAGTGAAGGGGGAAGACTTCGTCTCTCAAGGTTTCGAAAGGAGCGCGAAGTGAACATGTTCTCGAGATCTCTCTGTCCTCAGAGAGGAACCGGGAATCCCGGGAGCCCACCGTTCTGGTTTGAAGTCATTTGGATCCGCCCAGTACTGTGCACTCCAGTGCAATCCCGGTATGGAGACCAAACAGACCTGGCCTTTCGGTATTACTAAATTTTTATACTGGTGCTCCTCCGCGGCGACTCGAGTCAGAAATCTGCAACCATGGTCAACGGGGAGGATGATATACGCGATGTTTACCGATCTAAGGGATCTTTGTATGATGAATCCGCGATCAGACTCTCACTCATTGTCAGACGAACAAAAAATACATTTTTGTCCCCTCGCCAGTATCGTTCAGATATATCGCACGGAAAGGCGCGCCATACGGCATGTTCTAATAGACTCACGTGATGACCGGTGGGAACATTCGCAGGGTTTCCATGATGGCAGCTTCCATGTAGTGGAGCCTTTGCAGCTTTGTGAAATCCCCTAGCTCTTTCTCATCCTTTATATGAGTGAGTAGCTCTTCGCGCAATTTTTCTTGTATATTCGGGAACTCCATCATGATGCTCGCTAGGAAAGCCAAGGTTCCACTCGTAGTCTCGTACCTCGGATTCGAAAAAGACATAATTCGTGAATCGTGCAATCAAAAATCGTACTGAGGATTCTATGAATTCGCGCCTCATTCGGGCGTAAAGTACCCGGCTAGCATGACGATCCACGCGTTTTGGACAACCTCTTCGTCGGATAAGCCCCTCTCCTGCTGATTTTCCCTTTTGGATTTCCGGCTGGATTGCTTCTCTTCCTCGAAGGCGTCGGCTTGGTCGCCCGCAGTGAGCTCCTCGGCGGATACATTCCCGGCGCCCGAATGCGCATTGGCTTCCATCAATAATTGGAGCAGATCCTTCCTCCGCGTCTGAGATTCAGTATATTTCGGAGAGCGTTCAACTAGTTATCGTCCAAACGATGAATCAGAACTCTGCAACTCACGGTGGTATCGTTTCTACGGGCTTGAACAACTTTGCGAGTCTGTTCCGTCAGCAGAACGCGAGGGTTGGCGAAATGCTCCTTGCGGTTCAGCCACCGGAACTGCAGATTCTTGAGAAACACTGTCAGGCCAAATGTCGATGGCACTGCCACTGTAATTCGGAAATCATTGTTTTCTAAGGGTATGCGGAAATATACCGAGGATTTCTGGTACAGATTTCGCTCGTTCCAGGCTTGCAGGCAGAAATTCAACGCGCCTCTCTGACATACTTGTAAGAAGGAAGAGCGGGTCGAGTTTAATGTCGAAAAACGCTCTTGCTCGGGAAAGCATTGGGTGTCGGAGATTTTTCTGCAAGCCATAATTCGCGCCGAGAGCCGTGCGACTGATGACGTCCAATGTGAGAGCTTGAGCCAGCTCGTAAAACTCGACTTCCCTGTTGTCTCGACAACTCTTCTCGAGCGTAACGATGAATTCGTCGATTATTTCCGACATCGGCTCGTGAAGCTGGAGAGGAAAATTATCACGGTCACATCACTGTTCCTGAAGAGCCCACGACATGGGCGATCTCGCCGGGGCATCCGGGAAGCAGATTCTGGCGCGGGTTCTCGCGGAGGGAATGAAGTTTTGAGCTCGCTTCCTGCGTATTCACCGATTTCAGTTTAGTGCTCGTGAACGAAGGTGTTATGGATTGTCGCGAGGACTTCCATCGCTGGCCTGTCAGTGTGATTATGGAATTCAGGTTACCTGAATGCCCCCAGATTTCCTGAAATCAGAGCCAAAGAGGAATCAATTATTATTTGTCATCTCACTTTTGCATCGTGCCATGAACTTCTCTCATCCGTGTGCCGACGGGAGCAATCGGGGATTATAATTTTTCTCAGGCTAACCCACCAGGCGATCCATATAGTTCGTGAAGTCTTTCACTTCGATACTCCGGAGGAGCTCGGTGTCCGCGACGCATAGGACGGGTCTCCATCCAAAAAACACTCCTATGATCGGTCCGAATTCCTCGTGCCATTCTCGCAAAGCGTGCACATGCAGCTGGAAAATGGTCGAAGCGGGGCGCAGCGTTGAATTCCTTTTCTCAGTTCAAAATCTCCGGATCCTCGGTCTCCATGTATTAATAATAATCATTGTTCATCATCGCTACCTAGCCTGGAGCTACCTTAGTATAAATCGGCCACAGGTTTCCGAATATGAGATTCGGCTTGGGTCCGGGCACTCCTAGCTTGACGAAGTACTTGAAGTGTTCCCGCCGACGTCGGATCCATTCAAAGATCAAAGGCACGAGGATCAACAAGAGAATCGCGTACATGCCCGCGGCTGCTCACTGCGGATGGACGAATATTGTCTGCTCCGTTTTGGGACTCGCTCAAGCTTCCCTTAGCAATGCCATTTATCTTTACGAGTGTGTGGCGACCTAGACTTAGGAATCTAAAGCTGAGAACCAGTTATGGTTTACATCTTTTTATGACGCAAACTTTGTACCGTCCGATGGTGCCGCAGATGGACTCCCTCCGACGCCTCAGGATATCCACCTGAATCAGCTGCTTATTATTCAAGCGTGCGAATCATCTTCCCTCTTTGTTTTCCGTTCCGTATACTTCCCCGACACTCCGAATGATCTTTATTTCTCTTCGCAATGTTATCTTGCTCTTGTCGTCCGTCCCGGCGTGGGAGACGCTCCGAGGCAATTACGACATAAGTTCCCCTTCGTCATGCCAAGGGATATTCTTATCGCTCGAGTGGCCACCCTAATTTCTTCTCATCTCTCAGACAGCTTGCTCACTCTGCGGTCTTTTTTAATCTCATTGACTTGAGTGAATAGATGACTAGATGAACGCCTCCACACAAACGTGGGAAAATCAGTGATTCTTCTGCGTGAGCTTGACTGGAAGATTTCGTTTAATTGCGGCTAAGACTCCATTCTCGAAGGATCTTCAAAACGAGCATCAGGACCTGCGATATCGGGAGTGAGGAGCAGCTGTCTCGAAGGGCCACGGACGGAAAAACTCTGGGGATCATTCGTATTGAGAGACAATGTTCGGCCGAACACATGAAAAGGCTTCACGCGGAAAAGACGCGGCGGGGTCGGACGAACGTTACGAATTGACCGAACGATAGATGGATGCATAGACCGACAGACAGACAGGCGAGTGAGCAAGCGGAAGGTTCGTCTGAATGAATCGCTTGAGTTGCTCTTCCGTTGCTGGCCAGAGGCCCTGACTCTGATTCCCTAGCGATCACCACCCAAACACTCGAAGCGACCAATAGAATTCACGCTACGTTCATGATGGAAACACCTCGTTTATTGGAAACTTACTCGGCGCGTCCAAGACGAGCGCAACGAACTCCACACAACGTTTATAACTTCACACAAGAGTGCTCCTCACAGCCAAACAACGACGAGCACGACAGTACGACACGACATCGAACGCTTACGATATGGACTGCGGCCGTGACTATTTGGCGGGAGTGTATTGCTCACCGATTGGAGATTGTTTCCGTTTGCAGTGAAGTAATAATTTAACGGTAACGATTTTCCGGAATCAAGCCGAGAGCGGAATGTGCATCTCGTTTTGCCCACTAAATGCTAAGCTACATTAATTATTATCATTAAGAACACAAAATAAACATGAGAACCATTACTTCAGTCGAAGCTTCTGTACGATCCTCGGTAACGAGACTAGAAGCCTTTGAGACCCGAAACCCTTCGGAGTTCTTCGTATGAGAGCCAGAAAATGAACGACCAAGGCGCCATGCGGCCCCAGATAGGGAGGAACCCTTTGTACAATGCTCTGGGACCCTCTTTGGTGGCCGTCTGCACGAAACAGTCCATCGAGCCTTTGTAGAGAACTCCGCGTCCGAATTCATCCGTCGGCTGATTCATCACCCTGGTGCGTACGACGTCCGCCGGAGTCGCCAGAACGGCGGAAACAAGTCCAGAACAAGCGGAAGCCAGGGCGTGAGTCGAGTAACTCTCACCGAAATCGGTGTTGGTGATGATTTTGGTTTTCGCCCAGTCGTAGGTCGTAAGATCCCCGAGGTTCACCAGCGCTGCGCGACACACATTCGGCGCACCGCCTTTCCACATGGCTCGAACCCCGCCTTCTTTCACGGTCTCCCGGAGGGCCTGCATTGTGCTCGTTACTCTCGGGGGAAGTCCTTGAAGAATTCTCCGTCCGTCCATTTGCATCCGAACCTTCACGAGATCGACGGGACTGGCCATGAATTGACCGAGGGCTCCCGCAAAGACTCCTACCCCGATACTCTTCAACAGTTTGTTCGAATCCTGATCGACAAGGTACACGTCCCGAATGCTCTCATAGATGGTCATGCGGCTGCCCGTATAAATTATATGCCGGTACATGGTCGGTGGGAAACCCCGCCACAGCTGGAGCGGTCCTTCCTTGCGAACGATGTCTGAAAGAGGGCGTCGAATCGACCGACTTAGATTTTGAGTTCATATTCCCGCACAAGGATTAAGCTGAACACGCTTGTGCCCCCACCCCTCCTTTCGCGGAAGAATGTGGTATCATGATCGAAACCTTCATTTTCTCGGAAATGAGGAAACTCACCCATTGCCAAACCGAAGAACCCTCGAGGTTTCGCTGAGTCGCTGCCAGCTTGACGGGCCATGTCTTCGCCCTGAATCTGCATGCGCGTTTTCACGATGTCCAAGGGATACGTGCTCACTTCCGCCGTGGACGCGGCGAGCACGGATAGAGCGTACTTCGAATAGAATTCCGGCAGCTCGGGGATCGATGGGAGGTCGATCACTCCGATATCCACGGTCGCGGACGCCATTCTTCCAATGGAGCAGGGGTGCTTTTCTCGGGGAAAAGACACGGGTACGAATCACTCAAACTGAGTGACAACAAATCAGATGGATTCTGAAATTGTTTTCGAAACTCTTTAGACTCAGTCGAAACTGTCACTTATGCAAATTGCGCTCGCAATTTTCGCCGAGCTGAGCAGATCCGGGCTCGAGCATCTGCCTTCGAAGGAGAATTGGATTCGATCTCTGGGTCCTGCGAGAGGAGCATAGGGTTTCTCGATACTCAAGCTCTATGAATAACGAATTGAATGATAAATAAAATCCAAACAGTTAGCAGCGCTACGAGCTCGATGAGTATTCGGAATATGTTTGCCATCGACTGCGAAAACAACGGGTGCGGGCGAAACACGACGATCAATGCGACTGCGCGAAGTGATTGGAAGTATTTGAAGCTATTGTAGTGTTTACTATGAGTGTTTGAATCTGTTCTTCCTGCTGCCAACGATGTCAGACGGTAACGACGTCGTCGTCGTCATCGCCGACGGTACCGCTTCTGCAGTCGCCGCCGCTGTCGACATCGTGGTCGTGACCACACCGACCTTCCGCTATCAAGCACCTGGCAGCTCGCCGTCATTGGTACCCGGACTGCTGGAGTCGATTGAATTGGATGGCCATCAATTCCCGTAGGCGAGGCCAGCAATCGGATTCATTCGTATGTCACACTCGGCAGCGAGTGTCAGCCTAGTCGACCGCTCGAGGCCCGAGTCGAGGGCTTACTTCGCTAAGTGCTCGCTTGATCGATTGATTGCTAAATCGAGTCGACTGTTTGCGAGCACATATGAGGAGCTTAAATTTTGGAATGATGTCAGTAATGACTTTCGGAAGCTCAGACGAGTCTCCCACGGATCGCGTCTCCGGAATCGCGGGGTGCAACAGTCTCAGCGATCCCCACTCTTCCCCCATTGGTCAGTCGGAACCAACATTCTCCGAGCGGAGAGTTCAGCTTGGGCTCCGCGGCAGCTTTCTGAAGCAAATCGCCGAGGCATATTTCCATCCGATGCGAAATTCCGAGAAGCATACCGGAGAAAATATTTAGAAGCATCACAAGGTTAAAAGAGAGCCTGCTCGACTCATGATCCAAGCCGGAGTGATAATCGAGTCTTCGCTGAGACGTGTTCATGGAGCTGCTCCCGTAGGGACGATCGGCTGAGTCGGATGGACTGAGTCAGGGAAACCTACTAATGACTAATGAGAAATATTTCTCTCGCGGGGAAATAATGCCGCGCTCAACCCTTGATACGGGAAAACGGCGATGGTCGTTCAACCCGCATCGCGCGAGAACTCTGGACAGCGGTAGGTCGCATCAAGCGAAATGTGATGCGATGTCACGTCCGATGACTTGCCAGTCAGAGCTCGTACGTTCCGGCAAACACTGTCTTGAGCACAGCAGTCGGTAAACAGACACCGATTTCGTTCGGAGACTCCCCGCGGCAAGTCACTGTCGTCCGCGCCGCAGCTTCAGAATCCGACCGAAAATCTGGGGATTCCGAGCGCTCAAGAGCGTCTGTCAGACATATGAGGAGGCGGACCCGTACCTGGATGACCCAGGGAAAGATCAATATGGAAGAGTTTGATCGAATCAATCGAAGTACACGATTCGAGCGATGATCATGTAAATGATTCAAATCAGATGTCCTCAAGAGAGCTCTGGAAGAATCGCTGACACGCTATCGTCGTCTCCGTTGTGGTTCTCTGTCAATCCGAGGTAGACCCGTAGGCGAAAGAAGCTCATTGCTTTTGGAGCGAAACGTAATTTCGTCAACCCTCCTCCGAGAATTTCGTCACAATACCGCGGGCTGATGATCAGTTTTCCATTCAACTTGCGGCCGCACTTCTCCTAAAGCTGAAGTCTAATGTCATCCTTTCTGCTTTTCCAGATCACTCAATGCACCAACCGCGGAATAAGCGAGAGCGCCACTCGTAGAAAAATTGCTTCTTGTAAATAATAACTGAAGGACACCTAGAGCTCCTCCGGGCGGGCCAAATTTGCGGCTGAGAGGACATCTGCGTATATCAATTCTATCATGTACAGGAACGGCCATGAAATGCCAGCCGACCTGAGGTCGAGACTAGACTCAAACTTCCAGAATTTGGGCGGTAAGTTCACGGAATCGTCTAGGTGCGTCATGGAGAAGAACTCCTTGTGTCCGAAATTGTCGTCGGAATCCACGAGAATCCCACTGGCCTCGCAAATGAAGAGACGATGAGATCTTCCTAAAAATCCCCCTTAGCGCTAGCTTGTTCCCAAGAGACCTAATTCACGCCTTCCTCGTCTCCGAGTGGAATCATCCGTACCACGGTGCAGCTACAGTCCCATTGAGTACCAACCTGACAGATGAGCTCGCTTACCAACGAGACTGGAGCACAGCTCGAGCAAGACACCGAGACACTGAGGTAGACCCGCAATCGTTGAGCTCCGTGATCAGACAGAGAACGTCTTCTGGTGACATTAGTACGCATACGGCTTAAGTACACCTCCAGTGAGAAAGGTCGAAAAGCGTCAACGCGGTTCTCCGGGGGTTCAAGGAAGAGAGGAGGGGCGTTCCTCGATTCCGGAACACGGTCGAGGTCGAAGCCCGCCGCGAGGCTCTGGCTTTCAGAGAAATGCGAGTGTTTTCCGTTTTGAGCTCGACCGCATTGCTTTCGCGCGGGGGAGGTCATCATCATCGCCTTATGAGAGCGCGTCATGCGAGCACTTCAGCCGCCGTAATCCTCCTCCCCCGCCCCGCGCAGCCAGTAAGCTTTTGATCAATTTCGGAGAAATCGAGCTGTCAATCTGTCAGGTCGAGAAATCAATCGAAGCTCAATCACTCATTTTCTAAAAGCTCCCTTTCGGTGATCGGAAGAACGGCAGGAAGTTCCTCGGCGACATCGAGTATAGTTCTATCACCGAGCGTGTCAACGACCTCTGAAGAATTCATCAAAATGATGCATTTCCCCTACGAGCTTCTCCGAAGCAGACTCGTCAGAAATTTTTAAGCGATGGTACCTCAGGATATTTAGTTTTCTGAAAGTCTCTCTTTGAACACCCTTCGAGGAAGGTCCGAGCTCGGGGGATGTTTCCAGCCGTAGAGAGCCTGAATTCCCCGATCGGAATCGTATGCCAGACTTGCCTGGAACTCTATAATGTTTATTGTAATGGAGAAATTCATGCTTTTTTTGAGATGGATGAGTCCGAGATCTTGGAGCGAATGTCGTTCGAGGCAGCTCGTTCCCATCGATTCGCTGATTTGTTTTTGTGCGCACTTCACTCAGTTTGGCGGGACTCTGGTGTGGGAAACATCTCGTAGTCTGAATCAAGACTTTGTTGCCATGACTGTCGTCAAGAGTTTTGACAACACAGGCCGTCTCGCGGGGCTTTTTTCGAACGTTCCTCCCAATTCTGGGCTCAATCAGAGCGGAATTTCACGGATATTGAATCCGATTCCAGGCGGCGTCTCTCCTCCACCTGCCGATTTCGCGCGGTCCGAATACCAACGCTTCTACGAGAATCGTTCACAAGACGTCAGAAAACGTCTACTAAGCCAAAGCCCTCTCGGACGGCTCAGCCCATTCAGTATGACGTCATTCAACGACTTATCCCTGACAGGAGATAAGTTTTCCGTGAGACTCGACGTCGGCCACTATGGACCAGATGACATCGAGGTAAGAAACACTTTTGGGTTTCTGAAGATTCTCGAACGTGTCAGGTCTAGGATCATCTCATTGCGAATCGATGCCCTGAGCTCGCTTCATCGCTGATACATCCGTTAATGATGCTTTTATTCCCGTAGGTGAAAACCATTGACCAAAAAGTAGTGGTTCGGGGTAAACACGACGATAGATCGGACGAGATCGGCACAATATCCCGTCAGTTCACTCGGAAAATCCAGCTCCCAAAAGACATCCAACCGGAAAGCGTCAAATGCTCACTGACTTCTGACGGGTAAGGCTTGAATTTTCACGGAATCAGTCCCAGGAACGAACGTGGCCGATATGAACAACAGGAATGATCACAGCGCAAAACATTCTTTCCTGTGTAATCTGACGCGACCCGGAACCCTCTGACTGAGCCATTGTTTAGACGACGCACCCATTTTCTACATGCGTACACACAATCAGGACGATCGAGTCGGGGTCCGAAGCGTCCCCAAACACCATTAAGACCTCTAATGGGCCGGCGTGTGTTGGGGGCTCAATATTTGGTTTTCTCAGCATCACCTAAGTCGAGTATCAGAATGAAACCGGTCAGAGCTCTGCCGCGTTCAGCATTGCGTTCTCCAAACAAGTAACAAGCGAACAAGGGAGAATAGCTCCGACGGTGTCCTCCTGATTCACTCCGAAGTACCCACTCCGTGTGCTCGTGTCTCCGCTGGCCCCCTCTTGGTGCGGTGACTAATGCTGAGGCTGAAACAACCGCGGTCCTCCAACCCCCCGAGCGAACTCGGTCAGCGTCTGCTCAAAACATCGGTCGGGCAAACTCGGTCGAGCGAATCTTCTTGCTATCAGCTGCACAACACGCTCACAAAATTGTGTACTATCGGAATCTTCATGTAGTTCAAGCAAGGAATTTCCGCATACAAAAAGAGAGTTAGACGTGTCCGAGTTTCCGATCGCTCCGAATTAAGCGGAGGAGCGACGCCGATTTTTTCCACATGAAGAGATGATTTATTCACCCGAGCCTCTGACCAGTCACAGATCGCTATGTGTACGTCGTATATCAGGGTTGATCTTCCGATCTGGATCAGGAGGAGTTCGTAGACAAGCTCGTATGATTTATTCATCTTTATGTCGTATGTTGATGACTTGGAATTATTGTTCCAGGTACTTGGTGATTGACGCTCCTCGGAGACCGGAGAAGCCTCCGGCGAACGAACGAGTTGTTCCGATCCGGGTGCTGGATACACCGGTCAGCTCACCGCAGAAAAGCAGCAATGGTCACTCTAAGTCAAACGGTAATACAGTTAGATTCAAAGAGCCGCCCGCAGAGACGCGTGACATCTGAGCCTTCACGGTGTTCTGAGGACGTTCAGCCAGCCCTCGTGTCCGGCCACCAACCAGTCGACCAGTCCCCTGTCTCGCTGACTGATTGATTGACTGACTGATTGAGAGTGCCAGCCAGCCTGACTGCGGTGCAATCTTCCCCACCAGCAACCCAACACCGGAAGCGGTTGGTTTTTGTTGCTGCACACCTTATTTGTTCTAACCTGTCGCTCTCTGCTGACCTCTTTTCTCTCGGCTGCGACGATGACACCGAAAATTCTTTCGGCGCCGAATTGTCCATTATCTGATACCCTGCCAACTATCGTTTCCGAACGTGATCGGCTTCCTGAGCGCGCAATCCTGAAACTGGACTCGCGGGCGCACGATCAGACGCCGCAATCAGACGCTCGAGCGGGCGAGCGGTCGAGTGCACCGCCAGAGATGGATGGGCTCGCCCACCATTCTTGCTTGTCGTATGCCGAGGCAATCCAACTAATTCCGTAGGCTGGAGCTTTCCCTGTCGCTGGTGAAGGTGCTATTTTGTCTCACACTAACTGTCAGCACGGACATAAATGCGAGCGAGTCATAAAACACTAACGTTGAACTAATTTCCGCGAATAACACCGAGAATTTCCGACTTCTTGATAAAGATCAAATCTCTGACGGGAAGGAGCTTGACTGACTAGATAACTGAAGGCGCAGATGCACGGCGTTCTAAGTGAGGCTGAACTATTTCTCTCAATCCTGGACCAAAGAACGTCAGACAATCAGATGGGCGACGAATATCAAGAGGTCAAAAAGTTCGCTCCGACGCTCTCGTTTCCGCTCTTGGCGAGTGAACACCGGACAAGACAAACGACCCTGCCGAGCAAGAGGATGATGGCTTTTTTTCTCTGCTTCAGGATCTTCTTGTGCGACGAGTCCCTCGCGTGGGCCTAACTACGTGTCAACTGCCAGTAGTCCAATACCTCAGATGACTTCGTCGAATGTTTGCCAGCAGACAACCCATAATAACGGGACCACAACCACCACGGCGACGTTGCGGTCGTCTACGATGACAAAGGTGACTGGCGGAGCCTCAGATCTCTAAACCGGAACCCTGACACTTCTCGCTCGGAGGAAGGGAAAATAGACTACCAGTTCGCGGTTTACGGATCTGTAGGAGAAAAAGAAAAACTTAGTCAAACGAAATGATCTTCACGAAGGCAGCGATACGAAGCGGGGACGCGCGTAGACACTTTCCGCCAAAAACTATTTCAAATTGAGCACCTATTTACTATTCGTTCAGAGACAGCGATATCTATGAGGGAGGAACGAATCACAACCATTCGTCCTTACGACAGAAGTATAGGCTATGGGACGCTGAAGCGCAGGAATTCGATTGCCGCTTGACGAGGGGTATGTCGTCAGAACTCCTAAACGCTTAGAGCATATTAAAATCATCCATCCTTCCATAACGGGTACGTCAGCGTATCAAGATTACTCTTCATGAAGAACGTGCTGACCGTCCACTGAGCTGAAGGATTGGGAATGCATCGAAAAATTAGCACTTTGATATAATTTAAGAATAAAATGAAATAGCTCTCATTCGCAGTCTTGTACTTCGCTCATGACTAGCTGGATCCCTCGCGATTGCATGCGGATGTTGATTGCTCAGCTTCTCCGTCGTTATCTTGTGTTTAGACAAAGAGAATATTCATTCACGAGTTCGGGATATCAGGTGACGGATTCTCGCGAATGCCCACATAATGCAGCGCTCGTGAGTCTCGCTACGCGGGCAATGAGAATGCACGCTGTAAGCTCCTTAATCAGATCAACGTCCTTCAGGAGATTGTCGAAGTCCGGAGAGGGCTTCTGTTTCTAGGAATCCATGATAAGGCGACCGGAATTCGAGAACAACAGGCTAACGGAGTGGAAGCGCTCGATGTCGAAAGAGATACATACTCTGTCAGCAGAGCTGCCATACCCGAAGTATTGCACAAAATAATACGGGTAAGCGATTGACCATTTCCGATTGCCAGTCACCTGAATGAAGAAACTTGGGACTGATTGTTTGCGTCGCGAAACAGCGCAAGAAACCCGTGCACTCACTTTGCGTGGGTGGATAGATTCCTCAGGACGGTGTATGTGAACTCAAAAGAGCTCTCTTACGCTACCCCCGTGTTTAAGGTCCGATCAGGTCTCACGATGTCTCTGAAGTACACAGGCGAGCTCTCAGATCCCTCTTCGAGGTCTGCCCTAGTTCCCATGAAATCAGGCCGAATATCCCCTAGTGTCTGCATCAAACCATAGCAAAATCAGAAGACACGGTCCACTGAGGGATATTGATCTCATTATTTATTCATTGTCTGCTGAATATTCTGATACGTTGGGAGAGCGACGCCTCCTTTGAAACAACGGAACTGTCACACAGGTCCAGATATTCAGCCGAGACTCGTTCGAACAAAAGAACGTCTACATTGCATGTTTCTCCTCGGGTCGAGACGGGAGAATCAGCAGATAGGTAGGAGGACTGCGTCTGATCCGGGCGCTTCTCTCACCTGATGTTCCAGGCTATGATGCTCACGTACACATGTCGCAAGGTTGTTCCGTCGTATAGTTGTGATCCGGATCATCTTAGAAAATACCACATGCATATATCAAGGGGGAGATCGCTTTGTGATCGTCATCCCTCAGCTTAGCCGACGCCGACGCATCGCTTTTGGCCCGTTGCAAGATTAGTTCCCTTAACAGCCGGAGAGTTATGGTTCGGTGGAACTGCTGGATCGGCAAAAGATCGTGTAGCCAATGCCCGAGTTTTTCGTTGACGTTGTCGAAGGGGAAATTCGCGAGCTCCCTGGTAGCATAGAGGTCTGCGGGGTTTCGAATCGTCGGTCTAGAATTCGGGGCGAAGTATTCTCTGTTTGAGAACGATGGGAAGGCAGCCCCTGACGAGAGAAAAAATCGATTGACGCGATCAGTTTCGTGTGTTCCGTCGCTGCTCCTTGTACACGTGTCGCCCAAGGAACAGTCGATTCGCAGCCTGAATACTTGAGGAGCATACGAGAAAAATATTTTCCGCAGCTCCGTGAACTTCCTCCAATGGTGTCGGGCGAAACTCGCCGCCAGATACTTCGTGCTTTTTCCCCTTGAATAATATTGAGTCGAGCCGCCGGTGGTATCCAAGGGTGCCATCCCGGACGGAGGTTTCATGTGTGGATCGAGAGAATGTTCGCAACTCATGCGAACGCGGCGCGACGCTTACTCGCAGCGTTTAGGAGCAGGCCAGATTCGATTTTCGTGTAGGTCTTGCGAGGAAGATTCTTGTGTTGAGCCCCACGATTCGCGAGAGGATAAGGGACCACCGGTTCTTCCCATATGCGAAAGGAGAACGGAGATTCGGATCTGAGATTTCGTCACTTTGTTATAATGGAGTTCCGCCACCGCAGGTCACCCCAAAACCCACAGCCCCTCCTCGGAGGAGTGTTTTGAATATCCGTCGTCACGCTCTCAGCAATCTTCTCCTCTTGAAAGTTTTCTTCTCGCGAGAGAGCCTCGTTCATACAAGGAGCTGCATCGCGATCCTGACGCAATTGATCATCCCCTTGAATTCAGTGGCGCGCTCTCGGCGTCGAATAATCATGTTTTGCCGAGCTTGCTTCATATCCTTGATGCCCGACCCTAGCCGCGTTCTCGAAGCGAGAATTCCGCGCTGGTTGCGCGAGTCAGGCAAACCGAACTTCGGGCGCTAGGTCGGAGTTTGACGGTTCCACTTGCAGAAAACAGCGTGTACGTCTCGAAGCTGCCCGAGGCTGTTTGCTTTTATCATAGCAAAGGTCCAGCAAGTTCATTTTCTCGACACTCATCTGATCTCACTTGTACCAGAGCCGTCCGCACAGTCTCGTGAAATGCAAGCATCAAGTCTTAGGTGAACGCAGGCCGATCGGCTATCGCTGACTCGGCGCTCCTCAGGCGAGAAATACCTTATTTCATCCGTGAACATCATCTCTTGACCGCATATCACCGAGAGCGACCACTTGAAGGGGAGGGAACTCGATTTGAAAAAGTCGAGTAACTCTGGTGCTCGCAGTTGTTGCCAAGGTCGGCCTATCGAGACCAATTTCTCGGCCCATCCCACAGAGCGAGAAATCGTTCTCTTGATGAGCAGTCGCGGACGAGGACTGCAAGAGTTCTTTCTCGGTGGATCCGGGGCATCTGGACGGATGGCTCGCTTTCTCTCGCTCGAAGACCTTTATCGTTGAGCCTTGGAGGAATCGGATGAGACATTGATCCATTGCTTGGGGGCGGGTTCCGCGGCTGAGGTCGTCACTGTGGTTCCAGCAGGCGGGACAGAATTCAGTAGAAGAGCTCCAATTGGTGAATACTGGAGGTTGAATATCGACGGTCCCGGGATAAAGTTCCCTCGAAGTCTCCATTTCGCTTTGGGCCTAGCATTGTTAGCAAGGGTCCGTGCCGATTCTCACTCCGGGTCCATGGAACAGAATCCACTATCCTTGAGGACGTTCAGTGTGTTGTCCAAAGTAGAAACGACTGCAAGAGCTAGGAAAATTCGGACTCGGTTGTCATCTGCTCCGGAGACCCTGCTAGGAGATTCTTCCTCTCAAGAAAAAACTCAAACGGCTCCGAACGAGAGAAACATTAGGTTTTCCCGTGCCCGGGCCGCCGCGGCGGTAGAATACAGATGCAACGCTTTTCACCGCGACTGGCGAGCTTTTCCAGAACTAAATGTTCCCTGTATAGATTATTCTGCTCCGAGTCGACCTTGACCCCCATCCATCTGATCTTCTCAGGAGACAGGACGACTTGCCTTTCTAGGTTCCCTCAGGTTCAGTCCACGGACCCGCTACTCTAACGAAGGGATCAGCCGGGAGATTGGATTCCGACGATTTTCTCGAGCGTCTCCATGGAGGAAAATCGGATAAGCTGCAAAGGTGGTCGTAGCAACGGGAGGTATGATTGCGCTAATTATTGTCGTCGGAGCCGTCCGTCCGCGGCAGCATGTCAAAGGCTCGGTCCCACGGAGGACAGCGGCGCGAGGATTCGAACGTGTCGATGGCGTTGGTGGCGCTGCGGCTGCATTAGGACCTTCTCCGGAGCGAAAGGAGGCGACCGCGGCGGCGGCCTGGGCCCTCCACTCAGTCTGCGATAACTCTCCAAAGGAACAGGAGCAAACAGCACAGTTTGACGCTGCTCCAACGTAAACTTCGGCTGCTGCTAGTATATGTGATCAGTGATCTGAGGTGAGCGCACTGGACTCCATCCAACGAAGCTTCCGCCGGTCATAAGACCAGCGGGATCGGAGGCCCGATTTCGACTCGGTGGACTCGATTGGAAGTGCGAGGGCACCGTTGCCACGATCTACGAATTCGTTTACCCAAATTGTTCTTCGGGCAACTTGACGGAACTCCGCTCAGTGAAAGAGTTACAGTTCCCGAGTACGATTCACTGACTGTGCCGAACCATAACTCTCGGAGCTCGTCGACGACCCGCGGCACGGTTTCCGCCTTCAACCAGCGGGACCGAATTCGGTCAGTGCTTTGATTGTCTAGTGGGTCAGTGCAGTGAGCTTGTCGAGGAACGGAATCCATGTAGTTCTCGTGTGTTTCGGAAGACGACACGGGGAGCTGCAGCACGCGAACTCTCAAATTTAGAACATTGCGCTCTGCGCATTGCGGAGCGAAACGACGGAGCTGACAGTGACGGTAACCGGGGAGGTGTATTCTATTTGTCCGGTCGTCAATTTAGGCAATTCGGTATCGCTCACTAATCGAATACTTCCGAATCTTTTCCTTCCGCTTGTCTTACGAGGAAAACGGTCGGCTCGTTCGGCGGGGACCAGGTTGCCTAGCTTCTGCCTAAAACCAAACTCGATTTCACCGATCGCAAAACGTTGGGAAAGAGCGAAAAACTTCATCAGATGAAGTTTCTCGAGTCTACCAATTATTAGAACGAGTTCTTGGAAGTGAACCCCCTCATACAGACGCGAGGTCTGTTGTCCGTCAGCGTAGGGGCTCGGTATATAACTCTGCTGACTATTTTGATTGATGATGACCATGAGCCTTATTTCTATGGGTGTCCTCCTCGTCATCGAATCAGAGCAACACGATAAGGAAGCTGCTCGCGGGTGTCTTGCGTGCGACGTACAGCGCTTTTCTCTGCGTATGTACCGACACAGAGTTTCCAAACAAACGAGTGTGCGAGCGTAGACACGACTCGTCTCTTCGCTGAGTAGCAATCTGTGTTGTCGCGCCAAGTGCCCTCACAGAAGCCAAATCCCGATCCTATTGAATCTTTCGCGTTCATTCGCGCGGCCCAGTGTTCTGTGTATAGATGGCGATTGCGATGATAAAAATTGCAAGGAATCGGGCTGGATGAAGAGAAAAAACAAGAGAAATCGCGCTGTTCGCTTGCGCGGCGGATGAATGTCAAGGGAACAACGAATGTCGTTTGCTTGCGTTCAAGAACACTGCGAGCATCGCCCCGATGAGTCGAATCGCTTCTCTACATCCTTCGTCGATGGATTCGTCTCGATAACGAATTGAAGTGTGTGCTCGTCGCGAGATCAAACAATTTTTCCGAAGCTGGTCGAATCTTCCGTAGTCACTGTTTCGCCAACCGGCTCCGTGCTTGTCTTCGTCGCAGTCGCCTCGATTGGATTGAAGAACGGCCGCGACAAATATCCTTCGGGGGTCACTTGATTAACGATCGCGAGCGTCTTCCGACCGCAAATAGTCTTCGAATCATACATGTTCCCGATACGTTCTAAGGAAAACATCCGTAAAGCCTGAGAATGTTCTCAAGTAATGAGACGACAGGGATTTTCCACTCGAAAACTTCTACAGACTGCAATTCGCAGATTTGTCGGACGCCGTGCGTGACAGGACCGTTTTCGTCAGTCCGAGAAACATTTTATTCAAAGCAAGCCTCGGCCCGGAAGAATGATCTACCGCACCTCTACCTGTCATTGACTGTCAACGACAGAAATTATGGAGATTGTCTGATTGCAGCGATCTATGTACAACAAGAATCGCTACGGAGGTGCTCGAACAGACGGGGCCTGTATCGGAAGTCGACTGCGCTTGGATGTGGAAACTTGAGATATTCGGAGCCGAGGATATCGGTGCTTCGAAGGCGCCTCAGGCTTATTCCGTTTGGCGACGTTTCCTAACCCCACAATCGAGAATGATCACTTGCCGCGAAATTTTCCAACGAAGAGCGACGTTCCGTTCGCCCACACTTGAACGAAGAAAAATTGAGAGAATCCGTGAAGGGCGTTCGAATTCCGATGGAAGGCTAAGAAAAATGGTAATTTTTGCCCACTTCCCCGAAAGTCCTGGGGAGGGGGGCGATGGCTGACTCAGGTGTCGGCTTCCGAGGCGCCGACGCCTGGTGCCGTGTCGTATTTCTCCGGCTCATGAGGCCAGAGTTCACGTCTCCGGCATGGAGAGTCGGAATGCTTTCGATTCGCAAGAACTCCCATGGAAGTGCCCCGTGTGTCCTGTTCAATCCGGGGGAGAAGGGCAGCGAAGCAATGGGAATCACAGTCCGAACGGCCGTCAGTCTTCGGCTGACATAGCTCACTCTATCGTGTCGAGCATCGGATATTCCGGGGCATCAGCCAAGAGAGAGCCGACTCGGAGCGAATCTTCGAATCTCCGATCCCCCTCATTCGAATTCCTGATCAGTGACATCTTGGAAACCTTCCTTATCGCGAGTTCCACGCTGTATCGATTTTATCCAAGACGATCGCCCCAAGATTCCGGCTCCGCACCTCGCTCGGGGTCGATTTGGGAGCGTTTCAATGAGTTCTGCGGGAAACCGTCACTTTCTTATCGATCGCAATATTCGCTCCCCTCTTGTCCGCGTTGGTAAACATCCGAAGCTGATGATTGCGTTTCTGGTGGCGACCACTCACCTCGCAAAAGAGGTTCCTCCGAGATCTAGCAGATGAATTTGACGGCTCCTCAGCATGAGCATTCCGATCCGATTGTGGTTTCACCTTCGCTTCTCTGAACACTGACCATAATTTCCCCGGAGAACACGCACGACAAGCAACAAGTAAAGCTCGCTAATTAGGAGATCATTTTCTATATCAGCAAGCTCGATGTGTACATGCTGTCACGTAATCAGTTGATCAGGCGAGCCGAGATGGGGCCAGACTGGAGAGGTGCGATTCAGCAAAGTTTGTCTAACAATAGAAAACGTCGGCCACAGCACACGTAGGAGATTGAGGGACGCAACGTCTCGCGGATATTATTTCTTGGCTCGCCGTCAATCATTCCCCGACGTTAAACAAAGTAGACACTTGGAAAATATATATGTATGTACATACGTCAGAGCAGCACAACGATCGAGCCAGCGGTCGGCACTAAGACGGCTGGTGGATGGACGGCTCCAATTCCCTTTCTTTTGGCCAGCGCGGCGATCTCCGATATCCGATGAAAAGAGATCACGAACGGAGCGTGACGGCTCCGTCGCTATTGCTCTCCTTTATGAAGCTCCATATGTGAGGAGCGATGACTTGTATGAGAGGCATCGCATTGTCTCAGATGGGCTTTCAGGCACTCGGATGCTCTCGGATCCCTGTTGAGACTGCTGACATGTCCCCATTCAAGAATACGGCGATCCCCTGCGTTCATCGCATGAGCTCCGAATCAGAATTGCCGATTAATCGCGTGGGACGGAAATACGCCGAACCTGATGAGTCCGGCCAGATGATACACAATACACATGCTAGCGTATCCTTACTGTTCAGCGTGGGGGTTTGAGTCGGACGATCCAACTGATAGCCTGATAGGGTAATCCTTCATCAGCAACCGGCATGTAGATCATGGGACGCGAGGTGGCCCCAGACGAGACTTCCGCGCTTCGTGTCCACGACCCACATGGAGCCGTGCTCGCCATGAGGGTCTTGTGGTATCTCTTCGGGATAAAAACGGGTCTTCCATCCTTTCAGGACCAGATGAGTGCCAAGGCTCCGCCAGCACCGAGCTGAGTTGCTGCCCAGGCAGTAATGGACATCGTCGGAAAATATTTCTGTCCTCGCCTTGTCGACTACTTGGTCGTGGTGGGCGCGAGTTCGAACCATCATAAAAAGGTCAGCCATCCAGAGAGAGAACAAGTAATCACTCTTCACAGCTCGTTCTGTGGGAGCGTTCCAAAGTTGATAATTCCCATGGCTGCACGCTTTTGCCCTCAGCCCCACGGATTTCAGTGGGTCTATTCAAATAGCTTCTCGAGCCAAGCGCTTCCGGTGGGCTTTTACGAGCAGCTCGATTTAGAATGGGGCGTCGCGGAGGGTGTGCGCAGCCTCATTGGAAGTTCACTCGGAGTCTCCACTTTCAGGTGCAGCTGCCAAAACTGCTCCGCCGCTATCCCATAAGCGACCACGCCGACTTCGCCCTTCCTCACGACGTGAGCTACTTCTGCCAACCGGAAGGATGTCAAGTGCGCGGGCCGAAACAGCTCGGTCTACGCGAAGTGGAACCGTTTGTGTTCTCATTGACCGAGAAGGACTCGAGCCGCGTCCGTTATGGAGTTTGCCTGAACTTTCAACGCAAGTTGCAAGTGTCGGCAGGAGCGCGAACTTTATTCAGCCTGACGTCATTTTGCGTCATTTCTCACCATCCGTTTTTTTCGACGTTTCGTGAGTGTTTGCTCGAGCTGAAACGCATCTTGGACACCATCAACGATGCAGGGATCAAGTGCACGTGTCAGCAGCCCTGTCAAAAGTGAGTCCCTCGGCAGTCCCGGAAGACGATATTGCCTTCGTCCGAATCACGTTCTTCACCGTCAGAGCAGCCGGCCCTCGCTGTCAGATCCTGCCCTCTTCTGCTCTCCTCCTCAATCCTGTTGCCACAGCGCTCCAGAGCGCCTCCGATTCGAGAATCCAAGTTCCGGAGGAAGTCGCTCACGATGCTGACGTCGATCAATCTTCCTATTGCAGGGACTCGTTGTGGCAAACCTTCGTTTCGCCGCATGCCGCAATCTCATCATTGTGTCCCGCGTTATTGGAAATCGTACAAGAGATTGAGAAATGGATCCTCCGTCTCTTATCGCTGCCTGTGCCGGTACCCGAGAAAACAAAGGTCGAGGTAGGTCAGCGGCAGACACGAGTCGAGCGGATTCCGACCGGATATTTTTCCTGAGCCGGGAGCCGACATGGGTGCCTGACCCACTCGGATCCGACGTACAGGGCGAATTCGGGGGCATTTGGGCTGGGGCTATTTATTAATCAGGCTCTGAGTGCTGATAGTGAACGATTCGTGAAGTCGTACGATTCCTGACTCGTATCCGAAACCTCAAGAAAATTGGCTTCCATCTATTCCAGGTGGAATTACTGTCGATGTGCCAGAAAGAGCAACCCATTGTTTTCGCTTTGCCCGACCACAAACGATTTTCGTTGCTCGACTTCCCTGTGCACTTACCACTGGAACTACTAGGCATCGACAACTGTGTTGAAGTGCTCAAATGCATTCTACTCGAGAACAAGGTGAGCTGAGTTGAGTGGCTACCGCAATCACGACGTCAGCAGAGAATTGTTCCGACTTTCGCGCAGAGCGAGTCTCGGTCCATGCGGCGCAGCGGTTCGGGGGGGCGGGACAAGGGCTCGTAAGGAAGTTCGTATCCGACCTACCGCTGGCTTCCCGGTACGCTCGAGATACGAATGATTTTTTCCCGAGGCATGTCAGTACACTCAGCCCATCCCTTTCCACCGACAGGTTGTCCTTCAGTCCCGTGACTACAACGCCTTGTCAATTTCTATTATGTCGCTGGTTGCGTTACTATATCCCTTGGAATATATGTTCCCTGTGATTCCGTTGTTACCCACTATCATAGACGAGGCCGAACAGCTTCTTTTGGCGCCGACGCCGTACATAATCGGTGAGCGAGATTTCTGTCACCTACATATAAGTCGGCAATGGATCGAGTGATACAACGGCGAAGCATAGCGAGTTAGCTCACGAGCATTTCTACCGATGCAGGCGTCCCCGCTTCATTTTTTGTTACAAAATCGAAAAAACTAATGTTGCCGAACGATGTGTGGCTCGTTAACCTGGACACCTGCACAATCACTCGGCCGCCCGGATGCGAGCCCATGCCACCTCTGCCTCATCCCGAGGGCGCTCTACTCAGCCACTATTTCTCACAGGTCGGTCTGAACGAATCGAATACGAATTAACAAGTGTCGAGACGTCGAACGATCGATTCTGGAGGTCGACTTTCTTCACGAGACATTCATCCCGCAGCTCCTCGAGTCGATGAAAGGACGGAACTCGGCTTCACTAGTCCTGGACGCCGACACGGTTGACGTCGCAATCCGTGTATCGCTGGTGAAGTTTTTCAACTCATCTGGAGTGTTGCAGAATGTTCTGGAGCACACGCGCACCCTGCGTCTATATCCCCGGCCCGTGGTGGCATTTCAAGTGAACAGTTTTCTCATGTCTCGCGCCGAAAAGAACGGCGAGCCGCCACCGTTCCTCCGGAAGCTGGTGCGAACTCAAGCAGTCGAATACTTCATCGAGTGGGCCCTCAAGCCCTCAAACGTGGCTTTCGAGAGAATTAATACAGGTGGGTGCTTCTCGCGTCTTTCACGGCTCCCCGAGCTCCCCGGTTCCGCTCCCAGAACCCCGGACCCAATACTGGATGTCCCGACTGAATCTCGTTGCAGGCATCTCGGACGCCATGACGATCGGTGACAAGCCAAAGTGGTACAGTGACGAATTGGAATCCGTCCGCGTCGCCGTTTGGAGTGAAAAACTCGAGGAAATTCTCAAAGATGTTCGAGATCGGAGTCGCAAACAAGACGCCGAGAGCGGCTGCGAGAGCGAACGATCTCTGTCCGAGGAAGAGGACGAAGACACCGAGCAGCAGCCCATGTTTGTCCGCACAGGTGGGATTCTGCGGGAAGGCAACTTCCCCATTCCCGGCTCCCCGCTCGCGATGAACTCGGCCCGAGATACTACCTAGCTAAGAACAGAAGTCTAACTTATTCGGGGGTGTAGAGGCCGCGAACGCGCTTCCGCTGTTGACGGCGGAGCTCCAGGAACGCATTCAGGCTCCCTCGAATTATTCGCGTTTTCGCTCCGCAGATTCGATGGCCGAGAAACAGATAGAGGAACGACAACACCCCACAGGGGACTTCCCGGCACTTTTTGATCATTTGCTCGTCTACCAGCCGCCAACCCAGTTGGTTATTCCGGGCACTCCATCATCACAGCACACCGCGCGAGAGAGGAGAGACTCGTTTAGCGACAGCTCACTTTCCGACGAAGCGCTCGCCAGTAACAAAAAAGATGATGATAAGGGCGGTCAGAGCAGCAGCTACGATGAGGATTCGGACGATGGCGTCAGGAGTGGTGAGCGAATTTCAGGTTGACGTAATTTCACCGCAGTCTCGTTTCCCCTAGTGGCTGAAAAGCCCGGCGTGGGAATTTTTTGCTCTGAATGCGGGACTTCCGACCCGGTTGATTAACGAGCGCGGATTCCAGACGAGGGGGAAGATGACGAATTCGCACAGGAAGTGGAACACATTGCAAAGAAGCTCAGCGGCGTTCTCCACCGCGCGGGCTCACTCGGTCAGAACGCCCAAGGCAAGCCACTCATGGAGAAAATGATCAAAGCTAAAGAAGGCCTCGGGAAAGTAAGTTCGCCTCGCCAACAATTTGCGCAGTGCTGATTGCGAGCCGCCGAGTCTCTGTGTTGCGCAAAGTCGTATCTTGTATCTGACCGAGTGTCCGGAATCCTTTCAGGCCGGCAGAGTCGCGGAAGAGCTGAGCAAGACAGCCGCTAGCGCAAGCAAGAAAAAGTTCAAACAGGCCCTCAGTGGAGAACGCATGGCTGAGGCCAAGGAAATGCTGAATGAGAGCGGTCTCGATAGAGTGGCCGACCAAACGAAAGAAATTGCCGATCAGACCAAACACGCTATCTCTGGATTCATCAGTGAGTTGCACAATCGAGCGCATTGACTTGGAAGCGCCTCGGTCCTTAAGTGCGACTGCTTCAGTTCGCATTCAGCGGAACAAGTCTCCCATTGGACACTAGCTAGCATGCGCAATCAATTGCAGGCAAAACTAAAGAGAAGTCGGAACCGTTAGCTCCGTTAGCAAAGGCACAACTTAGCAAGCTGTCACATCAAGCCGACAGGAAATTCAGCGGAGGGTCACATGGGGGACGGAACTCACTCGAGCCGAGGTGAGTGGATGATCCCGAGCTTACCAACCAGAAGACGGAATCTCGCCGAAGACGTCTGGTCTCCCAGAAAATAACGTGGGACCGGGATGGTCGTTCATTCTCTTTCAGTGAACTTCAACGCTTTCTACTCGAAGTCGTGATGGGAGTCGCAGATGGCAGAGGCGTGAATTTCTTCCAACAGAATCGAGTCAAACAACTGATGTGGGATGAAGGACACCGGAACTTTGTGCTTTCCAAGCTGAACAAGGCTTTTGAGCACAAGGTTGGCCCCGAGGACAACATTGAAGACGTCCGCATCACTAAGGACGTCTTCAAAGGCACCGTGAAGATGCTGCAATACATCATAGCCGGCCTAGAACACGATTATCAGAAGTGCGGGACTGGCGGCATCGCAAGTGCTATGCAGGTAACTCGCGGCTCGGTCTGTTATGCTTCATTGATGGAGCGGGGAAAAGCAATCTCAGCCCTCACTCGAACGATTGGACCGTGCGCACGTTCCATGCGGGACTCGACGCCGAATAAGTCGGGTTCTGTCGATCGCAGGTACTTGAGATCGCCCATACCCATTACTACGACACCATAGGCAACAGGAGCAGTAGGAGTAGCTTGAGCAACAACCTGCTGGGATCGGCAAGCAATCAGAGTATTTCGCAGATGAGCACGCATTCCGCGATATCCACGGAAACCGTATATCCAGCTGCAGCAGGTCGGTAATCGGATTGTGAAATTCACGTGGATCGAAGGCACTCGCACGAGATGCGATAGCGATCGGCATTTCAGTCGGAAGGCTCCGGAAACGTTTGTTTATCGACCGGGAAATCGCTCGCAATTTCAGGCCAAGAGCGGGCGAATAGCAATCGTCCCTCCATAGATCTCGGAATGGGGAAGAGCTTGTTCGCTCGGGGCGGGGTTTTCTCCAAGGTGGACGCCATCAGCGATTCTTCAACGTCGGATATGTTCAAGACAGGACTCTCCAGCATGAAGAAAATGATGAACAAGATAGCCAACAACGCCAATAATCAAGTAGGCTATCGGTTCAATATCTCTATATTTTGGAATGCACGACGTCATTATCCCGGAACGGGAGATTTTCCCACCTCATGTGAATTTTTCCATTCATATTTATTCGTTGTGGAATCTCTTTCCAGTCCGACCTTTCGGACACGGGATCCATATCTACGAACCCGCTGTTCTTACAACGGAAGGAGAGGAAAGGTTCTGCGGCGCGATCCGCGATCTCAGACAGCGACGCTGACCTGGTTCGTAGAGTCGCCGTCTCTCGTTTCTTTCCAGACGTGGGAATTTCCCAAGAAGTGCGTCAAGGCACCCTCAGATGACGAAGGCAATAATCCTCATCATTACCAGGTGTCACTCGGCGGCAATCGCAAGGAGTCGTTTTGGTGTGCCGGGAAGCCAGGTCAAGCGGGCAAAGTTCTCCATCGTATGTCGAGCGTCGAACCCCCAGAACGAATTTACGTCTTCCAAGAGTTGATCAAGGACAAGAGTACATTGTGGGACAACATGGAGTTCTGGGAAGATGTGTTCTACGACGCTGTAACTCAGGAACGCGATCTCATAGGCATGGACCAGAAGCCTGGCGAAATGATGGAAAGGTGAGCAGAACTTCTACATGCCTCGACCATTTAGCACCCAGCATTCAGCTCTCCGGAACGTGCCCTGCGGCTTGAGCATCGGACAGAACGCCGAGTTTTCTACAAGAACATTTTATTGTCCCACAGATACACTGGCCTGAATAATTCAGACCAGAAAAGACTACAAGAGGATGAGGATAGGCTTCTTGCGGTTATTCTACAAAACCTAATTGCTTTCATGGTTATGATGAACGTTAGTAAGGATCGTTTGCGACAAAAGGTCAGTGATTCGAGTCGATAAATTGGAAATTTATCAATGACTAGTCATATCATTTTCGTATGGACGCTCTCGATTGTTAGAGACGCTCTCGAATAATCGGGGACTGCCGATGCGGAAGCTGAGTCGTGTTTCTGTCCGCAGGTCCGTCGTTTGTTGGGTAAGTGTCACATATCGTTAGCGTACAGCGCAGAAGTGAACGATGTTCTTGACCAACTGGATCATCTGGAGGGGAATTCGCTCAGTCTGAAGCCCTTAGCGAGTCAGCAAGTGTTGCGTCAAACCTTCACGGTGCGCTTAGGGAATGATTCAGCAGAGTGTACGCGCTTCATGGAGGTTGGTACAGGAGCAGAATCGGTGCCGCTGTTTCAGATTCGTAACAACGCATTCCGAAGGATATTTCCGATGACCCGACTTCCTCCTGACTGATAAGAATCGCTCCTCGCAGGTTCGGGAAGATGGCTTGATCGTCCGCGCCGCCAATGGCAGTATCGTCGAGAGGTACTTCTTCGAGAGGATCGTCAACATTACCTATTGCCCCACAAATAACGTTTTGTGCCTCTGGCGGCAGTCGGGGGCAGAAATGCAACTCCACAAATACTACACGTCCAAGTGCAAGAAATTGTATTACTGTATCAAAAGTGCCATGGACAATGCCATCAGCCGCGACGGATTGAGGAAGCCCCTCCCCGACCTCGGAGGAGAGTTCCCCATCGAAGACATGCAGACTGGAGAGGGTGGCATACTCCAGGTCTACGTTGACGGAGTGGGACTACTCTTCGAAAATAGCAAAGTAAGTTCAGAGATCTGTCGCCCGATCGTTCGAATAGCCTCGAACACCATTCGGACCATCCCTGGTTGAGATAGAGTACGATTGTTTGCTTCTGGCTGTGTCAAAGAGCAGCGCTGATCCTGCCCCGTATCAGCCTCCAGGCTCATGTCAGCTTCCACCCCTAGAATATTCATTATCTCAAGCTTAAAATAATTCCAGTTCTTCGTGCGGGTCGAGAACATTTACAAATGCTACCACACAGATGAAGGCGTCTTCGTTCTCGAGGAATACAGTGAGTTCTCGCACCGATCTATCATGTGCCAGCCTTCGCCGACGATCTCGTTTTCGTTCAAAGCGAGCAAGCCGCCAGCTGATGCGATTTCTTCCGCTTTCAGATCCCAACACGAAGAAAATCTCTGAGCGCAAGTACCGATCCAAGATGGCGTACAACATCTTCTACGCTGTACTCTGTGTTTTCTCGTACCTGGCGGCTGGGCCGGCAATGACGCCCTCGCCTAAAGCCACTTCCCCAGCTAGGGAAATAGCCCCCGGCAACAGCGGTAGCAGTAGTGACGGGAACAACTTAGCCACAAAGAAACAGACGAAGCTCCAAGCACCTCCTCCGATTCCTCCGGCTCCGAATCCGGCACTTCTTGTAATTAGCCACGAAGATCAAGTTGAGCGTCTTTGAGCCGAAGTCACCGAACCAGATTGCGAGCCGTGAGCTGCGAGCTGCACACCTACACGATGTGTTAACTGAAGGCGCATGGAACCGTAATCGAAGCGATATCCACGAGAAGCGATCCTCGAGTTCTGGATATTGGGCTTATTGTCAGGGCTTGAACTTCCGCTCCCTGGCCCGGTGAGAGGATTTCTGCGATCACTTCGACTGCTCTGTCCCGGAGTTCGTCAGTAGTTAGGATGTTTGCGGAGGCTCAAGCTAATTATACCCGAAGAACATCGAGCACAGCACACAAGACATTTCCCGATGTATTCCAACGTTACAAATAAGGAGCTTGCTGTAGTGAGTTCGCTTCGCAGAATGGAAGCTATCAGACTAGCGCAGTGTAGATACGGGGAGATAATATCGCAAACGAAGATGTGACTATCCTACGCGTAATGTAATTATTAGAAGCAACAGGGGTTGAGTTTGACACAAAGCATTCGATGGAGCGACGTTATATTTTTACTTTCTGCTATCCAGGAGATTCAGTCAGGATTGAAATGCATCTCGGAACTTCGATGCGAGTTCAGTGACCGAAATACCGACAATTAGCTATAGCCGGAGTAAGTGACTGAAGAACCTCGAGCTCCCGTCGAGCGAGGAAATCTTCGCCATACCCATCGCGAAGCCATTGCCACGACAGATATTGGATCAGTGGAAGAAAGTTTTTTACGATGAAGACGCAGTGCCCCATCCGATTGAGCGAATCCATCGTAAGGAATCCTCTGCTGCCGACTCGAGAGAGAACTGGGTTGTCGACGGAAATCGTCGATGGTGGACATCGCCCACCTGGATCGCGACAAGTACTATAGTAATTGAGGTTAGAGTCAGTCAACTCATGATGGGTCACGGGAGAGCTTTTGTAAAGCTCTCATTGGCGCCCGGAGAAGCATTCGTTTGAGCCGATGGCGCACAGCCGATCGGAATGCTTGAGGATGAAGATAAGAATCGCAATATACCTGTATCACATACTATCGGTGAGATAGAGATCATCGCGGAGAAGACGTAGGTTCCGTTACACCATCAAGATTATAATTAAGTAAGTTATGTATATTTTGTTGTTGCAGTCGTTCGCTAGGAGCAGAACCGCAATTGAACGACAGACATTATGATTGCCGTTGTTGAGACGATGTAAGTCGATTGATAACACTCACAATACGACCACCGATGTAGGAAGGACGAACACTGAGAAACAAGTCAAGCAATAACACCACACAACTCGGAATATCAAGTCAGAATGTACTCGAAATAAAAAGATCATCTGAGAGGGTTTCATCCATTGGAAGCTTGAGTAGAGATTCCGTCTCTGAGCAGGATCATTCAGAGAGCCAGACTTCGAGGTTCGAGACATCAGCGGACGAGCGTTGCTTACGAGTATGGACTCGATCAGCATCCATCGCATGAAGAACGATGCACACAAGCTGGCATCGGAGATCGAACCCCTTCCTGACGAGTAAAAACTGCGAGCACTCCGCTTGCGTTCCGAAGAGTTCGTGTTCGGTCCTTGAGAAGAAAATCAGGGAAGGGGCTTACCATAGGGCGAAAGTCTCGTCCGAGCGACACATTTGAGCGGGCTGATCACTCCGCACCCAACCGCACTCCGGTCCATGCATATCGGTATAGTCCTCCCGTGGCCTCGAGCTTTCCCCTCCCGAAATCAATCACGCTTCCGGTAGGGGGTCCCGGTTGAGGTGAGAAGCGTAGCTACTTCGCCATCGCGCCATCTGACGAGAAAAACGCAATCACGATCCGCAGCGGGTCACAGACAGACAGACAGACACCCGAGAGCAATTCCTCTGCTCCTGGAAGCTCTGCAGTAATCTTATAGCTTCCAGCTCCAGGCTGCAAGGGAGGGAATCGTTCCGAGATACGATGAACTATTCCGCGCGAGTTTTTCGGTTTCGAACACGTTGGACTATCTCTCCACATGAGGGGCGTCCCAAGGCCCAAGCATGGTTTGGAGCGTCAAGTCGTTGACGGTTCAATGAAAACACGGGAACTCGAGTTATAATTTTTTGAGCGACTCCGAGTCGTCGGCCAGTCCCCCTTGCCCAGCTACAATCGGCGCCCGATGATTGAACTCGACAGCAAAAACATGAGTGAGAATGACTCGATCAATCGTCATCTCCATCAGAAGGCTTAATCGTCTGCTTTCGCGCATTCCTCATTTTCCGGAAAATGCGAGGAATCGATATTCAGGAGTTTTCCGGATCGTCTCTCACTGTGATTTACGTAATCGATATCAGCCTCACGCTCTACCGGAACTTTGGAGCCTTCAGAGATCTCAGCAAGGATTGACTGGCTCGTAGCTCCATGAATTTCGTCATCGTTGCTTTATTCAGCCACACGATTCCTCCTGAACGAGTCGAGCTATTGAGTCGCGGGGGGCTGCAAAGCTCACTGCATGAAGGCGGAGTGCTTGGTTCCAGCCCCTGATCGGAAACGGAGACGATGCCCCGGCAAACGACCGGCAGAAAATCAGAGAGAAAGCCTTCGACCCATCGTGGCGGCAGCAGCTGGTGGTCTCGGTCCATCCGATGAGCATTGTGGGACCTCTTCGCACGCGCTCCGAACTCGACGGAGAACAACGAAGCTCTGAGCAGGATTTCAGGAACTCTTGGTAACTTTCGCGATCACGGACAGTCACGCTTCATTAACAGGGAAATAAGGGTATAGATAAAGATGTTAGAAAAAGTCTCTAGAATGGCCCCGGAAGACAGCAATAACTCTCGTGGCTGACCTGATTGGATACAGAAGTGACAGCACCGGTCCCAGGCTGGAAGGAGTTAACGAATATTCGAGATCTCCCCCCGCTCCTCGCGAAACGTCATTAGGACCTGCGTTAGACATAAAATCTCAAAACTTCCAAAAAAACAAAATTTATCCTCATCAAGTGCAATGGGTCACGGAGTTAAACGACAATGAGAGCCGGTTTTCGCTTACGCTCGTGCAACGACAGGCCAGGATCCCCGCTCGATATTTGAACGAGCGAGAACTTCACGAGGAGTCGGTTTGGTTAAGGCGTCGAGGGCCATAAATTATCGGGGTATGCAAAACATCGATCCATCACCGAACTGATAGCGTCAGCAGGTGGAAATAAGAAAGAAGAATAAGAAACAGCCTGAGGTGGAGAACAAGCACTCCTCGACCCATTTCTCGCTTACTTCTGAGCTCATGAGCACTGTCCGTCATTTTCCCAGATCACGACGGACATTCCAGTGCTCCGCTCACCTCTCACATCGAAATCCTAGACGCCTCGATGTTTTCACAGCCGCTCAATTCTCGAGAACAGCCTCCGTTCTCTGAATGACTAGGCCGACGTAGGTGACACAAGCACCCAAATTCGTCATAATCGCCGCGCGGTCGAGTTTATACATTCACCAGGCTGTGATCTGCACTCTCTGCTCCATTTGACTGACAAATAGACGAATCTGCGGACCGTAGCGCAATCATCAGAGTCAAGCAGCCGGAGGAAGTCCGATTGTCCTGCTCATAGAAAAATGTATGAGAAAACGTCATGAGAGCTCCTAATAAGTTCCTCCACTAGCCTGATGGGACACGAGAGTTTCCGCATTCGTCCTGGACTCCAGGGAGTTGACGAATATTCGGGATCTGTCCCTGCACTCACAAGCGAGTGCCGCGCTCTCCGTGAAAGAAACCAGGAGGATCACCATTATGAATATATTCCCGATCGTTCCAAGGAAACGCAACAGCTCGAAATTCTTCCTCATCATCTGCAATCGATCAAGGGATGAGGCCATAATGAGCTGATCGCGCGAGTTATTCGCTTTGCCTCAAGGTGGAATTGGTTCTCTGGTTTGTCGGCGCATCCTAGAGCCGCATTGATCATGCAGACGTCATTCTACGATTCCCTGAGAATTCTTCTAATTCAATTTCTCCGGCGACCAGGTTCGTCTCTGAGATTTCGGCATCCACGACGCGACTGTTCCGGAAATCAGAATTGTGCTCGCGACGCCGTTTTACGTCTTTGCTGGGGTGACAAAAAATTCAAGGGGTGCGATTCAAATTCCCCAGCTGGCTCACAATCATTAGCGTGGGATTCTCGGAGGACAAGAGACGCTTCGCGATGATAAGTCGATTGCTCGTATGATACGAAGCTCATCTCGGCTGGTCGGTGATCACAGAACACGGTAACGGCGAGCCTCGGTCTTCATCCCTCACTCAGGAATCTCATTTCCTTCCGCTCATATTCGAATTCGGATGAGTGCCAACAGGGGATGTGGAACGGATGTGGAACGTCGGACCTCTGAAGGTTCCCCGAAGGAGATCCATAACCAACGATTTACAGGAATGAAATCGAGCCTGCCAAGCGGATTGTTCCGCACGGTTTCAACCATCTCTTGAGCTCTGTGCACGGCAAAGAATTCCGTCCGACCCCCCCCCCCCCGACGAGCCTGCGCTTGAACAGAAGATCGGGGCACTCGCTTGAACCGAAGCAGCAGACTTTGTACAAGCCATGGCCACGCAGAGAGAGTGCCAAGCGAGGCCGTGCATAGAAAATGTATCAGAGATCTGAACGTATCGGAAGAATCTCGCATGCCTCATTTGTAGCTCCTTTATCGGACTGAGATGCGTCGAGCACCCGTGTCTTCTCCCCACTCAATCGGCTCAGCTCATCATCGAAATGTTGAACTTTTGAGTCGGACAGCTGGAAAGAATGGATTTATCATTGCATGACATGTCCCGTACCTCATGCCCTCTCCTCTTCTGGGCCGAAATCTCGGCAGGAGTTCGATACATTGTGACTCCTATTTTCGAGATTTCGCTGACCATATTGACGAGAACGAAGAAAAAAATTTCAGTCTAGGTTAAGTCTGGGACATCACCGTTCCATGCGTGAAAACGTCTTGAGGGTATTGGTGGACGAAATTTCTCATGCGTCATGTGCCTGAAAGGTATTCATTCCGGCCAATCGAGACTGCCGGCGGATAATTGGTCCTCCTTAT